ACCCAAGGGGGGGGGGGGGGGGGGGGGGGGGGGGGGGGGGCCCCCGCTAAAGGGGATTTCCCCGGGGGGGGGGAAATCCCCCCTTCCGGGGGGGGGGGGGGGAACCCCCCCCCCCCCCCGCTTTGGGCCTTCTTCAGCTGCATTAAAGCCGAGTTGAGTCCATATGGTTTGTTCATAGCTGCAGGCGAAAGACCTCAGGGGCTGAGTGGGGGGCCGTGGGGGCCCGAGGCCACGCCCGCCTCTCCCTTCCAGAGCCTTTTCTTCATCATCACGTTGGTTGGTCTGGGAGCATCTTAGCCAAAGATCCTTGGATGGATAAATGTGCGGGTTCAGGGGAGCGCTGGCAAGACTCACTGTGGGCTGCAGATCTCCCCTGAAACACGCCGGCCCCCGTCTCTGGTGCGCTGCGGGAAGAGACGGAGAGCTGCGGGAGGGAGCGGCTGGCCCTCGGATGGACGATCCCTGGAAGCGAGTCGGCGCGGGCAAGCCTGGTCCTTCATGGCATTCATTAGACCTGCGGCAGCTTCCGCAGCTGGCCTGGCCGCGTCCTCCTCCTCTGCCCAGCCAGGCGGGGCTGCTTCATGTCTCCCACGCAGCCTCCCCGGGCGGGGGCTGGAGTTCATGCTAAGGTGCCCGGCTGCGGATCCCGCAGGAAGGCGCCGTCCAATTAGTTACGGGAAGGTCCCTCTCCGTGCTGACCGGGTCAGCTCCCAGGTGCTTGGCTGGCCGAGGGCCTCCAAGCGCATCGGGACGCCCAGATGTACGAGCCGAGCCGAGCCGAGCCTTCCAGCCACAACCAGTTGGGAAAGATGCCCATAACACAGCCGCTGGAGGGGGGGGCAGAGCTCTGAAAGGCCCCGAGCAAATCCCTCGGTTGCTTTACATAGGCCCCTTCCAAAACACCGGACCCATCTTCCACTTCAAGGCGGAAATGGACAGAGTGGCGCAGTAGCTCAAAGCTGGCTCTGCAGGGCAGGGATGCGGGTTCGAATCCCGCGCCACTGCGAGAGGTGCTGAGCGACCCTGGGCAAGGCGCTCCCTCCGCCCCCACGGTGCATGTGGCCGGGGAGGGGGGGCCGGGCCAGGAGCAGGGGGGGCTCTGCTTGCCCCACAGCTCCTTGGAGGCAGGCAGGATGGAGACGCAGCGAACTGCCCGGCCAGGGAGAAGCGGGAAATGGAGCCACGGGAGGCCCGGCAAAGGGGGACGTACGCTCCTGGCACCGCGCCGGGCGAGTGTGGACTCGCATCCTGGCACTAACAGGATGCTGGCAAGAGGAAGGCTTCCCGTACTCAAGGGCTGCCCAGAGAACAAGAGCAGGGCACCCGCTCTGCTCTTGCGGCTACGAAACGGCTGGGCACCTGCCCCCCCCCATCCCCCAAATCGCTGCACAAGGGGGAGCGGAGCCCACGGAGCAGACCCGGCCCCCTCCCTCCTCCGAAGCATGCGACTGAAAGCGGGCAGCGTGCCATCGCAGGCGTCGCTGGGCGAGCTCGCCTCTCGGCACTTGCTTCCCGTGTGCCCCCCCGGCGGCCCCCGAAGCCCAGAGGCCTGTGCCAGAGCGCGTCTCCTTCCGCACGCAGCCACGAGGGGGGGTCCCAGGCGGGCACAGCGAGGGCTCTGTGCTCTCTGAGCCAAGCCTCACACGCACAGGCGAAAGCCGCCTCTCTGCGGAAGGGCTGCCCCATGGCAAGGCCCACACCGAGCACGGCCCCCAGTCCCCGGGAGAAGACCCCAGGCCGCCGTGCGCCGGGCTGCCTCCCTCCAGCCCTCTGTGCAAAGGGCAGCGCGAGGACGGCTCCGGGCCCGAACTCGCACAGGTGGCTGACGAGAGGCCGGCCATGCTCAGGCCCAGGCCCAGGCCCAGGCTGCAGCCTGGCGCACGCCGGGAGAGAGGAAAGCCGCCGGGACGGCCGATCCCCAGGCCCACCCAGGCCTTCGCGCCTGCGCCCTGGAGAGACGCCAGCCAACCTGGAGCCGAAGGGGCGCTGCCGTTTCTCCGGGCCGCTCAGCGGGAAAACAGCCGCGGAAGCGAAGGTGCGCCCACCTGTTCGCCCTCGGGGCTGCATCTCTCAGCTCGCGGCCTGAAGGCCCCTCGGTCTGCCCACCTGCTCACATACAGGAGAAAAGGAGACTCGGGTCAAAGAAGCAAAATGTTTATTTTGTATAAATCAAAGAGCTCCAAAAGCCACTTCTGGCACACGCTCAATCTCTCTCTCTCTCTCTCTCTCTCACACACACACAGATGCATGTTTGGGCTTTGGGGTAGAAAATGCAGGGAGAGACGCCGCCGTCTACAGAGGAGAAAGATGCCTGCAGGTCTGACTCGGATGATACTTCCGATGAAATCTTGGCTCCTGGAAGAAGAAAAGAGCGAGGCAAGGGAAGTCACCCTCGGAATCCCGGCTGACTGGCACCTCCGTCCCGTCGGAAGGAGTTCCTGCCCTGGTTCTCAAACCCAGACTCTCATCCCCGGCCTCATTCGGATCACCTTCGCTGGGATTTCCCAATCAGGTGAACCGACCAAAGACTCGGAAAAACGCGGAGGATAAAGGCAAATTGCGCAGACCCGGTTTGGATCCCCCGTAAACGGCATACGGTTTGCAGATAAATGAAAAGAACATTTGTTACATCTGAGTGGCTCAGATCTTGTTTCTTAATTGGCTCCTAATGAGCTCATCTACCAGTCAGCTCAGCGGAGGAGACCCTCACTTAGAATGTGAAACATTAAAGCTTGCGGAGATGAATGAAGTTGAAGAGCAGACTGCAAACAGCAGAATCATCTCCAACTTTTCCCTGAAGCCATTTTGGGAATATTGGCGGCGCCTGTTAACATCTCCGCTCCCTGCCTTTAACGCTCTGGTCAGGGAGAAAGAGCCGCTGGCCACCCGTGCCGGCCTTCCGCACGGGCGGGGGCAGCTTGGCCTGACCGCTGAATGCCAGCTTGGACCCCCTGTCCGGGGCCGCAGCTTGTAGCGGCGCCCACTCCCCGCCACATTCCCTCACAGCTCCCGCGGAAGAGAAAGCGCCGGAAGCCCCCGGCCGTGCCGAGTCCAGAGGCGGACGGCGGACGTGCGAGCAGCTGGCCTGGCGCGAAGGGCCTGATCCAGCTCCAGGTCCTAGGCATGGGAATGCACTCTGCGCCCGCTCCAGGTCCTCTGGCTCTGGTGGTCCCCTCAGGTGCCCCCGTCTTGGGAAGCGGATTCCGAGGCGGAGGCCGCCGGTTCTGTCCCCCACCAGACCCCGTCTCTCCACGAAGCGTTTCAAGCAAAGGGCCCGGCGCTTCCGCTACAGAAATGTTTTCTTAACACATTCAGGCTGCCTGGGGTTGCTCTAGCGGACTCGCACGGCGGGGCCCGGGAGAAGGCGGTCCAGACCGGCTCTTCCCCAGACGCTCCCTGGTTTGTTCCGAGCACTTCACGCCAGCGGCGGGCTTTTGTTCTGGAGCCGACACGGGCGCCCGGCTCGGGGAATCCATCTTCCTGGCTGACACGACCACGTTCCGGGGGAATTCGGGGCTACGGGCAGACTCTCGGAGCCCACACAAAACCCCCCAGCTGCGGCTGCCCGCCTGTTTGTGCTCGCGCTGAATGAGGCTCTCCCGGCATCGCTCGAGATGGGCTCAGGAGAGAAGCGCCATGAGGAAGATGGAAAGCAGCCGTCCCGCCTGCGGGGGCATCCCTGGCCCCGCGAACATTTGCTCTCGGGCAGGCGCAGAATGCAGCAGGCCGACTGACTGGGCGCTGAACTCCACCAGCACCGTGCGCCGTAGAGACGGACATGTGGAGCTGCTAGCCCAGCGGTTTGCATTTCAACACCCATCACCCCGAGCCAACATGGCCAACGGCCGCGCTGCTGGGCTGCAATGTTCCAAACATTGCCTCGGAGGCAGCGGGCCAGGATGGGAGACCTGGTGTGGGAACGCAAGCAGCTCCCGGAGCGTGTCCGCCCCGATCACACAGCGCCCGCGTGTCCAGGCAGCCGGTGCGGCCAGGCATCCTGGCCCCGATCCCAGGGTGGCGCGGAGGCACCGTGGCCGAACCGCCTCTGCCGAGGACGGGCTCGCTGGGGGGCAGCCCCCCGCCCGGGGGCCCGCACGTTACCTTACTCTTTGCCGAGGTATTTCATCATGATGCTGCTCACGCTGTCCTCCTTCCCTTCGGCCTCCGAGCGCTGGCCGGCTCCGGCACCTTCCAGGGCCGCCTTCGCCACACAGCCCTCCCCTTCCGGCCTGCGGGCCTTCGGGCGGCTCTTGATGCTGTCGGCGCTCTTGAGCGAGACCACGGAGCCGGAGGAGTCGGACGAGTCGGAGAGGTGCGCGGGGTCCTCCCTGACCCTGGGGCCGGGGGACAGGAGGGCCTTCATCTCCGAGAGGAACGTGCGGTCGGGAGCCACCTCGTCCTCGAAGCGGACGCTCACGGCCCGCTGGCCCTCCTTCCGCTCCCTGGGGCCTCGGGACAAGCTGCTCGCCGACTGGGTTTTCCGGATGGCCGGGGGGAAGTCGTCCGCGTCGGGGCCGATTTTCCGCTCATAACTCAGAGTTGGGATCTTCCAGGCAAACGGGTCGGCCGCCTTTCCCTCGCTTGGAACCTCGGCAAAGCCCCTGCCCTGGAAGACCAGGGACTCCTGCCCCAGGTCGGCATCCATCGCGTCTTCCAGGGACGCCTGGAGGCAGCTCCGCCACGGCCGGAGGCGCGAGGAGCCCAGGGTGGGCGAGCGTAGCTTTGCACACGTGTCGTCCACACTCTGGGCAAGAGAATCGCAGGACCCGAACTGGGAGATCCTTTTCAGAGCGGGGGACCGGGGCGGTGGGGCCGCTTCCTCCGAGGCCACGCTTCTCAGGCTGGAGGACCGTGCCAGGCCGACCCCCAGGCTCCCGCCAAGCTCGCCCAGCTTCCCAGGGAGGTCGTCGCCGCCGCCGCCGTCGTCATCCTTCAGGGTCCGGCGCCTCCTGAGGGACGAGGCCCCCGTGGTTTGGTAGATGGGCAAGGAGGGGGCATCCTCCAGCGCCAGGCTCCCCGGCTCTTTCTCGCTCAGCCTTTTTCTCCGCAGCTCTTCGACGTACTCAGAAAGGGCAGAGGACGAGCGCGAGAGCTTGTCTTCTGCCGAAGGAGATGGCCTTCGGAGCACAGACGGCGATAAGACACTCAGCATCTTTTCTTCGGCTGCTGGGGAAGCCCCCCTCTTCCCAGAGGGAGACGCAGCCCAGGAGCTTGGGGGGCCATCGCGTTCCTCCTTGGCGCTGGGCTTCCCGCAGTCCCACCGCAGCGCGCCGGGGGCAAGGCCTTCCGCTTTGCCAAAGCCGGGCTCCCCCGCGCTCCTTGCAAACGCCCTTCCTTTCGCACCAAGCAGCGAGGCCGGCTGCAGGCTTGGCTCCTGATCCTTGCTTGTCCTAGGAGGAAGGTGACAAGAGCGCTGCTGAGCTGGCTGATAAGCTAGCACAGGAATTGCGGCCTCCAGAATCAACAGGCTTACGCACGTTTCACACCCCGTCAGGAGCGGTTTCAGGTGCCTGCTGCTTGTTTCCAGTTTTGTGGGATGTGATTTTGGAATGTCATTGAGCTAGTCACAAATAGCGGGATTAGTATTTGAAATTTTTATATCCTGCCTTATGACCAAACTGAGCTCCCCAATTAGAAGAGCGAGAAAGCAAAGTTGCAGGGTTCTGGAAATCACTTGAGCCTATTGTGGGCATAGCAAGACTTTTTTTACCTAAAACACCCCGTCCTTTGCTGTTATTAATGAGCTGAATAACAGGACAACACAACCAAGAAAGCCGCGAAAAGATGGCCGCGTGCGAAGGCAAGCCCACGAAAGGCGCATCAGCCACGGCCGCCCCTCGCAAAACCCGCTCTGGACACGTCCCCGAAGCGGAAGCCGCTCCCAACCCACCCTTTGAAAGTTCACTGACGGCTGCAAGCTTGCCAAGCAGAGATGGGGAGGGTCTCCCCAGATCTTAGGATTCGCTGGAAATAGTCAGGAAAGGGGGGCACGGTCTGTTTCATTAATGAGGATGCCGCCTCAGTAATTCAGGGATCGCAGTTCTCATCCCCGCTCAGCCATGGAGCTCCCTGCATGACTTTGGGCCAGGCACAGATGCCCGGCCCGGCCTACCTCACAGGGTGGTTGTGAGGGTAAGATGGCGAGCGGGGTGCGGGGAGACCGATGCGAGCCGCCCCGAGTGCCCGGGAAGGAGAACAGGTGGATAGAAATGCAACAAAGAGGTGGATTCCCGGCTTTTCTCCGGCGAGCGAAGCCTACAGCGTTCTGTGCTTGGTTCAGCCTCAAGAACACGACGGCCCTGCAGGGTCCCTCGGAGGTGCCCGGAGCACGGAGCGTGCGCCGCAGGGGGCAGCTGGGGAGCGGAGGGCCGGCGTGCGTGCGGCTGCGGGGCGGGCTCTGAGCTTTCGCCGTGACCCCACTGCCGGCCCGGAGAGCGGCCAGGCTGCCTCGGCCAAGCCAGGCGTCCCCAGCCCGGCCGGCAGGGCTGGTGCAAGAGAAGGTGGGTGCAGCCGCGAGAAACGGGGGCCCCCGCTGCCCACCAGCCGCCGCTCCGGAGCCCGGCCTCCTGGACCAGCAGAAGCCCTTTTGCCCGGAGAGGCGGGGAGGGCGTGGGAAAGGCCCACCGTACAGCGGCACCTGGGCGCGAGAGGAGGCCCGTCCCCGTCCCCGTCCCCTGAAGAATGCCGTTCTGAAAGATTTCGCTCCGACAATCACGAGACCTTCTGGCTGGGGAGATGGGATGTCACCATGGCAACGCTGGGCCGGCCGGTGTGTGGCACGCGGGAACCCTGCCCGGCTCGGCTCGAGTCGAGGGCGCGTCTCAAAATCGCGAGGCCACTGGTGGCGACATTGTCTGGGGGGCAGGAATGGCGGGGAAAGCGGGGGGCAGGCTGCCCTTGCCCCGCTCGCCCTCGGCCAGCGCTCAGAGCAGCCGCACCCCACGCCAGTCGGCCAGGAGCAGGCAGGCAGACAGGCGGTGGACCCGGGCAGCTGGGGCCGAGGCGCAGGCCTGCAGCGGCCCTCGCGTAGAAACAGACAGGGCCGCGGGGCCGAGCCAGGGCAGCTCCTGGGGTCGGCCAGTCGGACCCTGCCGCTTCCCGGCCCCTCGGCCCTGCGAGGGCAGCACCACCAGGTTGCTGTCTGGGCCACCGAGCAAAGAGCGGAAACACGACAGAGGAGCTGACGGCACGCACAGGCACGCACGTCCTCACCGCCCACCCTCCTCAGGAGAGCCAGAAGCCGCCTTGGACAGGGCTGGGCCGTCGCTCCGCCCGCCTCCCCGGCGTCTGCTCCGAGGGCAGCAAGCCCCCCGACCACGCTTGCACGCGTGGCTTCTCTCCGCTCCCCCTCTCAAATCCCCCGCTGTCTCCCCAGCTGCACGGCCGGAGCCTCCGGGGCCGCACCCAGGCGGCTCCTGGCGCTTGGGAGCGTCAGCGGCGCCTCGCTGGGGGAGCGGCCCCGGGCCCCCGCGGGGACCTGGGCCCGGCGGGCCCCCCAGAGCAGCACAGGCTTGCTGCTGGCCCAAGCCCGCCCTTCCTCACCCGACCGGGGCACCGCTGTCCCGGAAGGGACCCGCTCCGGGGAGCGCAAGCCGAGATCTGACGCGAGACTCCGAAAGCATCCTTAAGCCGAACGGAATCTCTGTGGTGTGCAGCCTGCACCAAAGCAAATGACATACAACAGTAATTAGTGAAGATTACACAGCAATTAGAGTGATTATGCTTATGCTGGTAGAAATAAATTTATGCAATAATATCTGTACTTGAACTGAAGCGCTGCATTTGTCCAGAAACAAAAGGAAAGCGCGGCAACTTCCACACGGGGTGCCCCCCCAGCGAGGGAGGGCAGAAACGCCCCCGGCTCTTGGAGGGCCTCGGGGCCCCGCCTGGGGGCGCAGCCGCTGCTGTGGAAACCGAACCTCCACACGGAGCCAGCAGGCCTTGGGCTTCCGCCTGCAGTGGGGGGCGCTCCGTGCCAACATGGGGGCCTGGGCCGCCTGGCCCCCCAGGCTCCCGGTCCTCTTCACCTCCCTCTCACACCCAAGAACCGGTGCTTTTCGGAACGCGCAGCGCTCGTGTGTGCAAGGCCCGGGAGCACCCTGCAGTCGGATGGCTGAGAGCCACCCCTGGCACGGAGCCTTCGGGTCTCTCTCTCGCTCCTGCTCCACCGGAAGCTCCGCTGGACCCATGTGGGGTGAGCTGTGCCAGCGGCAGGTGAGGACAGGCCTCCGCTCGCTCCCCTGAAGGTTACAAGCACCCACAGGTTGCAGGGCGACAGAAGCTCCGGCTCGCAACACAAGCAGGTCGTTTAGCTGACGAAGGTGCTTTCCAAGTGCTTTAATATTCTCTGTGTTATGCAAACTTTGCAAAACTACACAGAGCTCTGCAGATTTTCATGGCACAGCAAGTACCAGGGAACTAATAAAAGGAGCGTTGTTGCTTGAATAAGCCCAGCAGAAATGGCTAAAATCGATTCTCTCTCTGCCCCCGGTAGCCGAGGCACATGGACACGCACAGGGGCCAGACTGGATTTACTGGAAAGAGGCGAACATCAAGGAACGCCCCCGCCCGAGCGGTCCCTGGGTGCCCAGTCCAGCTCCCCCTCAGCACCCCCAGACGCTGCTGGGACGCTGCTCCTGCCACACACGCTTCCTTGGGATCGAAAGGAGAGATGCCACGACCCAGGCCCCCGACCCAGCCCTGCTCACCCTCTTCTGGTCATCACGTGCTGGGAGGCTCCCCGGGGCTCGAACTGGAGCTCCCGGGATCCAGCTGTGCCGGCTCCCAACCCCCTGTGGAGGGGCCCAGCATGACAGGGCCCCTCGTCCACAGGACCAGCCCGCCTGCCCAGGGTCCGCTCCCGCTCCGGCAGGCCCCTCGCAGCCCGGGGCTTCCTCCCAAGTCCAGGCCGGCTGCCTCTGCCGGATGCCCCCTTGGATCTTGACCGCTGCCCCCCGGCCCTGGACCCATCCCCTGCCTCTGCATTCTGGGGAGTCTTGGGCGGGGGCTTTCGCAAAGCTCGCGGCCCCCCAAGACTGCCTCCGCCTCCGCTTTGGGCTGGCCTGACGCAAACGGGCTCGAGCGCCCAGCGCAAACAGAACATCAGCCGCGGATATTTGCCCAGCGGCGAAGGCAGGACGTCAAAATGCCACACGCGGGAAGCTAAACATTGAAGAGCCAAGCTCGGGAAGGGGCTGCAGGGGAGGAGGGGAGCGGCCCGGCGGGGCTCCAGATCGCTGTTCTCAGCCGCAGATGCGCTCCAGCCGCACGCCTCGCGACGACGGAGCGGAAGATGCCCTGCCAGCCCCCCCGCCCCCGCCCCCCATGCAAGAGAGCCCCCCCCCCCGGGGCCCCCGGGGCCGGCGGCTGTCCGAGGAGAGCCTGGAGAGGGTTCCTGGCCGGCTGCTGCTGGAGGGGGGGGACCAGCCAGAGGCCGACCCCCCCCAGGACTTGAGGCTTCCCTCCAGCTCCAGGTTGAGGCTCACGGAGGACCCCATGCTCAGCTGGCTCTCCCTGTCGGGGAAGAACCGAGAGGGGGCCCCGCATCACGCACTTGCTCCACGAGGCCCCGGGCAGGTGGCCAGACCACGGGGCGGCTTGGCCCCAGCACTGCCTGCGGCTTCGAGGACTGGGCAGGGCCGGCCTGCAGGTTGTTGCCAATAAGGCACAGCGCAAAAGGAAAGCGGGAGGAGGAGGGGAGAGGAAAGCGGGGCCGCTTATGGACGAACGATGCGTGAAGCCGATGCGGAGGCCGTCCTGGGGCAAAGGAGGCGAGCCGGATTGGCGGCTGCTGCCCGCGGAGCCGGCCGCCTGGGCACGTGCTGCCCTGCTCCTCTAGGCCACAGGCAGGACCGTGGCAAACAGTGGCCAGTCAGTGGCCCTGCTTGCCTTGTGTGGCGGGGCAGCGGAGCCGTTCATGCGGCCTGAGGGCAGCAGGCAGATCAGGGCGGACGCCGGGCAACCGAAGGGGCTCCCACGGGGCTGATCGACGGGCTCGTTCGTCGGCCACACGCGAACGAGAACGCGGTGGGGGCTTGGGGCTCACTTACGTCTCTTGCCGCGAGCTGAGCGATTCTCGGGCCGTCAGGACACTGCAAGGAAGGGGCAGCAGAAACAGGTCAGTCGCTCCTGCCCGTGATGGGCTGCGTGCGGCCCCCGAGAGCGACCAGAGCGTGGCCCCCGGCCCAGCCCCCAGAAGGCGCAAGGCCACCTGCCCAATTCTGCCGTCCCGCCTGCAGCAAACTCCCTCAAGCCGGAGCGTCTGGAGCAGGGAAGCTTCCCGCAGCGGGAAGGGGGCACCGCCAGCGGCCCCTGCTGTTCAGAAAGCGCGGCAGGAGGGGCTGGCCCTCGGAGGCTTCAGCCAGGCGCCAGCGCTGCTCCTCGAGGCCAGGGACCCCCGGCGGGCCCCTGCCTGCAAGAGGGCAGGGCTCCCTCACGCGCGGCGGCACTCCATCCTCAGGCGGGAGCAGAGAGCGGCCCTGTCGCCAGGGGGCCCACCAGGCGGAGCAGAGCCGGGCCCCGGTGCGCCACGCGTGCCCCTCGGCCGAGCGCGCAAACGAGCCGCGGTCTGGCAAGGCCCCGGTCACTCGAGTTCCGCACGTCTCGCCCTCGCCCGGCGCCCTTGCACAGCAGCTGCACGTCGGCGCCCGGCTGAGCACTGCGCTCTCCCCGGCCGCCCGGCTTCCTCCGGGGCTTCCCGTAGCAGCAGTGCCCCGGCCCTGAAAGCCGGAGGAGAGCTGTGCTGGACTGGGCCAAGGGCTGGACTGGGCCAAGGGCTGGACTGGGCCAAGGGCCCGCGCAGCCTCACAACAGCCGGCTCTGGGCGGTGCACAAGCCGCAGGCTCGCCGGCGGGACTGCTTCCCCTGCGGTGACTCCCGGAGCGGTGCAGTGGGCCCCCTTCCGCCCGCCTCCCCTGGCCAGACTGGCCGTCGGCCACGGCCCCCGGAAGCCCTCAGCCCGAGCTCTCCCGGCCCGCCATCCGTTTGCCGAGCGAGCATCCCATTAAATCTGCCACCGGAGCAAAGCCTCATCGGAGACCTGCCAGCGGGAATGATCCACGCTCGGCGGCTGCCGGGTGGCGAGCGGCAGCTCAGAGCCCTGCCTGATTTACCGCCCGGGTTGGGTGAGGATTCTGATGCAGTGCCGGGGGGGGGTGCGGGGGGACGGCACGAAGCCACACACCAGGCATTTGGTTCGGGATGCTTCCGGCGGCAGATGCAGCCCCGGCTCGGGCAGGGAAGGAGGGCGAGGCAGCCTCACGGACAGGCCTCCGGTCGGCCGCCGTGCCAGGCCTCGGGGTCAGACGACTCGGCCCCTCCGCCTGCGGGCTGCCCGGAGGCGCTTTGGCCGCCTCCAGGCTCGAGTGGCGCCCCTGCCCTGCCCAGCCTAGCGCCCGCGCCAGAGGGCCGGATGCCCCCGCCAGGAGGAAGGGAGAACACGCCTGCGGGGGCGGGGGGGGGCGTGGTGCCGCTCAGCCTCCTGCTGCGGGGAGCCCCTTCCGCCACGCGGGGCCCCGTCATGCCACGACCAGGGAGAGCGCGAGGCTCCGGCCGAGACCCTCTCGTTCCGGCTCCTGCGAGGGGAAGGGGAAGGCGCCTGTCCGGAGGGAAAAGCACACGCCCCCAGATTTCCACGCCGGAACAGGGGCCGGGCCGGGCTGCGGCACTCACCTCTCCGTGTCACTCTCGTCGCTCGAATGCACCTCCTCCAGCGCGGCCTGCAGGTCGGCGATGCGGCGGATCGAGGTCTCCAGGTCGGCCTGCAGGGTCTGCCGCACTGCGCTCAGCTCCTCCACTTGCTTCTCCTGGGGAAGCGAGCAGGGTCTTTGTGGATCGGCCGGGGGCACGGCGGCCCCCCCCGGCCAACTTCCACCCTGAGGCCCTTCCATTTCTGGAAGGGGTTTTGAAAGGGCCCGTTTCGCAGAGAGCCAAAGGTTATGCGAGCGAAAGGCAGTGTGGAACAGTGGGCAGAATATGGGGGGGATGCAGGACGCCGCATTGCCGGTGCTTCTGCTGCCATGCACCCCGCAGGATTCGGCCACGGTCCCCTCACTCGGCTGCCTGGCCCTGCAGGGACCCCCCCGGCTGCCCACAGGACATGCACTGACAGGCGGACTGGGAGAGGGAAAGCCCTGCGGGGGTCTCCGCCCCCCCAGCCCCGCCTACTCCCCTTCCTGTAGAGAAGAGCCCGGAGGCTGGCTCGGCCGTGCGGGACCCCCCTCGGCCGCCTCCCCTTCACAGGCAGGCCAGCCGGCTGCTCAGACCCAGGGGCACGCGGCTCCGGGGGGGCTCGGGTGAGCAGAGGGTGTGGGGGGGACATTCGCCGAGCCCAGTTCCTCGCTCCTGGCCTGCCGCGTGGTGCTGAGCGCCTTCCCTTTGGGCAAGGGGCGCTGGATGCTGCGGGGGCAGCCACCTCCTGGAGCCCCCTCGGGTTGCCTGCACGGCTCCTTCGCACGCACACACACGAGGCCCTTCCCCGGGGCAGCCCGAGCCGGGGTGGTCACCTGCACGCCGGCCGCACCGCAGCCCAGTGCCCCACTCGACGCTGCGTCGCACTGCGCCACGGCCGGGATTCGCTCCGAGGACAGGCACACGCTCACCGCGAGGCCGAGCCTCCCGGCCCCGCAGGGAGCGCTCCCTCTGGCTCGGCGCTACCCACGCCGCTGGGCAGCAGTCCTCGGGGTCCCCAGGGCTCCCCAGCCCGGAGCCGCGGGAGTCAAGCGCGAGACCCCCGCAGGCTCGGCCTGTTCTCCGCCACTGAGCAGGCGCTCCGTCCGGAGCTTCTGCCCTGCCCACGTCTCGCATTTGGGGTCGGAGTCTGCCGGGCTCTCCAGGTGGAAGCTCTGGACGAAAGAGGAAGGGGGGAAGGGGGCTTGCCGTCCCTCGGCGCCCCTCCGGGAGCGCCGGAGCCGCGCAGCCCTCAAACGCCTCATGATCGAAGCGGCCAGCTGCAACACTGCCCCCTCTGCGGTGACAAGGTGAGTGATGGCGAGCCGCACGAGTGGTGGCACATGGGCCTTCACACCTGAGCCGGCTGCTCATCGGAGTAAATCACAGGCGGGTTGTGCTCACAGAGTGAATGAGATGGAAGAACGGGACCACCGCTCGTTTTTTAAAGGAGAAGAACCTGTCGGCTCTGGGCGGCTGACAGACGGCGCTTGGAGCGCAGCCAAGGAGGGCTCTGAATGAGAGCCAGCGCTCTCCCGCTGCCGCACAGGGCCTTGGCTGTCCTTCGGCCGAGTGATGCGCAAACAGATCAAGCAACGGAGGAGAGCGCGCTCCGTCTGTCCCTCCTTCCCACCCGGCAGGCCTGCTTGCAGGGGATGTGGGCAGCCGTGTGCTCTTTCCCACCTGGAAAACTGTGGGACAGGCCGCCTTTGAGCAAGCCAGGCGGGCAGCGGCCCCGGGGAATCCAGGGACTCGCCACGGACGCGCGGCGCAAGGTGGACTCGCTCGAAGCGCTGGGAAGAAGCCAAAAGTCTCCGGCAGCCACTTCGCAGCTGCCCTAGAGAATTACGGATGTGGGCCAGTGAGGGCGGACAGTTGCCCCCCAGCCACCGGGGCTCCGTGGTGGAACCCTACAACGCGCTCGTACCAAACACGTCAGGAATGTATCAGGAATAACTGTGCGCCCCAAACGCAGCCGTTCGGCAGCATCGAAGTTGGTTGAGTTCTTGCTGTAGCCTTCAAGGGAGGCCAAAAAATATTTGAAGACGGAGCCCAGGCCTGCTCTGGGAAGGCACTGCAAAGCCCAAGGCCCCGTCGCTGTTTGCGCATGAAAAGAGGAGCAGAAGTGGCACCTGCAGAGCAGAGCAGCCCAGGCAGGTCTGCATGAGAGAGGACGCGCGTTTCTTGCCCCGGGTGTGTCTGTCTACGCGTGTGAAGCCAGAGCTGGCAGACCAACAAAAAAGCCCATCTTTGGCCTGCCTTTAAACAAGGACAAAGGCCACCTTGACTGCTCTGCATTAGTTCGGCTAGAAAGCAGCTTTGTTTCCTGTGGCCCCTGAGCCTTTGCGGAGCCGCCGGCTGAATTCCTGCACTGCCGCGGGCGAGTCATCGGAATTCCCGCCGTTGGAGAAAAAGAAAGAGCGGCCCACCGAACGCCGTGGTGCCTTCGGAGGACTGGAAGGTAATCCAGGAGGCAGCATCTTTCCAGGTGCGCACTTTGGAGACCAGGGAGGAGGGCGGTTCCAAATGAGCCCCGGAAGACGAAGTTCCCCGAGGACTGGAAGCAGAGCGCCCGTGTTGCTCCGTCAGGGCCTGGCTAATAGAGCCGCGGCGAGAACGGCCAAGGAAGAGTTAAAAGCGTTCCGTGCAACCAGTGCCTTCGTGGGGATCCTGACCCACTTTACGCTGACGGATGCAACGCCGAAAGACCGTATCTCCCGGGCAAAAGTGTGCGATGCCGAACAAAGAGCCGCGGCTGTAATCGGCAATTTGCAAATGAGAGCTCAAGAAGGCAAACAACCCACCGATTCAAAACAAACCCGGCCCCTCCGGCATTCTGATACCGACAGCTATTAAAATCATTCCTCTCCCCCAGGAGAGGCAGCCCAGCCCGTCATGGTTTCTTGGCTCCGCTCTTCGTTTCCTCCTCTGGCGTCTGAGAACGTTTGCTGCCAGGAAGGACGGGGAGGGACCGCGTGGCCGGATTTGGGAACGCTGCTGCCCTTCTCGCGCAAGTGGGCGCAAAACGTTCTGAAAAGACCCAGGCGTGGTTTTCCCACCGAGGCAGAGCAGATGATTAACAAAGAGGGCGACCTCCGGGGCCTCCTCTGCTCTCGTGCGGCAGGTGCCGGAGCGTGTCCGCCCGGAGCCGGCCTGCTTTTCATGGTGCTCACGCACTGGAAGCGGCGGGGAGAGTTACAGCCCGGCGGAGGAACTTCCAAGCTGTCACCAGGATTTAGATTCGTGGGCTGTGGTGGCAGAAAAATGGAGAGAAGGGGCAGAAAAACAAATGGAGCCAGAGCTGCTGCGCCACTGAGGCGCACGACGCGGTGATGCGCACGGGCACGCAGGCACCCGGACAGACGGACGGACGGCCAGCTGGAGTTTGGATGGCCGGGATCATTTGGAGGGCGAGATAAGGCCTCGGACCAGCGGGCCGGCCGTCCTGAAGGGATCGGCCAGCGCGGGGGGGGGGGCGCCCCTCTGCTGTGGGGCTGGACGCCCGGCCCGGCCCCCCCCCGAGTGGCCTCCTGGTCTGGCGGGGAAAGCACTCACTTCGCCTCCTGTGCTTGCGCCTCTTGAGCAGGCCTGCCAGGACAGGGGCGCCCTCGCTCTGCGCTCCAGCTTGGGCCTCGGCCGGCACCGGGGCAGCCCACGGTCCCGCCCAGCCCGCCTTGCCTGGGACACGGGGAGCAGCACAGGGGAAACAGCCACCTGGCCCCAGCAGCCCCCTTCGGCCTGGGCCACAGTCCCTGCTGCCCCGCGGCCAGTTTGGCCACGCTGCCTGGGGATGGCGGGAGCTGCAGTCAAACACCACAGCAGGCTTGGGGAGGCTGGCCGTGCTCATCGCAAGGGGTCGCGTGCTGCTCACACCGTGTCCGCGTGGCAAGGGGCCCCACGCAGCGCCCACGCCATTCGCCGCACATGAAGCGCACGCTCCTCGGCGTGCGCTCGGGCCCTGGGGCAGACGAGGGGCCGGGAAACACGCCCGGTTGCGCGAGAGGCGCTGCGGGAGCCGGGCCCTCCCCAGGCCCACTTTGCATTCAGCAGACGCCGGCGGTGCGATCATGGCTCGGAGTCGTGTCAGTTTGTTTGAAAACCTGGTGAGCGAAGTGCCGAGGCCGTCGTCTTGCGTACAAAAGGCATTTTAACACCGAGATGGGAGCCGCACGAGCGGCGGGTGTGCCCGGTGAGCGAGCGAGACCGCTTGAGGAGATAAGTGTGGCGGGGGCGGGAAGAGACGCTCGGCGGAAGCGCACACTTCGGAGGGGGCTGTGCATGGCCACACCTCACTCTGGTTTCCACACCGCCATGCCCCCCCCCCCAGATATTTTAAGTGAATCTCGAAAATGTGTTCTTTTCAGCTCGTGAGCCTGCCTTGAACTGGGCTGAGAAGGCTGGCCAGAGAGGTGAACACACGGTCTAAACGAGGCCTGCTTTGCTGGTGCCGAGGACCAGAACGTGGTGCGGGGGCTGCTGGCCGAGCATCCTTCGGGTGGTCCTGGTCACAGCGCATGTGGGGATGCGCCTTGCCGGTTCCATCCCTGCACAGAATGTGCCGGCAACGGACGCATGCTCTGCGGGAGCACTCTGCCTTCCGCGGCTCGACGGCTCCCCAGTCCCCGGAGAAGGCGGCGTCCCCTGTGCAGAGGATGAGCAGACGGCCTTGCCGCCGGGCGCGCGGGTTCAGCACGAGGCATCGTTCCGTGGCCACGCACTCAGGCAGGGCTGGGGGAGACCCTGCCCCCCCCCCGGGCCCCTGGAGAGCCAAGCCGGCCGGAGCAGAACGCTCTGCGCAAGCAGGACCAGAGGCCTGACCCCGCAGGGGACACTGCCGGATCTCTTCAAAGAGCCCCGGACTGGATTTTGCCGCGGAGGACATGGGAAATTCCCGTTTTCCCAGACCGCTTCCCTGCTCGCTTCACAGTCCACTTCTGCGCAGTGCAAAGCTATTGCCGCTTAAATGCCATGGATAATGTCACCCAGCCTGGGACATCAAAGATCCTTCCTCAACGCGCAATTTCAGCATCGCACTATAAAAAGAAACGGCCCTATTAGCCGACGGTGATGGAAGAGACGTTCGTTTCCTAACGCGCGGTACATTTTCATTCCGTCTCAGTCCTGCCTCTAGTCCAACAGGAGTCGCCTAGAGCTAACGATGCCACACGGCTCTGCGGAGCCTCTGCGGCCCAAACGACAGCACGCTAGGTACGTGTGCCGCACGCCCCGGTGCCGAGATTGTGCGATCCACAACCCTGGGAGGAAGAATTCCTGCCCCCATCTTATGAAAGGACCAGAAAGCCGTCTGGGACCGTCACCCCTTCCCTCCATCGACCGGGCTTCCCCAGACACACCGATCCGCCCTGCCGCCCAGGGCCCATGCGAGAAAGCCGCAAAGCAGAGCGGAGAGCCCCAGGTGGCTCCGGTCAGCGAGTCAAGCTGCACCGGGGGAAGGCACACCTTCTCTCTGAGCTGCACCAAGAGCAGCTTAAATGGCCCCGAAGGAAGAGGAACATCCGTTCCATAGGAGGCTACGTGCAGCCGGCTCAGTTCTCACACACACACTGAAGTCTCTCACAAGCCCACTCAAGGGGTGCAGCCGAGTGAGGCCCCACCTGTTGAGCTTCAGCCTGCCAGTGCTGAGACAAGCAGCCACCAAAACCTTCCCTCCTGCATCCAAGGGGTCCTCCAGGCGCGAGAGAGACTCTGCTGGGAACAACCAGCTTCTCACAGGAACTGTGCGTCTCTCTCGATCAGGCGGGCCCCACAGTGGAGCCAAGGAAGGTCTGCGTGCCCGGGACACATGGGGGCTGGGGAGCAGCCCGGGGAAAGCCAGGCCAAGCGGGACATGGGGCGGGCTGGGGGGCTGCCTGCCTGCCTGCTGACGTGGCAAAACACCCCCCCTTTCACAGTCCCGAGCGGGGCGGGCTGCAGACCCCTGGCAGACCCTGCGGGTTCGGTGATGCCGTGCTGGTTAATTGCCGTGAAGGGCGCCACGCAGCCTCTCCGAACGCCAGGACAGAACGGCGTGTTGGGCCGTTAGTCCGCGTGGTGAGTTGGGCTGGTGCACAGGATCCCCAGACCGCCTCAGGGTCCCCCTCGATGGTTTCTTCCAGCAGCCTTAAACCGGCAGGGGCTTTTTCCCTTCCACCCAGACTGCAGGAAGAAAACATTCGAACCGCTTGACTTCCACACCTGCCTCCCCGCTGCCGTCACAGCTCGCCGTGGAAGGCTTTCAGCCCTTCGTAGGAGTCACAGCATCATTTCGAAGCGGCTGCTTCCATCAGGCGAGCAGCTGAAGCCGAGAAACTATTAAAGCGCGCGAGTGAGAAAGCTCCGCAAGCGAGCGGCACGAAGGCGAAGTGCAAAGCTGCCTGGGAAGGTTTTGTGATAACAACTTCGGCAATTAGGAAGCATGTTTGCTGTCAAAAGGGACCCGGCGGCAGCAGCACCCCAAGTGTCAGGACTATTAGCAAGAAGCCCTGAATTGCATTCCTCGGGGGGGGGGGGGGCAGGGGATGGGGGTGTCGCAGGGATGTGTGCGCAATCCATCTGAGCGGTGGAAATCCAGCGGGCTCCCCCGCCTGCCCTCGCCTCCCCCCCCCCCCCCCCCGAGTCTGGCCCGCTGCCTGTATGCTGAGTCTGACTCATTGGGCACCAACCAACCTGCTCACGGACTTCCACTGTGAGGCAAATTGCAATGGGGGGAGGGGGGAGGTTGAAGCCCCCACAGAAACCAGCACCAGAAAACACATAATTTTAACCAGACTTGCACGATTTGCACAAATCCCTTACACACAGTTTTTGTGGTGCAGTTTTGCACAAAAATTGATCCGTTTTGCACCGGGGGCACCTGGAAAGCAGCAGAGCTGTGCATTTTCTGGGTGTTTGTGCAAAAAAACCAGGCTTTCGTGCACAAAACAGTACTGAGAAACATGTGGGTCAGCGTATTCACACAAGCCTCGCAAACCCACATATTTTCTGGATGCTGTTGTGCAGAACAACGGCACATGGAAAATAGGCACCTTGCATCAAAGTGTCTCCCTGCGGACCGTTTCCATAAATGCCACTAGTGGTTTTAAAAAAACAGGCACATCATGTGCCATCTTGTAGATGGACGGCTGAGAAAAAGCTCGGCTTGTCCCGCCCTGACCCGTTCAGACCGACGGGGGCCCCGGGGCCGCCAGGCGAGCGGGCCTCCCCCTGTCCGGAGGCCGCAGGTTGCGGGTCGGCCCCGCTTACCAGCTCGATGCGCCTGCGACTTGCTTCCAGCTCCCTCTGCACCAGCTCGTTCATGTCGGCCTTCATCTCCTCCATGCGCACCTGGTAGTACTGCGCGTTCTCGCCTTCCCGTGCCTCATTTTCCTTCGCTGTTTCCAGCTCCTCCCCCATCTTGATGACACTGTCCCGAAGACGGAGAACCAGCATCTGCGGGGGGACCCGAGGCACGTTAGGGGAACGGGGGGCGTCCGGCGGGGGGCAGGAGCGATGCCCACACGTGTGATGCGCAGAGACCGCCGGGAAGGGCTAGAACTCAGGCTGGGCACGTCCTGGAACCGGGCAGGTCCCCCGCATCCCATGCGGGCCCCCGGGGGACAGCGGCGGCCTCCCACGTACCACTGGATCCCCCGCCATTCTGCCCCGAAGCAAGATACTTGGGGGGAATCGCGCGCCACCCGCCAACGGCCTCACTGGCGCCACGGCCGCCTTCCGCGGGTCTCTCACCCTCCCCCCCTGCCCCGTGCCGCCAGGCCCCAGGCGTGCCCCGTACCTCGAAGCGCTTGATCTGCACACTCTGGAACTCCATCTTGTTCTGCAGGTCACAGATCAAGGCCTCCTGGCGGCTGACGACCGAGCGCTCCACCATCGCCTGCTCCAGGTACGCCACCCGGCCCTGAGCAACCTGCAGCTGTTCCCGGAGAAGGGAAGGCTCACCTTCAGCCTCCGTAGCCCCGCCCCCAATTCCCCACACCTGCAGAGCAGGCCCCCAGTCCCCCAAGGCGCCGGGCACCCTTCCTCCTCAGCGAGCCCAAAGGACGGGCCAGGCGAAGCTGGTCGCCCCCTGGGGAGGCCTCCAAAGTCGGGGTGGGGGGGCTTCCCGACCCCCAGCTAGAAGTGGCAACAGTAAAATCCTTGCAGCCAACTGCCTGCACGTGGCCAAAGGCAACAGCAACACTTCAGATGCGGCTTGGGGGGGGCCGGACATGCTTCTGACTCTGGGGAAGAACTCAGAGGGGCCCGGCCCTGCGGCTGGCCGACGCTCGAAGCAGGAGAGCAGGTCTGCCTTCACGCTTTCCTGGCAAACAGCAAGCGATGCCGGGAAGGGATGGCGCGACCCCCCAGCGGAGCCGCTCGCGGGGGCGGCTGGGCAGGGGGTGGGCCGCACCTTCCCTGCCGCGACGGAGGGCCTCCTCGGGCCAGGCAGCCCTCGCCCGAGGGCAGGGCAGGGGAGAGCCAAGCCGGCACGCCGCCCCCGTGCCACAACCCGGGCTGCGCCAGAGCAGCCGCCGTGCACGCGTTCCCACACCGACCTTCTCCTGCAGGCTGGCCTTCTCCTTCCTCGCCTCCTCCAGCTGCGCCTGCAGCTCGCGGATCTGGTCGATGTCCGTGGCGGACTGTGGCAAGGGAGGCAACCGAGGCGGCTGCGGTGAGGCCCCGGGCGGAGCATTTGGCGGGGGGGAGCCGGGGGCTGCCTTCTGGGTTCCACCCCGCCCACCCCCTCCACGCACAGGGAGCCCCGAGGGAGACCGGCGTGCTGGAGCCCCTGTGGGCAAGCGGCGGGGCCAGTGCGGCTCAGGCCTTGACGCGCCGGCCACTGGCCCCCAAAAAGGGCGCTGGACGAACGCAGCCAGCCAGCCTCTGGCCCCTCTCCTCCCCTCTGCAGCCCCAGGACAGGGCAGGGCCCCCTCCCACAAGGCAAGGTGAGGGGCACCGGGGGGTCCCCGCCACCCCTCGTCCTCCCCGCCCACACCTGGGCAATCAGAGCCTTGTGCTTCGCCATCAGCTCGTTCAGGTCCTCCTGGTCCTCGTCCAGGTGCTTGAGCAGGTCCGCCTTCTCGTGCTGCAGCTGGTAGAGCTGCTCATCCACCTGAGGCAGGGCAGGGCGTGGGAGGCAAAGGGGGGCCAAGCGAGCAGGTGAGGGGGCCCCCCATGGCAGCCAGGCCGCTTCCGCCGGAGGAGCCACGGCCTCGGGTCTGGTCCCCTCCACCAGCATCGCCGGGGCCAGCGGCACCCGGTCTGGCCAGGCTCCTCGCAGGCAGCCTCCAGACTGGCAGGGCCTCTTCCAGCCCCCAGCAGAGAACAGCCATCTCCTCACCGTCTGCACGGCACCCCCACTCCCGAAAGCACCGCCCGCCCGGCACGGCTCCCTCTCATTTCGGGGGGCTCGCACAGGAGAGCATCCCGGCGGCACACACCATTGCTCGAGCGCCCTTCCCCAGGCAGGTGCCCTCCAGATGTGCTGGCCAGCAACTCCCATCATTCCCAGCCCTGACGGGCAATGAGAGGAGTCACGGTCCCACCCGCTGGGGGGCCGGTGCCGGTGGGAGAAGGCGCCATGGCGCTAGGCCAGCGCCGGGCCCAGCAGCGACCTCCTCCCCGGCCCATACCAGGTTCTTGTTCCGGCTGACGGCCTCCAGCTCCGTGCGCAGCCCCTCCAGCTCCGCCGCCAGCAGCTTCTGCGACTGCTCGGCCTCTGCGCAGCGCGCCACGCTCTCCTCCCACTGGAAAGACAAGACGGGGCCCTGCAGAGTCGGGGCTGGCGGGCTTTGCACGCCGAGCAGGTCAGCCTCTGCAGGCACAGAGGACGCGCCTCTGCAGCCCCGGCGGCTCCTGGGGGCCCGCAAGCCACACGGAGGGACGGCGCGAGCGAGCGGCACCCGGGGCACGGGGGCGTCCCGCATTTCTGGGAGCAGCGGCGTCTCTGCCCCCTTGGCGGCTCAGCTTGATGAGGCGCCCCATCATCGTTCACTGCCTGCCCCGACTATCTCGGGGGGAGGCCCGCCGGCTGAGGTCACCTCGTGGCGGGAACAGCACACGAGCAGCTGGCCGGGGCTGCTTTTCGGCTCGGCGGCATCTTCCGGGGGCAGAGCCCGAACCGTCCTGCTCCAGGCCGGGCAAACTGGATTCCCAAGTGGCTTCCTCGGTGGGAAGGGCAGAGCGCAGATTTTCTGCAGAACGACTTGGGCTGCGTGGCCAGTTTGTTAAGCGATGTGGCAGTACAAAAATAACGCCCGTGAGTTGAGGGCACTCCAGAAACCCCCCCACCCCTTAATTCAGGCTACAAAGAAGGATATTTTACATCTGCACATGAGTCCTGATCCTCTTTCTCTCCCTCTCTGGGAAGGTTCTTTCCACGCCCACATGCCCTACGTCGCTGCGCTTGCTTTTCATCTCTGCCTGCCTTTCCTTCCTTTCTTTCTTCCTGGCTCTGCATAATGGAATTTTCCCACTTGGGAACAAATTGAAACCCCCATCAAAGTCGACGCATAATGCATGAGCGCGGAGTTGCGGCGCTCGGCCATCTGTTGGCACCTGCTTAAAATGGATGCTTAACAAACCTGCACTCCAAAGAGGTCTGCGTTCTGGGGAATATGAAGGATGTCTCACAGATAGATGGGTGAAGACAGACAGACAGACAGACAGACAGATGCCTCTTTTTCTTGACCCCCAAAGCACCTTTGCTTCTCCCTGCTTAAATTATCCTGGGCATGAAGATTTGCAGAGCTGACTGCAAAACTAGGAACAAATTCACCAGGGACACGGCAGGAAAGAAAATCAGCCCGGAGAGAAAGTCCGGGCGAGGCCAGTTCCCCTGCTGCCCAGCACCCCGTGCCAGCGCAAGGCGGAAGCGCACCGGCTCTCCCACACTGGCCGTGCTTCACCGTGGGCCTCCCTGGAAAGGGGTTCCGAAAAGAGGGGCTGCCGCCCTTCCACACCCTTCAATGCGCCTCGAATTGGCCACCTGGACACAGACAGCTGTGAGGGTGCCGCCTGCAGCCAGTCCTCTCCCCACCCCAACACACACCTTCCTCGTTCCTCTTCCGCGAGGAAAGCAACTGGTACTCGGCAAAGGCCTTTGTCAAAATCATAACAAATTGCCCAATTAAGTCCAGCTGAGATGAAGGGAGAATGCAAGTCAATGAACATCATCCGTCTTCGGTGCCAAAGAAGGACCCAGTAGACCAGCCAGGATTAATTTTTAAATGTGGCATTAACACCCAGAAAGATGGAGCGGCGGATTCTCTCCGGGCCGGCTTAAAAACGGAGCCATCGCTTACGAGCAGGCGTGCATCAGCAGGGCGAGGGCCGCCACCCCTCCGGGGCTGGCATCGTGCAGAGCCCTCTCCCGCTCACCTGCCAGGTGAGCGATGCTCCCGCCTCGCCCTCCCACGCAGGGCGACCTCCCCCAGGCGTGCCAGCGGGCCGCGCAGCTCCGCGAGCGCCAGGCCCCCACTGGCCTCCACGGGACGTGGGGCAAGGACCAGGCACAGGTCTGGCTGCCAGGCGTCCCGCGGGGACGCGCCTGGCAGCCAGCAGAGAGCCGGTCGTGGCCGGGGGAAGCTCTGCGGCCCACTCCTGCCAACGGCTCGTCTGCCTGTGTGGAAAGCCCCGGCACAGGACGTGGGGGATGCCCCCCCACTTGGACCCTCGCAAAGGCCCCAACCAGGAGCCCCCAGGCCTTGAGTGGAGCCTCACTCACGGACCACAGCAGAGCCGGAACGGCAGCCTCGGAAAAGGCGAACGGCGACAGAGGCACTGCAGGGTCAAGCCGATTCCCCAAGGAGAAGGGGGCAGCCTGGCCCTGGCGGGCGGCAGGGCGGCCAGCCCGGGGTCTCCACCTCCCACTCCTCGCCCACATCCCTCCCTTCAGGCCAGGTAGCAGCAGCTGAGGCTCACAGATGCTCTTTACACAGAATTATTATCCCGACTATAGATGCGCGTGAGCCGCAGTGGCTTCGTCTCCAGCCTGGCACGTTAGCCATGAAAATGAACAAGGCAGAGCGTTTGCTTAATGGCTCTGGAAGGCCAGTGGCACGAGACTGGCGCTCCGCCCACCCCCCGTGCGACATTTCTCCCAGCCCTGGCGAGGAGTTCCGGGAGCGATTCGGGGGGCTCGGAGTGGTCCTCACTGCCCTCCCGGCCACCGCCTCCGCGCCGGTCAAGCAGTGGACGTGGCTTCCGTGTCCGCGAGGGCACTGACAACCCCAAAATACCACAGGTGGCTTTTGGGTGACCCACAGACACGGCCAGGGCCCTCCGCACCGGCACCGCCTTCCACATGGTGGCTCAGACTGACCAAAGCCACCCGTGCCGGCTTTCCTACGCCAACCATCAATCTGCGGTGACTTTGGGTTGTTCCGTCGGGCGGCTGCTCTGCATCCTTCCTAAGGTGGGCCGGGAGAGCCTCTCTGCCTCTTCCTGTCCTTGCTCGTGGTTTTCCAAAAAAGTTTGGTACCAATCCTCAAAGTGCTCTGGGAGTTTGATGGCTCTTGTCAGTGGAAGTATTTCTCCAAATCTTAACTGCCACCCCCCCAAACCGGACCCTTTGCCTCCACCAAGAACAGGCGGTACGTCAAGCGCAGCCCCGCACTCTGCTCGCCGCCCAGCGCCAGGCACCTGCGGAAGCCTCTTCCCGAGAGCAGGTGCCGAGAGCAACTCTTGGCAATTACGGCCGGGTGGAAAGCGGAAGCAAGCGAACGAGGGGGGACTAATTAGCACAGGCCGTGGAAACAAAGATAGAAAACAATCTATTTAACTAATTGCCCTAATTAAAATCTAAACACTTCCTGGGAAAGAGTTCTGTCTACACTGAAGGCACTTTGAGCAAGAGGGAGGGCGAGGGAACAAGCTGGTGGCTGAGCCGAGTTGCGGGTGGCCGGCCGTTCAGGCGACCGGGCTGAGCACCGGAAGGGCCCCAGGCAGCAGCCGGGCTCAGAGGCAGGCGGAGGGAGGGCGCAGGCAGGCGCTGTGGCCGTCAGGATCCACGGGTCGACCGGGCAGCCCCCGGAAAGGGGCAAGGGCAGAGCTGCCCATTCACGGCCCTGCGGGAGGGTGGGGGCAGCCCTGGCGGGAGCTGGAACACATTCGGGCTCCCCTGGGCAAATGTGAGCTCGAGAGCAGATGCGGTGTGCTTTCCAGGCCACGGACATTTCTGTGCCAGGGCTGCCTGGCTGGCCACACAACCAGCTCACCTGACCCCTGCTCAGCTCACCCCACAAGAAAGCCGGCACAGCATATAAACTGAAATAATGGAAGGAAGGAAGGAAGGAAGGAAGGAAGGAGGGAGGGAGGGAGGGAGGGAGGGAGGGAAGGAGGGAAGGAGGGAAGGAGGGAAGGGGTATAAAAAGGACAAACACGGACTTGAGGCAGGGGCTCCCTGGGGCGCCTGGCTCATGGCAGTGGGGCTGGGCAGACTGGGGGCCCGGTGAGGAGGCGTGCCACGGAGCCCTGCCCCGAGCGTCTCACCTGGCCACGCAGCTTCTCCAGCTCCACTTTGCTCCCCGCTGCGCCCGGATCCGCCCCCGAGGTCTGCAGGAGGAGCTGCACGTCGGCCAGCAGCGCGTGCGTCCGCTTCAGGTCCCGCCGGAGTCGCTTCTCCACATCGAAGTCCCGGTGGCCGATCTAGAGCGAGAGGACGGGGAGAGCACCAGCGCATTTCCGCCCAGCCGCAGCACACAAGACGCAACAACACCTGGGACGAGCGCGCATCCCGGATTGCAACGGGAGACGAGCCGCAATTGTGCCGGCATTAAGGTGCCATAATCAGAGCAGAGACCGGCCTTCCCCGGTTCTTTGGGAATTCAACCCCCATCAACTCCAGCCACTGCGGCACAGTTCTCTGAGGCACCTGGAGGGCATCCAGCTTGGTGAAGGCTGAAGCAAGAGCAAAACCTCTTTGAAAGCAGCCCTTTCAAACTCTGTTTTCTCGCAGGTGAGCTGCCGCCGAGCACCACCTGGAACACGCGAGGCTGTTATGCTCATTTCGCTCTTTTCTTGCAAGCCAACCTGAATGTTTCTCTTGTTACAGAATGTTTCAGAAATCTTTTAAATAAAGGACTTTTGCCAATCTAGAAGGAGCTTCTAAATCTAATGTTTATATTTACAGGTACCATTCAGACCTATTCAATCCCATTTATCAATAGCCATCATTTTTAATTCCACGTGAGCGACTTAGAACAGAAAACAGGATAAAAATAATAAATTAGGCTGAGGCAGCTGGGAATAAAAACCTGAGAGCTCAACTCCACGGCGCTCAGACCTGGGCCTGGGTTAGGGATGCAAAGGAATTTCATTCTTGTTTTCAAAGGGGCCCCGTGCAGATGCTAAGTGTGCTTAGCTGTTTTTCCCCGAAGTCGGAGAAGGAATATTAGGACAGAGCTGAATGGAGAAGGCTTAGATTTAGTGGTAACTTAAATCACGGAGCGTGTCAGAAGGTGATAATACACGGAATGTTTTATGAGAGCTTGACTTGCAATGGAACTGTGAAAGGGATACAGCCCGGGGCACAGCGCAATCCCGGGCCGACTTACCTGGGAGTCTGTCTCTGCGGTATCAGTGGGATTCATGTCTCCATGGGCAGGCAAAGAAATCATAAATCGCACATGCCAGGAGAAAAGGTCCTAGTTTCCTTTTCCCCTGCACACTACTTATGTACAGGCAGGGTGTTTGGGTACAGAAGGGCATCCGTGACGGAAGCCGAAGGAGGACGGATTGGCCGCGGCTTCGAAAACAAGAGCTGCAGCTCCTGCAGAGCCCTCCGTCTCCTTCCAGGCGCCCCGCAGGGCCTGGCAGAGGGAGATGAGAAAGGAAGAGGGCCGTGCTGCCAGGCAGGCTGGGGGCCACGTCCCTCCTCCCCCCCACCCCCTTTCCTTTTCCATGGTTAGCCTGTGGGGTGGGAGCTTCCTGTTGCTTCTGAGCCCCGCAAGTGCTTTTCAGTGCTGTTCTGAGGTGGGAAAGGAAGATGCAAGACGACGCGGGGGTGTCAGGCGCTGTCCGGCTGCTCCCCGGCCTCCCGGGTGCCCTTCCGAGCCCCGCCGGATGGCTCCCCGCTCACCTGCTCGCAGAGGGTGGCGATGAGGCCCTCCAGGTCCCGCTTCTCCCGGAGCATCGTCTGCTTCTCCTCGCATTCCTGCTCACGCTGCATCTCCAGCTGACGGAGCTGCAGCCACACCGGAAACAGGGGCAGGCATCGGGCGGCTGCCGCCATCGCCCCACATGGCACAGGCGGCCTTCTTGCCCTCGCGGTGGGGGCTGCGCCCTTGCACCCGGCCTGCCCTCTGGGTTATGCTTAGAGGGGAGCTGGATGACGCCTCACCCGATCCCATAAACGCACAGCAGCGGGCCTTCGTCGCCACGGAAGAGGCCGGCGGGGGCAAGCCAACGTCCCTTCCCTTCAGCCGCCCGGCCTCCCACGGGGCCCGGATGCGAACATGCCTGAACCAGGCTCGCTTCCGCACAGGTGGAGCTGGCACTTGGCACCACCAAGCCCAGGAGAGCAACCCCACAGCCGCCCCCCGGGCCTCTCTCCCCTCCAGCCCCCGTCAGGCAGCTCCCGGGAGGGCTGGCGCATCCCAAACCTGAGGCGGATCCGGGTGCAGCGGGAGCAACATTTTCCCACCCTGAAAGGCGGCCTAAAGTCTGTCAAAATGAGGGGGCCCCGCGGGACACAGCCCCCGTGGGTCCATACCCTTTTCTGGCAGGACTGCCGGACGTCCTCCAGCTCCTCCTCCTTGTCCTCCAGGGCCTTCTGGTGCAGCTGCTTCATCCTCTCCATTTCCAGCTCCAGCCTCATGTGAAGCTGCGGGAGAAACAGGGACGCAGTGCAGCCTGAGCGCGGTGCCAAAATGCCCGCGGCGCTTCGGGCACGCAGCCCTCCTCGCAGCCCTCACGACAGCCCTGCAAGGCAGGCCGGAGCCTCAGGCCCAGCCGCCTCTGCAAAGTCAAGCCCCCGCCACGGAGGCAGGCAGGCGCCGGCAGCGCCGAGCTTTGGCGCAGGCCGCAAGGGCCTCTTCCAAGCTCTGCTTCTCCGGCGTGACGCGTGTTCGGGGAGTCCACCGCTAGCCATTCCTTTCGGCTGGTAAACTTTAAGGCAGCCATCTCACTATTTTATGTTGCCCTTTATAGAGTTAGCAATTGGCCTTTTACGCTGTCGGCCATGGAGGCAACGTCTATGCGAAGAAGCAGCGTTCCTCGCGGGAGCAGAAAGCCGGGATGGAAATGCAGCGGATAATGAGGCCGACGTGGAGAGCGAGTGTGGGCGGGGGCCCGCTTGGCCTGCCCCCAGTGCAGAGGGGAGACCGATCCGGGGTGTCCCCATGGCGCCCCCCGCCCCCCCAAGCGAGCGCCCTTCGGAGAGCCAGGCCGGGCAGCCCAGCACCCCCCCCCGCCTGCCGCACCTGCTCCAGCTGCTCCACGGTGCCCGCCTGGACGCTCAGCTCCTGCTGCTGCTCAGAGGCGCGCGATTCCAGGTCCCAGAGCCGCTTCTGCAGGGCGGCCGCTGCGTTCGCTCCCGGGTCGCTCAAGGAGCCGAGCTCCTGCACCTGGGAGGCCAGCAGGGCGATCCGCTGGCTGAGGCCGGTGTTCTCCGACTCCTTTTGCTGGGGTCGGGGAGGGGAGCGAGACAGAAACACTGAGCACCATCGAGACTTTCCAGAAGGTCCCTCTTCAAATAACAGCTTTAGACATCAGACTTTTTACCATCAGCCTCAACCCTGAATTCAAATGTTCAGATTCCAATACGTGTGTTTAATTGCACGAACTCGGCAAGTGTTCTTCCTTTTCATGTGCAGCGGTGCTCGAACGGAGGGGGGCCGGGGGCAATTCCGAAAAGAGCGGCTCCACCACTGCCTGCCTGCCTGCCTGCCTGCCTCCCTCTGGCGTGTCCCAGGCAGCAGCCCCGGACACCTTCTCTGTACACAGCAGACTTCCAGGGGGTGTCAGCAGCCCGCTCCCCACTTCCGCCCCAGGACTGCAGCCGGGTGCCAACCGCGCGGCTGCAGCAGCGGCCACTCCCCCTCTGCACAGCTCGACCGCCCTCCAGCCTGCCGGGGGTCCGACAGTCGGCCGGCCACGGGGGCTCCCCTGGCCCTGCGAGGAGCCGCCCCAGCCGGCCGGGCAGAACGCGGTGCCGTCCCGCCAGCCCTGCCGCAGGCCTGCCTCCCGCAGAGACCCGCTCCATCCCATCATCCCCTTTCCCGGCACGCCGTGCCTGCCTCGCTCAGGACCCCTCGGGCACAAGCAGGAGGTCTGGAAGAGGCTGCAGGCTTTCGAGTCGCCCTAACCGCGTTACTGTGCCGCACGCTGGACTCTTTCTCTGGGAACGAGTGCTGGGGGGGGCGGGGGGGTCTCAGCCGACGCTGCACCACGGCCGGCCGGGGGCTTACTTCCAAGCTCCTCTGCAGCTTCCCCAGTTCAAACTGCAGGCCGATGTTCTCCCGCGCCACTTTCTCGCGCTGGCTCCTCTCGAACGCAGATTCCCCCAGGGCCTGGGCCAGTTGCATGTCGAACCTGCCGGGGGGGAAGCGCACCCGCTGCCATGACCCAGCGCCCTGGGCTTGTGGCACGCTGGGGGGTGCAGGGGGGGCGTGCAGGGGGCCGAGGCAGACGGCCCTGCGAGGAAGGGGAGGCTGTGCTTCGGCCCCCGGTCCCTTTGGCGAGAGAGATCCCAGGCAGAGGAGCGGGAGAGACGCCCCCGCCCCACACTCGCCTGGGAGCACCGGCCCCTCCGTCGTAGAGCCCCCCTACCCCCACCCCCGCCCCCAGCTCCTGCCTTTCTTTTTTTAAGTGAATGCTCCGATAAATATCAATCTACAGATCTCCCGTCTCCAAGAGCTTCTGCAATAGTTGAACACCTTCCAATAATGGGATGAGATGTGAATTATTTGATTAGATTAGCAATTCATGAGCTCCCTATTCATAATTCATAGCCTGGCAATTTAGAATTCAGGGCAAAACTTCCACCGATTCAAATGGATGAACCTGGAAGTTTCCACGTATTCAGGAACACACGTGACGCGAAGACCGAACACGGCCGTGATCACAGTCAAGGGCTTGCCACCACATCGGTGGGCCGCCAGCATCCGGGGAGATCATTTAGTGTAGGATCGGGGCAAGAGACCGTAGGGTTTGAGGCGTGGAAAAGACTTGGAAGAGCTTCGAATGGAGGGAGGGGGGAAGGAGAGAGGACAGAGAACGGGTTGGCAGGTCCGTGCCTTTGGACTAGCATTCCCACCAGCCCCTGCCAGTACGGCCAATGGTCAAGCAGAGTGGGAATTGTAGTGCAGAACATCTCAAAGGCCCTGGTTCCTTTCCTGGAGATCGAAGAATCAGCTCCCTCTTCCTCAATTGGCAGGACTTCTGCATCCAACACAAACCTTTACTGGTGTCTGGAGGGACACACGGAAGCATGCCGGCCAAATTCCAGCCAGCTGCAGTCAGAAGCTCTCCGTGCGGCAGACGGCGGCTCGGAGTGCAGGCGGCCTTCCTCCCTAGGAAGCTGGCAGCACCCGAGCCGTCCACGTGCCCCTTCCTCTTCTGTTCCAGAAAAATACCTAGAAATCCATTCCCCAGCTCCTCCGGTTAAGAAATATTTCTCTCAGGTTTTCAGACGTAGGAAAATGGCTTTGGTGCCTATTTGTTTGTTCGTACCTGAGTTTAAAACACACACCTGGAAAGCCACCCACCATCAAACTTCAGGTAAACTGACCACAGAAAAGGAGGGAAGGCGCCAGTGCAGGAACAACAGATGTGAGCACCTCAAACATGAGCAAACAGTTAATTTATCCAGTCGGCTTGTTCTGAATACTCTTTGTTGGGGGCACTGGTGAAACGAAGCAACGTGATTTCCTTTGAAACAGAGCACACGGGAAATCCCTTGCTTACAGTTTCCTAGTGCCCCGAACTAAGAATATTAAAAACACACCAAGCAGAAGAGATTGCGTTGCCGTGCGCCAGATGCTTTTCTGCCTTCTTCTGCCCTCCCAGACTGAATTCGAGCTGTCTTCAGCTCAAAGGCAGCCCCCATGGGACCAACCTCCCCCCAGCCCCCCCCCCGAGTCTTACTTCTTCTGCTTCTTCTCCAGCTCATGGTTGCGGCTCTGCTGGCTCTCCATCAGCACCCGGGCATCCTCCAGATCACACGCCAGCTGCTTGCTCTTCCGTTGCAGCTGCTGCGCCATCCGCCTGGCGCCCTCGTGTGCTTTCTGGGCCTCACGGAGCTGCAGGGGGGCAACTCCGGCATGAGAAGCTGGTGTTGCCCCGGCGCGGCCCTGGGGCTCCCCGTCCCCGGGCACCGCGTGCCCAGCCCTCCGCGGGCGCCTCACCTTCTGCTCCAGCTCCTGCTTCGCCGCCTGCTCCTGCTCCAGCCGCTCCTCCAGCTGCGAGACCCTCTTGCGGAGGAACCCGATCTCGGTTTCCGCGCAGTCCAGGCGCATCTGCCACTCGTCCCCTGCCACGACGCGAGGAGGCGCGATCACGCCGTGGACCACCGCTCCCTGGGCGCGGGCTGGCCGCCGCCGCCGGGCCTCAGGCCTCTTCTGGGGCAGTGGGCAGCGCCGTGCACCCCACGCTCCGGGGACGGGTGGCGCATCGGATGGACCACCCTCCAGGGCCAGCCAGACCCCGCCAGCCCCTCCGCAGGCCCTCAGAAGGGCGCCACGCACCAGCACCGGGCGCTGCGAAGGGTGCCCTCCCCACTCGCGGGGCTTCCCGCCAGGAACAGCGCGTGCCGGGGACAGATTTGAGCGGACGCATCAGCGCCATGAGGCTGCTCATGAAAGGCCGGCGCTGCGGAGGCGCCTCCTTCTCCCAGGGCGCGAGGTGGCCGTGCGCACGCCGCCCGTGAGCCAAGCAGCAGCACCGACCGGGCGTCCACCTGCCAGCGGGGCGACCGCAGGGCAGGGCCTGGCTGGGGCCTCTGGATGGGTGGGGAGGGTGGGAAGCGCCACCGCTTCCCCGCCGCCTTCGGGCTTGCGGAGGCATCCGCGGCTGGCAAGTCCTCCTGACAGATCTGGGGCGCAAATTCTCCCGGGCAGCCGTGGGCTCTGCCGAGGCTTGATGCGAGCTGACACGCTCCCAGCCTGTCAAGACGAGCCTCCGCTGCCAGAGCGACGAGGGGAGAGCAGCACCCTGCCAGGGGGGCCAATCTCGAGCGGAGGCGAAGGAGCCAGAGGGGGTCTGGCCCGGGAGACCCACACGCCAGCGTGGCCCATTTCCACAGAACGGAGGCCGGCTTTGGGAGAGGGTGGCTGGGCCCGGCGGGAGGCCAGGTAAGGCTGCCCGGAACAGCCGCCCCGGCGAGCCAGCCTACCTTTGCCCGAGCCGCTTGCTCCAATTTCGCGCAGCTGCAGCCGCTGCTGCAGCTCCTCCAACTGCTTTTCCGCAGTCGCCAGCTTCTCCTGCAGCTGCTCCTGCTTGCTCTGGAACGGGGAAGCACACGGCCCGGCTGGGCGCTGCACCATCCTGTCTGGGCAGCGGGTCCGCGAGGCAGCCCCTGCCGCCCCCCGAGGCCTGTGGCAATCCTGGCCGGGCGCCAGCCCCAGCTCGCCCCAGGCCGCCCCCCAGCCTGGCACGCAAACGCCTCCCGCGCCGGCACGTACCTGCAGCTCGGCCACCTCCCTGGCGCCCCGCAGCCGCTCGGCCTGCTCGGCCTCCATGACCTGGCAGACAACGTCTCCTTTCGCGCGCTCGTCCGACAGCTCCGCCATGAGGTCCACGACCTGCGGGGAAGGCGGCACGGCCGTGAGCCGGGCTTGGCCCGTCCCCGAGGGGCTCCCCGCTTCGCTTCCCCCAAGACTCGCTCCTTCGCCTTCTCAAGCCACCGCGATACCTTTAAGGCCCTTCGCGTCAGTAGCCCCATGAACTGTGCGGGGTCAGGAGAAGCCCCCCGCTTAGCCGCCATTCGGCTCCGTGGGATGACACAGCCCCCCCCCCCCACGACATGATGCATGTGCCCCACTCCGGGCCTGCCCCTCGCTTGCTTCCCCGCAAAAAGCCCCACGCGTGAGAGCAGGGCACGGTGTGGGGCCCTGGCCAAGTCCATGCCGGCGCTGCAGAAGCGCTTGGGGCGGCCGCTGGGGGCGGCAGGGGGTGGGACCGGCCGCTCGGCTGTGGGGCGCGCACTCCGTCCATAGGGGCCACGGTGGCGATTTGGCACCGGCCTTGTGCGCCGGAGGCTCCCTACTGATGCAAATCCGCAGGTTTATTGGAAACCCGAAACCATTTGATAGTCTCCAGGGCGCTTGAGGCATAATTATAGTGTTAATTAATTAATTAATTGCTGAAAAGAGGCTTTGCCGGGGTTGCCAAACAACCGCTGTTTCTTTCCCTGTGAGGCTGAACGGCAGCACGTGCCCCGCTCCACACAGGGGTTCCCACCAGGAGGGCAGAAGGGGGCCGGGGGGGATGCTGGATGCTCTGCAGGGCTCCCCTTGGCACCCCGAGGGCCCCCCGCTCCCCGGGGCACGCGGTCTCCGTTCTGCACCCGCCTAGTTCCTCTTGATCTGTGCTCCCCTCCGGGCGGAGGGCTGTTGCCGTGGCACCGCCGGGGCAGTGACGGGGCCCCGTCTCGTACGAGCATTTGGGGTCGATTCCGCCCCCGCAGGATCACCCCAAGCTGCCCCAAGCACCTTTCCCTCGCGTTCCCCCCTTGGGCTGCCCGCGGGGCCCCGGCTGGCCCCGGGCTCTGTGCCACGGGCCTGCTGCGGAGCACCACTTCCACCAGCCTGCGCAAGGCAGAGGAGGATCTGGCCCGCGTGCGGAGTGAGCAGGCAAGCCCCCCTCGAGGCGGCTGCAGCTGCATCAGCTCAAAGCAGGTCATTTAACTCCCACGGAATGTTCCGAAAATGGGAACGAAAGCCGGCAACACGCCGGCTCAGAAATTGTTTTCCTTCCTCGGCCGGGCGGCTTTATGGAACTCGGCAGGGACTGTCGCAAGCTGTTCGAGCAGCTCCACTGCAGGGCGCCAGGGGAGGGGGACAGGTGGGCCGCAAGCCACACGCCTCGCCTCCTTCTGGGAGCAGGCCCAGGTGCGGCCCTCCCAGCCTCCGCAGCCCCGCCTGCTTCCGGCTGCGGGGTGCGACTCTCCCTCTGAATGGGGGCTTTGCGCTGGGGGCTGCCGGCCGCCCACCTCCCTGCAGAGGGGCCTGGCGGACCCTCCTCACCCAGAGGAAATGGTTGTCCTTCCACGGCTACAGGCTGGAGGGCGGTGGTGGCTAACGGAGCCCACCCACCGCCTCCACTTCTGCAGGACCCAGCTGGGCCTCCATGAACTGGCCACACCGGCATCTGGAAGAAGCCGGGCAGGCCCCCAAACCGCCCAGAAATCAGCCCCACTTAATTTTTTCTAGGGGTCTGGCTGTACCACACAGGTGTGTGAATACTCAGCACGAAGAGGACTGCAGCGAGAGCGGCCAAGAGCGCCATCCGCCCGCCCAGCCGCGCCTCTTCCGGGGTGAGGACCCGTGTGCTGCTCCGTCCACCCGGTCGGGGCTCCCAGGGGCTCTGTGCCCACGGGACACCTGTGCCAAGGGGCAAACGGACTGCGGTGGAGGACAGTCGTGTCAGAAGCGGCCTGACCCTGACCTGAGCGGGATCGCTGGCCTTTCTGCCCCAGGATTGCCAGCGCTGGTAGGCAGCATCGCTCAGCCCCTTCCCCCCCCACCAGAGGCTGCCGGGGACTGAACCCACAGCCTCGGCGTGCTCGGCAGGGGCTCTGCCACAAAGCTTTGCCCCCCCCCCCCAAACAAGGGAGACCTGGGGGATGCTCTGCCAGCGGAGGGAGGCCTGATGGCCCGGAAAAGGGCCCCCGGGTCCTGGAGAAGAGGGGCGGAGGCTGCTGTTCTCTGCTGTGGCCCCACCACCCTCCGCTCAAGCCACGGGGCGCTTGGAGCCGTCGGCCCCGGCAAGGCAAGTACGGCCGACTCCCCGCCTGCCACCGGCACCGAGCCCATGAAGTGCCGCGCTCGCGGTTCGTGCCCAGGTCGACGAGAGAGTGACCGCGAGGGGGTAACGAGAGCAGGTTCCCTCTAACTGTACTTCCCCCGCTCGGCACTGCCGTCGTCACGAGAACGGATCACACGTGCGCTGCCGCTTTTCCCGAGGGTCAGGCGGCCCGCGGCCCCTCCTGGAACGGGCCGGTGCGAAGGAGGCCTGGCTTGCAGGCGCGCCTCCCCTGCCCCAGCCGCAGAACCCGGGCTGGATTCGGACGTGCCCCGTCCACACACGGTGCATGCAAGACTCGTGCGGCGGCCCCGCCGGGAAGGAGCGCTCCGGGGCCTCCCGCGTCAGCTGAGGGATGGACCGTCACCCCACGGAAAGCCCAGCTTTGCACGCAGAGCTGCCCACTCGCGGTCCAATCCCAGAGCCCCGTCGGCATCACCTTCCTCCCCAAACTTTGCAAATGAACACATCGCTCTGTCCAGCCCAGGCTGCTTATGCATTGGCCGAACCCTAGAAATCGCCACCTTCCAGGAGAACAAAATAAAGTCAGTCTTTGGTGGTAAGACAGGCAAAGAACTCCTCCGTGTTTGCCTAATGTATGCACTCTTGCTCCATAATATTGTTTGGATTCCCAAAAGGCAGAAATCCCGGGATGACAAATGCTTGGGCGCACTCAGCCCTCGAGCGACCGCACGCTGGTTCGGATCCTCGCTTCCCTCTGGGCTTCCGTGCGCTTGCACCCTCCGCCACCCCGCTCGCTCGGCAAGCAGCGTCCCCCAGGTCTTGGAAGCCACCCAGCGGGGAGCCGGCCTCTCCCCTCGAGCACAAGATGAAGACCCACAAACTGTTCGCTCCCTACCTTGGTTTCCAGCGCTTCTGTGCTCTGCTGAAGCTCCTGGCGCGAAAGCTCGGAATTTTCGAGCTTTTTCCGGAGCATCGTCAGCAACTCCTAAAACAAAATTTTGGATGCCTCTTTGGGATGCCTCCTGTCCTGCCTTTGTTTACTGGTTCACACGCTCCAGCTGGTCACTTCCATCCCTCACCCCCTGCATTTCTCCGTTATAAAACTTTAGACTGCATGTCCTTTGCCAGACAACGGAGGCGGAAGGCCTCCTCGTGAAACGCCTAAGGGGATGCGGAGGAGGCGAAGCTGCCCTCCCAGTTCCCAGTTCGGGGCTGGCCCCTCTGGCCCCAAATGGTCAGCTCCAAGCGGCGGCAGCTCTGGAGGAACCAGGGCGGGAAGGGCCTCCCCCCCCCCACGAGCCGCCAGGGCGCCAAGCTCCGGTCCTGCCCCAAGGCAGGGCAGGCCGAGGCACTCGGTGGTGTTCCCCACGGCCGATGGGCACAGGCCGCCTGCCCCGGCCCCCGGGGAGCCCCTCGGAGCCGCACGTACCTCCTTGGCACGCAGCTGGCCCTCGGCGAGGCTGGCGGTCAGCAGCGGGCGAAGGCCGCACAGCAGCCGCCACCAGGGCCAGCCCCGCACGGCCTGGAAGACGGCCAGGTTCTTCTGGATGCAGCGTGCGGCCAGGTGCTGTATCTGAAAGGAGGGCGGCGGTCAGCCACGAAACCCGGGAGCAGCCCTCCACGGGCCTGGACGCAGCGCCCCAGCAAGCGGGCCCCCCGCGCCCCCCCTCCACGGGGCTCGCGTTTGGCCTTCCCAAGGCAGAACAGAGATGCTACCTCCAACCTGGAAAAAGGCCACAGAGGCACTGGGCCAGAACCCAGCCTGGAGCCCTCAACCAGCCCAAGGGGGGGCCCATCTAGCCCAGTATCCTGTCTCCAACAGGGGACAGCAGCCAGATGCTTCCAGGAAGCGCACGGGGCAGGAATCCCCGCTCGCGTGGCTCTCCAGCAGCTGCGGAGACAGGCAGCAGCAAACGCACCCTCCCCGAACCCAGTGGTCTGGCTGTGTGGACCGCCACTCCCACCATGCCCCGCCAAGCCAAGGAACGACGGGGTCTGTCGTCCGCACATCTGTGGGGCACCGGGTTGGGGAAGGCTGCGCTGAAGAAGCACCCCCTCCCCATTGTCCTCGCGAAGCCTCAGAGCCCGAGATCCGCCGGGAGCCACCGCAGGGGCGGCGGAAGGCGCTACCTTCAGCTTCTTGTATCTCTGGCGGGAGAGGAAGCCCTTGCAGGCCGCCTGCAGGAGCGGCAGGTTCTGGGACACCAGCTTCTCCCGCTGCTTCTCCAGCCTGGGAAGGACCCCGGCCTTCAGGAACACCTGGCGACAGGCAGAGGAGGGGGAAGGAAGGTCACCCGTCGCGCTGGGTGCTGCGCCCAGGCGGAGGCCAAGGGGCGTGGGGGGGCAGGACGGAGCCGCTCCGGAGCCAGGGGCCGCCTCCGCCCGCGTCATGACCGAGGGGCAGCCCGAGCACTGCCGCCCCCTCGCCTACCTGGCGGCGTCCCACCGCAAAGCTCTTCTTCTCCAGATCGAGCGCCTGCAGCAGCTCCTTGAACGCCTGCAGGGAGAGAGAGAGGCCCGTGGGGCCGATCCCTCAGCATCGCCCCACAAGCAGCCGGTCCCATGAGCCCTCCTCCCCCAAAGCCCCGCGGCCCCCCAGGCCTCAGCCCCCCGTCACCCAAGAGGCCCCCGCGGCCGCGGCCGGCATGACCGGGCAGGGGCCCCTGCGCCCACCTTACTCTCATCCGTCATCTCATAGGCCGACGTGTACTTCTTCATCACGGGCTGGGCCAGGATCTGGAAGCGGCGCCGGAACTGCGGCAGCGCCATGCGGTCCGCGAACCCTGCGGGGCGCACAGGACAGGCACCGCTTGGGGGGAAGGGGCCAGCCGAGGGCCGATCGCTCGGGGCCACGGAGGCATCCGGTCTGCACACACGGCCCTCGCGGAGGAGGACGCTCCCGGCCCACAGACGCCGAGGGCATGCGCTCATCGCCCTCGGAGCCGGAGCGGCTGGTGACCCTGAGCCTTCCTCCCGCCACATCAGCCAGCCCAAGCCCATGTGCCACCAAAAGCACCCACGAGAGCTGCTGTGGGGCCCCACGCAGGGAATGGGGGCCCCCCGAGGACAGCGGAAGGGGCCGGGGCTGGGCCGGCACCCCCTCACCCCACAGTCTGCCTGCAGGTGCTTGCGGGGACCCCAGCCAGACAGAAGGACACCAGCTCTCCTCTGCTGCCACTTGTGTCCCCAGCATACTGCCTCCGAGGCAGAGGGAAGGCCTAGCCACCAGGAGCCACGGCCCTCGAGCACCTCGCTCTCCCGAGAGTCGGCACCACCCCACACGGCCCCAGCCGAGGGGCAGGCAAGCGGCTCCCTCGCTTCGGCCTGCCAGGCCCCTCCGTGCGACCCACACCATTTCCAAAGGACCCCTCCTCGGTTTCCGCGGGGTTTTAGGGCTGCTGCTTCCGAGGGTCTGTGCCTTCCCGAGACTGAGTTCTACTGCCTTTGCGCTGATTGTATTTTAAATCACGTGCCACCCCGGCAAGCTGGTGCTGAAAGGCAGCCCAGGAATCAGTGGAAAAGGCGGGCAGCCAAGGGCTGCTCAGAGCCCCCCAAGCAGAGGCTGTGCTCCAGCCGCTTGCGCGACCGGTGGGCCAAGATGGCTCTGGCCAGCCAGAAGGCCGAGGAACCAGCTGGCAGAGCCTCTGTCCATCTGCCTCGGGGACAAGGAGCGCGGCCCCGGTCTCCTCCAGTCCTCAGCCCTTCTGTGGTGCCATGCCTCCCCCGGTTCCCCGTCTGCCTCTGCCGCCCCCTGCCTTCGACACGGGGCGTTCTGCAAAGCCCCCTCCCAAAGCAGGCAGAATTAAGCTCTCTGTGCTCCACAGCCGAGCGGAAATGGAGCGTTTCTGCAAAGCAAAAAGGGAGCCGGAAAGATAAATTCCTGGCTCTGATTATTAATTTTACTACCAGCATTTTAATGCTTTTTACCTTTTAATGCTGGAGCATTTTGCATTGTCGAATCTATTGTTTTGGTCTTTGTTTTATTATTGCCTGGGGTCCCTTATTCATGACTAGAACCTGCCTCTACAGCATCTGTCAGATGGTGGTATATAAGTTCAATAAAGAGCCACATAAAATGAGCCAAGAGGCAGGCTGGATCTGGCCATCCCAGCCAACGACCAGAGCTGGACAGCCCACAAATGGGGTGCTGAAACGATGGGATGCTGCCCGTTTCGCTCGCCGCCTTGGGCATCGGGGGCCCACGGCCTCGGCACACGGGGGCGCGAGCAGGACTTCCGCCATCTCCGGCATCGCCTCCCACCCCATCCTCCCATCCCATCTCTGGCCGAACAGGCATCCTCCAAAGAACGCTACGGAGGAGCCGGAACGAGCCGCATGCCCTGCCGGCAGCCACCGCGACGCGCAACAGAAGTCCCCCGCACCGATCCGGTGAAGCCGTATCGCGTCCAGGATCTGGCCTCCGGAGAGCTGGACTCGCAGGGCCAGAATGTCCCAGGCTGCCATGGAGGCGCCTCCGGGCCCCCCGCAGGGCTGCAGGGGCGTCTCTCCCGCTCGCTCTGCCTCCGTTCGCGGGACCAGGCAATGGACAAAGTGGATCTGGGACCGCTTAACCAGGTTGATGATAGCATCCTGTGGAGAAAGAGCGGGGCGCCGGGATTCATCCGGGACGGGGGGGAGGGGCGCCAGACATGCTTGACATCCTGGGACTGCCCAACCCAGTATCTCCAGCACCGACTGGCAGCAGCGGCTCTGCAGGGACGCAGGCAGGGCTCCTTCCCGGCCCTTCCCGGAGCTGCTGCCAGGGACGGAAGTGGGGCCTTCAGCATGCAAGGCGCGGACTCTGCCCGACAGGCCCGCTCTTCCCCGAGCGAGAAGCTGCCCTCTGCCGCCCACACCCCGGCCCACCGAGCAGAGACCTGAGGGCGCAGGTCGGGCAGCGGGGCTCTCCGAGGTTTGGGGCGTCCCCGTTCCACCCCACCCCGTTCCACAACCCGACACGGGGGCTCCAATGCGGCTGCCTCTCCACAGAATGGAACAGAACGCAGAATCCGGACCCCCGCGGGCCGCGCAATGACCCCACGGCTCCCTCCCCCCGGGCGCTTCTGCTCACCAGCTGCAGCTTGATCTGGGCGCACACAGATCTTTTCCGCACGGCCGCGAAGCTGCTGCTGAAGGTCTTCCGCACGCAGCCGACGCGCCGCAACGCCGCCTGCCCGGCCCCCTCCAGCCCCGCCACGGCCCGGCAGGCCAGCGGCACCTTGGCGCGCGGCAGGAACAGGTCCCTCAGCGCGACTCTGCGGAAGCAGACGGTGCGGTGGGCTCAGGCACGCCCAGCTCCCACGGCCCCCCCAGATCCCGGCGCGGCTCCAGAGCCGGCCTGCCGCGAGGCCCCCGGGCGGCGGCTCCCCGCTTACACGCTGGACTGCTGCAGGAGCTGGGCGGCGTTCTGCGCGGAGAGGTTCCACTTGCCCTTCCTCACCCAGCCGGCGGCGTCGTAGCGGACGGGGTCCCGGCCCAGCTGGTGGGCGACCTCGAACTGCAGCTCCTGCTCGCACTTGCGGAGTGGCCCCCGTCCTGCGGCACGTGGGAGACAGCGGCGGTGGGCCACGCGAGCCGCGGAGAGAACCCGCCACCCGAGGGGCACCGGGGGCACGTGCAAAGGGCTCCGAGCGGGAGGGGCTTGGCGAAAGGAACGAGTCAGACCAGTCCAAGCAAGCAAGCAAACTCAGTGGGACCCTCAGGAGCACACGGGTGAGATCTCCTGGGGTCACGGCACCTCCCCCCACCCCGCCCCCTGCCCCTGGCGGGCACCCCCAGAGCTGCCCCAGCCCCGAGCTCGACCCCGGCCAAGGGGGCCCGCTCCACACTGTACCTTCATCGCTCAGCCCCTCCCGCGCAAAGTAAGAGCACAGGCGCTGGACGGCGGCACTGTCGCTCGATCCGGGGATCAGGGCCTCCTCGTCCAGAATCCAGAGCAGGCCCTTGGGGCCGTCTGCCTGGCCCCCCGCCGAGACGTGTACCTGGAGGGGCGCGAGAGCCAGAGACTGAGTGCGCGGGCAACACCGAGGCCCCGGGGGCACCGACCGCCCGTGCCCGGCTGAAGCCCATCGCCTGCCCAGGGCGCCTTCGCCCTCGTTGCCGCTACCGACCCCCTGGAGCCGTTTCCTGTCTGCATCTTCCAGGCCGGGGGGCAGAACTCTTTGGGGCCCCCCAGGGCCACACCCCTGAGGCAAAGGGGCAGCCCCAGAAGGCTCGTGCTCACCCAAGCTAGCCTCTCGCTCGTCCGCCAGGGGCTCGGCCTGGGCAGCGGCCTTTCTGAGCGAGGCCTCGGAGCCACCGGGTGGCTGGCGGCGGGGAGGGGAAGGGAGGGCATGTGCTGGGTGGACTGCCTGGACGGGGGTCCCGGGGGCCAGGCGGGGGTCCCGAGAAAGCCAGCAGCCGCTTTTCTCCTCCCGCCGCGAGCGCATCAAAGCTCCCACACCAGCGCTCGCCTCCAGAGGAGCGCAGCTCCTTGGCAGCAGGCACGGCACGACCCCGCTGGGAAAACAGGATCCCCGGCGGAGAGGCTGTGCGCGGCGCGTGTTCCCGCCGGGCCGAGGTGGCGGGGAAATGTCAGCCCCAGCCGGCCCCCCCGCAGTGCCCCCTTTATTGATCAATTACCTGGGATGAGTTTTGATCGGCGATGGCCACGGTGGCTGCTGGGGAGAGCTCGGGCAGATCAAAAGCCACCTCGATCTTTTCCTGGAATGCATTAATGGGGAAGGAAGAGTTTGGATCTGAGTGAAAGAACAAACGAGCCTCTTGCTCTGCCTTCAAAAAGGGAGAAGCCCCCCCCCCGCCCCCCTGGCCTCGGCTTCCCCTCCTCTGTGACACTCCGAGGCGGATCAAAGCCTTTGAAGTGGCAGCTCCTGCGGCGCCAGAGCCGCCTCTCCCGAGTTGCTCCTGTCACGACACCGTCGCTCGCGGAGCCGGAGCAGAACGCCAAGCCGCTCGCGGGCACGGCGGGCGCCCCGGCAGCGTGGGCCTGTCCCCACGGGCTCCGAGGGGCCCCTCAGTGCCCCCGCAGCGCCGGGGTCTCACCCCCGTGGCCCCATCCCTCCCTGCGCCAGATCGCAGACCCCTCTCCCCGCCTGAGCCGCCCAGCCTGGGCTGCTGCCCCACAGCCTGGCCCAGGGCTCCCCCCACGCGCTTCCAGGGGTGCAGAGACGGCCAAGGCTGGGCGCTCTGCAGAGGCCGCCTCCAGACCCCTGGCCTTGTGAGCGGGTGTGAGGGAGGGACCGCTCTCCCCTCGCCGCCCCGCCACGGCTGGGCCGCACCTCCTGGTACCGCTCCAGGGCAGCCAGGAAGGTCCGCTGGTGGAAGAGGCCCTGCAGCCGCTCGTGGGCGTAGTTGTGGCAGAACTCCTCAAACGTGGCCGCCCGCTCCTTCTTCTGGTGCCGCGGGTTGTGGAAGCCGGGGGTGTCCACCACCATGATGGAGGCCGTGGAGAGATGGCTGGAGGAGAAGGACCTGGGGCAAAGGAGATCATCGCCCTGAGGCGCGCGTAAGCCCACCATGCTGAAGCCCAGCCTCTGAGGGAAAGGCGGCCTGTCGCGGCTGGCAGGGGCTTCCCGCTTCTGGGCTCGAGCGAGCACTCTGGCGGAGGGCTGCTTCCACGGGGTCATCGGGCCGCGGTGAGCTGCCACCACCAGCCGGAAACGACCTTGCTGCCTCCGAGGACCACCTCAAGCGCTCGAGTCCCCGGGCCTCCTTTCTGCCACCCAACACAACCCCAGCATTAAATGCTATTCATTCCCCACCGAAAGATTCATGACTTCAGGCAGGCAACAGACCGAAATGCCCAACCCAGGCCCACAAGGTCAGCCGCAGGCGATGATCTCATTCCACGCAGGGGGACCGGCTGGGCCAGGGCTCTGATCCACGTCCCACACGCCGCCGCCGCCTCCCTTGCGCTCCCTCAGATGTTAGCGCAAACCAAGGAGAGAAAGCCTCCCGGGACGCCAGGAGGTTCCAGCACTGCCTCTCCTCCCACGAGCCCAAGGCCTGCGAGGTGCCCTCCAGGCACCCCCGAAAGCACCAACTCAGCAAGTCAACCTGGACCCGGAAGCGGCAGCACCAACTGCCTAGTTCCCTGAAAACTGGCTGGAATGGACAGGCGGGGAGCTGATGCAGAGAAAGCGGCTTTTTCAGTTATGTTCAGCTTCCTACTTCTATGCCGCCCCATATCCCGCGGGTTCTCTCAGCAGAAACGGCAGCCAGTGCCCCTTTGCTCTGGGGCGCTCCACGGCCTGGAGGCAGCAAACCTCACACAGCCTCAAATGCTGCACAACAGCCCGCTCAGCCCCGAAGCGGATCAGCTGCTTCCCCCTCCGCAAAGGCCCGCATGCCCCGAGTCGCCCGCAGTGCGACTCCTCCCGGTGGGGAGTCCGGCACTCCAGGGAGGCGCCCGGGAAGCAGCGAGTGCGCCTGAAAGGCCGCGCTCAGGCGGAGGACGGTGCGCTCTGCCTTGTGGCTTGGCCTCTGAATTATGCCACACACCATAGGTGGGATCCTGCAGCGCGCCTGGAGGGCAGAGCCGCTCGGGGAGAGGAAGGGCCGCTTCCAGGCACCTGCAGCCGCAGCCTCGCCCTCCAGCGGCCGCCCCAGTTTTTCCTCCAGAACGGCCTTCCTTTATCCTCAGGCCGGGCTGCGGGCGCGAAGTGGCCCCCACGCACTCGGCTGGTGAAGCCCCCTGGGCCGGCGCGTGGGCACGGCCCACTTCAGAGCCAGACCCTCCCGTACCTGTTGATCAGCGACACGACGGCCGCAAACAGCTCCTCGTAGAGTCCGGAGGCCATGCCCTCCACGCATTCCAGGCCGGTCAGCTTGGGGCCTGCAGAGACACGGGACGGGGCTGTGGGCACGCCACAAAGCAAACCCGGGGTGGGGGCGGAGCAGGACCGAACCCCATCCGCGCGCGGGGCAACTCGGGGGCGCGGAGGGAGGGCCGGGAGCAGCCATTTTGTGGCCAGCAAACCTGGGGCAGCTCCTTTGCACTGGCGCCCGTGGCAGATTCCCGCTTTCGAGTCTGCCCACAGGCCCTGAACGGCTGGAAGTGCTGCCCCAGCATGTCGCTTGCACCGTCTTTTTAAAAGAAACCGATCTTGTTATTTCTATGCTTGGAAATATTTTAAAACTTGCTTTCCTTCGAGGAAGTGGGCGGGGGGGTGTCTGCATCCCCCAACTCTGCCCGTGAGTGTGGTTGTTGCTTTGTGCATCCACCGAACGCACAGTCAGCGGCAGGGGGGAGAGGGCCACATTGAAATACTGATTGAAGGAGGGGTGTGTGGGGGGAGGGGGGAGAAAGGAGGGACCAGGTAGCTCTCTGAGCATCACACATGCTGCACCGCCTGGATCCTGAGCCAGTTGCTAGGAAACGGACCATCAGCTCGGCTGGCGCCTTTCCGAAGCTGCGGCTTTCCGGCCGTTCCTTGGCACATTTCAGCCACGGACACTGGTTGCGACACAGCGCACAAAAACAAGGCGTGGGGCGGGGGGCTGAAAAGAGACTCTGGAAAATGTGTGTGTGTTGTGGGGGGGTGGATCTTGTCAAGAAAGGAAACAGCGAGAGGGCTGGCACCGAACAGCTCGCCGGCCCCAGATCTCAGCAGGCTGCACATGTCGTCCTCAGTGACTTTCCTCTCCCCAGCCCCTCTCCTCTCTGGCTTTCAAACACCTGATATTTACAATTCAAATGGCTGTTTGCAAAGCCACCGGGCTCTCTGCCTTCCAGCCTGGTTTCTGGAAAGGGCTGAAAAGCAGAAGGAATTAAGCTTTTAAAAAATTAAAGCCCACGCAGCCTCCTTCTTTTGAGTTTAAGCCCCGAACAAAAAATGCGACAAGCGCACCTCTGATGAGGCTGAAGAAAGGAGAGGGCGTTGTGACTGCAGGGCGCATCTCAGAAGGAACCTTTGCCCGCGGTTGCGGGGGGGGGGGCGCAGGGGGGGAGTGGGCGCAGCGCAAGCCCTCAGGACGACCTGGGGCTGCTCACTGCCCCTCCGCCTTCACCCCCCTGCAGCTGAGTCCCCCTTCGGGAACCACAAACGGAGAGGAAAAGGAGGGACCGAGCCCAGCGCCTGGTGCCACGGAGAAGCTCGAGGCTGCGCCTGGAGGGAGCGTCTCTGCGCAGCAGGCGGGGCAGAGGCTGCGTGGCTGGAGGGGGCCCGGGACCCAGGCGCCTCGAGGAGTCTCTGCCGGGGTCTGTTCGCATGTCATGGGAGGCCAAGCCAGCCAACTGGTTCCCCATCCAGATCGTGCCAAATGAAAGAAATTCTCCATTACTTTCCACCTTCTCCCAGACCATCCCAAATGGATGAGGAAAGATTATTTTAAGCTCAAATGCCAGTTAGGGGAAGATCTTGGGGGTTCTGAGGGTGGGGGATGCTGCAACCACAGTCCCTCGAGTGAAGCCAGCAAGCACCCGGCTGGGCCCTTCAGAGCGGCCCTTCGCTCTTGCGGAAGCAGAGAAAAAGCCCCACAGCAAAGTGATGCCAAAGGATCGCGAGACGGCAGAAAGGGGAGGGGCGCAGCCGTCGGGGGAGCCCCTGGGGGTCCGGGTGCGCTCCCCGGATTCCTCCCCTGGGCCAGAGCTTCTGCGCCCAGGCGGGCCTTGCCCACTCGGTCGCACAGGCGGCTCCGCACGGCACCTCAGCCAAGGGGGACCGGCCTGGGGAGCGAGGGGGGGGGAGAGGGGCCCCGGGAGAAGAGGGAGGGGGGAGAGGGGAACGGGCAGTACCGTCAGCGGCGTCCTCGTCCTGGCCGAGCTGCCCCCCGGCCCCGGAGGTGGCCTGCTCGATGATCCGCCGGAGGTGGTGCTTGAAGACCGCCGTGGTGAGCTCCTCGAAGTCGCAGCCCAGCGCCTCGGCCGCGTGCCCGGCCCACTCGAACCGCATGAACTGCTTCCTGCCCACTGCACGGAAAGGAGCCGGGGGGGAGGAGGAGGGGGGGAGGAGCACACCGCTTTACTGGGGCTGCTTCGGCACGCTGCCCCCCCCCGCCGGTTCCGGGGAGGCCCATCGGTGCCCCGAGCCGAAGCACGGACCCCGTGGGGTCTGCTGCGGGGAGAGCGGCCAGATTAGGAGGCAATGTGGGGGGAGCCGAAGGGAAGGCACGGGGGGGGGGGAGGGGGGTTCGGGGTCGAGCGGGGGGGGGGGAGGGGGGACAGCGGGGGGGGGGGGGGGCTGCTCGGGTGAGGGGGGGGGGGGCTAATGAGCTGCCGGTTGATGGGAGCCATTCATAAAAGAGACAGAGAGCAGAATTAAACTGATTGTTGCAATTAGGTTTCATTTCACCTCTGAGTGCCGCCTTCGATTTTACGCTGCAGGAAACGTATTTCCATATGCCGAAATGCAGCACCAACCATTTTAAAGGGCAGATAAAAAAAAAGACCGAGCCCCCGGCTCCAAGCCACCTCCACAATTCCTGCTGCTCCCAGCCGGGAAAGGCCCCGCCGTGGGGCTCGGCACGAGCACCCCCTCTCAGCGAGTCCCGGAAAGGAGCGGCCCCCGGGGACCCCTACGCCCCAAAGTGCCTCCACAGGGCGCTCCTCGGTCCCCCGGAATGACGCTCTCGGCCTCCAAAGGTCGGGTGGGGAGGGAAGCCGCCTGGCTGGGGGGGCTTGGGAGGCTGGGGGTGCCCACTCCGCTCTGCAGAAATTGAGTAACGAAGGCTGGCCTGCCTCTGCCCGGTGCCCCAGTTTCAGTGGCCTGATCGACACCCTGATTTCTGCCCTCGCCCGCGTGCTGCCCAGACCGCCCGGAAACTCTCCGCTCTAGCGAGGGGCGGCCTGTCAGGGAACACGCCTCCGAGTCCCGAGGCAGGCGTGCCGTGTGCAATCGACGGGAAGGGGGCTCGCGGGGCAGCTGGACCCTGGAGGCCTCGCTTGGGACGACTCTGCCCGCAGAAGTACCCGCCTTCCAGCGGAAATGCCCTGCCCCAAGGCTCCAAGATCGACCACCCGGGAGGCGCGAGCAGATTTTGCAGCTCAGCCCACGGCAAGCGGTGGGGGCCCATCCACTGCGCCCCCATTTTGCACTTTGTAGCCGCCCCCAGCTGGAGCAACCTTCTCCTCCAGATGTTCTGGACTACAATGCCCAGCATCCCCAGCCACATGCCCAGAGCTGCAGCCCAGCACACCTACTGAGCAGCAGGCCGGGGAAAGCAGGATCCGAAGCAGTCCTCGCGCTCCCGCTAGAAACCGGAGCAGGGCGTTCCTCATTCCTCGGCGTGGCCGGGCCTGCTCCGACCCGCTCCCTTCAGCCCCGGGGCCAAATTCCACCCGGACGGGGCTGCTGGCTCCCGGCCCACTGAGAGGAGCCATCCACAGCGCCCCACGAGGCGGGCCCCCACTGCCCACCTCCACAGGCCTGCTCGGGCACCGGCCCCACGCGGCGGGCGGCCAAGCACAACGTCACACTCCCCGGCCCTGCGCGACCAGCGCCGGCACCCGCGCAGCCCTGCGCACGTGCCTTTGCGCGTGCGCCGGCTTATACGCCGGTACATCAATGGTTTTTATAATGCATTTTATCGATTTTTATCGCTCCGATCTTGGCAGAGCACCCAGAGAGCTTTGGCTATTGTGGGGAGAGAAAGGGAATAAATGGAATGGAATGAAATCGGCGACGGTGGGAAGGGGCTCCCGAAAAGAAAAGCGGGCTCAGGAGCAGTTCCGGGCAGGAAGAGGAGTGGCCGAGGACAGGGCCCGTCTCCCCGCCCGAAGTGTGCCTGGCCCCTCGCTGCGGCTTTGATCCATTGTTAAGCCCCTGGTTCCCGATCGCCTCCCCTCCCCCTTCCTCAGCAGATGGCAGCCAAATCGATGCCGGAGTGGAGGAGGCGGCTGCCGGGCCTGGCGAGGAGACGCCGTGGCGGCACAGGGCAGGGAGGGCGGCTGCCTGGCCACGGAGCAGCCGCTTTCCTACACGCCCCGCCTGGCGGCCCGTCCAGCTTCGCCCTCGTCGGGCTGCTCGTTCGAAGCCCGGAGCCCGCGGGGCACCCGCCTCTCGGCCCCTGCCGCACGGTCGCGTGCCCATCCGTCGCATCTCAGCCCCACACGGCTCCCCGGCCCCTTCCCTTCTGCCATCCTCCACGCTGCAGAAAGGCGGCCCAGCAGCTCCGTGCGGGGCACGGGAAGGGCCCCTCTGGACCCCGGCAGGATGATGCCACCCGCTCCTGCCTGCGGTGGCCTCCAAGAAGCCCCAGACGGACACGCAGACAGCAGCCCGCCCTCCCCGTCGCTCCCCAGAAAGCGGCATCCAGGGCACGCCACGTCTAAATGCAGAGCGGCCACGGCCACACGCCACGGAGAGGCCTGTTGCTGGGCTGCACCCTCTGCCAGCCACGCGCTCTCGGGCCAACCGTAAGGGAACTCTCCGGCCACTGGGACTCACTGCCCTTTCTCCCCGCAGAGAGCCAGCCATGACAAAACCTGGAGCTGACCAGGGACAGGAGGGGACGCCAGAGCGAGGACCCAGCTCTGCTGCGGGCGTCCCAGAGAGCCCATCCACCCGGCCCTGCAGATCGGAGGATTCCCAGCTGAGCAAACCCAGGGCGCCTCCCCTCCAGAGGAATTAAACCCTCCGCCCAAGGGAAAGGGTCGGGGAAACCGCTGGCAGAGCCTGGTAGGACGCGCTGTAAGTAACTTTCGTGCTTAAGGGAACGCTGGCCTCCACAGAATCCATCCAGCAGACAAAGGACACCCTCCAAGCTCTCACTTTCCAAATTTTTAAATAATTAATACTTGATTAATGGGAGGAATTACCACACGGCATGCTGCGACATGCTGCAGAGATATTTATAAATGGGCCCCCGGCTGACTCCGTGGCACTCGCTCCTGCGCCCTTTCAAGGCACAGTCTATAAATTATCGGGAGCTGTCAGTGCCTCTGCGGAACAATTTAAGAGGATCATCGTGGGCTCGCTCACGCTGCAGGTCGGCTGAAGACTCTCCCTGCCCAAGCAGAGGCGCGGCACCAAATAACAATCGGGAGATGGTAAAAACGCCGCAAGCCAGTCCTGGCGGATGCCACCTGGGAGCACGGCGAGCTGGAACGCCGCCGGCATAATCGGACCTTCCTGTCCATTCCCATAATAAAACGCTCCAGAACCGCTAAACGGGCAAGCGCAGAATTAAGCAGGGTCCACGAGAGAAGAGAAGCGGCGCGCGCATCACTCTGGGAGCCCCCAGGCAGGTGCCCAGCCAGAGACGCACCCCACCTGATTCGGGATAGAGGCAGCAGGTCGGGGGCAAGAAGCCGCCCTCACCGAGCTGCCGTTTCCAGCACTGCGGTCGGGGCCCCGTGCAAACACACTCACCCTGGTTGGAGGCCGGGTGAGAAAAGGGCCGGCGCTTCCTCCTAAGCACAAGTGTCTGCAGGCTCTGCTCTCCAGGGCTGCGGAATTCCCTGCTCCGGACGCGGAGGGAGGCGAGCGGGAGGCGGGAAGGAAGCCGCGTGGGCCTGGAGAGGGGCAGTCCCTTCCCACCCCACCCACGGAACAGCCCTCGTTCGCATGGCGGCTTTGCCCGAAGAGCTGGACAGCAACCTGCCGGCTGGGGGCGGTGGGCGTTGCAACCCAGAGTGCTGGGTGACCCCATGCCGCAGGAGCCCCGCTCTCCCGCGGTCCCCCCACACGGTGCCTTCCCAAGGAGCCGGTCGGGCAGCACACGCCCCCCTGGCCAGGCCTTACCTCTGCAGGCACCGGCTGCCCCAAGATGGTAGATGCCAGCCAGGACTCTCCAGATGGCCCCCTGCTCTCCGGCGGAGATGCCCAGCGTGCCCATGGCGGCCCGGAGCTGGGCGAACGCGGCTGAGGCCTTCTGCTTCTCGTCGGCCTGCAAGGACAAGCCACCTCAGAGGCAGGGAGGGGGCGGCCCGGTCTGGGGCAGTGGGTTTTTAGAAAAGCAGAAGCCCCGGAGTGGGGGAAACAGACCCCAGGGTCCTTGAAAGCAGAGCACCCCCAAAAAGGAACCTCGCAGGTCAAGCCCCACCAGGTGTTGGGCACTGGGAGGCCCCCAAGGAGCAGGCAGCCATCCGCCTTCCCCACCTGGGCCCCCCGGCACGGACCCCAGAAACCCCCGGACATCGAGAGCCTTGCCTCCCACCCACCCAGCGGGGACGACCAGCGTGGGCCACGGGGAGCGCTGGCTCCGGCCGGGGCAGGGACAGAGGGCAAAGGGCCCGCCGGTCACGCTTCTCGTCCTCAGGCGGACGCTCTGGGCTCCAGCGGGACCGTCTCATCGGGAATCCTGTTTCTCCGGCAGAGGAATCTGCGCCCAGGCACGTGTCTTTCTGGCTGCACTTTGAAGTCTTGCCATTTAAGCAGGGTGCAAAAGCGGATTGAGGGAAAGTTGCTTCTGCACTCTGAACTTCAGAGCAGCAAAGTCACGTCTCAGCGCCGCCTGAAGCAGCTTTGGCTTTGCCTCTCTGCACTGGATTTTTCAGGACTGATCGCATTAATGCTTGGAAGACAAGCGGCCCCATGCCTCGCTGTGGGGCAGGAGAACAGAAGCCGCAGTCCAGCAACGTCCAGGGGCTGCAGCTCGCTCTGCCACCACCCGCGTGGGGTCTGTGGGGCGCTCGGTGTGTCTGCGCCGGGGAGCCTCGCGGCTTTGGGCAGAGGGCGCCCCGCAGGCGGCCGACCCCGGGACCTGTGCGGCTGCGAGGGAGGGCAGCATCGAGGGCTCTCCCGGCGCACCCTCCGACCCCCACCCCCTGCTCGCGCTGTGCCGCCCATCCCCGTGCTGCCTCCCGCCTGCCGAGGGGCCCAACGCCAGCCCCTCAACTCTGCTTCCAAAAGCCCCCAGGGCCTCCCCCCCTTTGCTGGTCTTTGGGCCCCACCTGTCCCCACCCAAAAACATCGCTTTTTGCACTCTGGCGACTATCTGCAGGGGTGCATTTATACCAGCAAAGGAGGAACTCTGTTCTTCCACCCCCCCGTCCGGCGATCCCCAGGTGGGCACCCCAGAGGAGCAGCCGGGACACGGCCGGTGAGGTGCCCGCTGTCTGCAGCAGCCCGGCGACAGAGGCCCGGCAAGGACAACGCCTCCGGGCACATCTTTCCGACTCTGCAGCCCAACGAGCAGCGCGTGGACACAGGTCCCAGCGGGCGCCCTCCCGAGACCCAGAAGCCCCTGCTCAGCGTTTTTGCACCAGCCGGCAGCAATTAGATTCCCGTGGAAATCGCTAACGGGACAAGTTCAGCACAGGGTCACCCTGGACGCGTGTTGTGTCAGCGGCCTCGTTAAGGGGGACGAAGCCGAAGGAGAGCCAGGGCGGTGCCTCCCATGGCTGCCGAGAGCAGAGCAGAGCAGAGCAGAGCCGCCTGGCTCCTCGGGCACTGGGTGACACGGCCGGATGCGCCTTTGCGCCTTTGCTTCACGAACGGCTCTCCTGCTTTCTGGGACCAGCAATCGGCTGTTTGCATGCACAGCGCCACAAAGGCCGTTTAAACGCTGGCAAGTGAGAAACGCTCCAATTAGCGCCTGGATTTCCCGTGTCTGCAACTGGCAGCAGCCACGTTCAAACCCCCCCCCCCCCCGTCTGGGCCCCCGTCTTTTGCCGAGCGCACGCTTTCAGAGGCAGCACGCCTGGCCTTGCGGGCGCCACCGGCCGTTCAGGAGCTCCAGGGCTCGGGTGCAAGCCAGGCCAGCGGCTGGGGACCCCCACGCAAGGCTTGGGCCCCTGCTTTGACAAGGACGGCCCTGGTCCCCCGGGAGCCACCGCAGCTCACGAGCAGCAGGCCAGCGGGCCAGTAAGGACCAGCGCGGTGGGTGACTGGCGCCCGGCACCACGCCGAGCGTCGGAGGCCAAGGAGGGCCCCCTGCCAGGAGTCAGCAGGACCGGGAGCGCTCTCTGAAGCCCCGGCCGTGCGGACGCCTTGGCCGCCTCTGCGTGCCGCTGGGGGAAAGCAGCCCCAGGCGGCTACACGGCCGATGGGCGACCCCAGCACCCAGGTTAACCCACAACCGGCCGCATTCTCTCCATCACAACCCAAAACACGCCCAGCCCTCCCAGGGCCCGGGCGCGGCCTCGCAACCCACCTTCAGGCAGGGCCTGATGCCGAAGGCACTGTTCTCCACCGTGTGATGCAAATGCAGAGTGGTCCTAGTTGCACCGGAAAGAGAGGAAGGCGGCACAGGATGGAGCCTCCCGGCACAGGTGCTGTGCCCGGGCAGCCGAGGCTCCCGGGCCCCTCCAGGGCCCCCGGTAGCAGGCAAGGCCCAGCCCCCGGCCCTCCCGGCCATACCTCTGATCCAGGTCCAGCCCCGCCAGCATCTGGGCGAAGACGTTGAAGCTGCTTTCCCCCTCCGGCTGCTGGGCCACGCGGATCTTCTCCAGCAGCAGCGTCTGGGCAGGCGGCAGGAGGGGCGCTGAGCTGGGCCGGCTCCCCCCGGCCCGACGGGACTGCTGGCTCGAGCAGCGGGGGGTGCCCCCCCCACACCCCCCGGGAGGCCCGCGCATCCACCACCCGGGCGGGACTTCTGGTCCGGGAGGCGGAGCCCCTTCCGGCAGAAGGCCAGATGCCGCGTCGATGGGCGGCGCCTGGACCCCTCTGGCCTACACCTCCTCCTGCTCATCGCCCCTCGCCCTCCCGGACGGCCCCCGGGCCCCAGAGGAAGCCGCCGCGGCCGCAGCCGCTCGCTGGGCTCCTCCCGTCACGCGACGATCCCGCCTCGGCGGTGCCCCACGACGCTCCCGCGCTGCGCCTGTGCGTTGGCCGCATTACCTGGAGGTGAGCAGCGGTTATGCGGCCCGAGGGGCCGAAATCCAGCGCCATGAGCATGGAGAAGCGGGTGGAGGCGTCGCTGTGGCCCGTGGACACCGCTCCAAAGGCCCCGAGCACTCTGAACATGGCCTGGATCTTCTCCACTGCAAAACCAGAGCGCGGCGGGCTGAGCACAAAGGGCTGCCCCTCGGAGGACGGCCGGCGCACGACCACGGCGGCTGGGCAGGCGGAAAGCGCCCCTCTGGGGGCTAATGGGACGGGCGTCAAGACTGCCCCTTGAGAGAGATTCCCTTCTCAGGGCAGCTCAGGGCGGTCGGCAGAACACCACAGTAAGCTGATGAAGACGCCATGTTAACATGGCGAAGCAGAAAGAAGCCACAGGGCATCCACTGACCAACTGGATGACGCCAGTGAAGACGGGAAGGTGAAAATGAAAAGAGCAGCAGCAGCTACAAGCAACCGTCCCGTAAGTGTTGCAGCTGGTCAGGATGGTCCCCACCGTCCACGCGATGTGGCTGCTGTCGGCCACGCCAGCGGACTGAGCGCCCCTGCAGCCGAAGGGCCGAGCGCCACCCGAGGGGTCCCCGGGGTGGCCTCCAGGAGGGCAGAGGGAGAGGAGGCGGGGCATGCACCCTCTGGCCCGGGGTGGCCGGAAGCTCTTCCTTGGCTCCAGGAGAGGCGGCCCCCTTTCCAAGTGGGGCAGGGCGCAGGCCAGGAGGCAGCGCGTGGCCAGGGAAGAGCCGTGGCCTGCTGGGCCAGACGGGACCCCCACAGGCCGGACCGGGCCCACGGCCTGAGGCTCACTCTCCGATCCCTACGGTCCTCTGAGGGCCGAGGGGTGCCTGTCGGCAAACCCTTGCGGGGCAGAGGCCCCCGGGGATGGCCTCAAGGACCGCCCCACCAGGCCACGTGCCCCGAAGCCCCCACGTGGCCCGGGGGCCGCTCCCCAGGTGCGGGGGCCTCCGCCCGCCCAGTCAGCCCGGGCGCACCCACCTGTGACCCGGTCGTCCACGCTGCCGGCCGTGGCCGCCAGGTACTCCAGCGCCTGCTGGCAGCAGGCGGTCCTGCCGGAGCCGCTCCGGCCCAGGGGCAGGATGGTCTGGTCCTGGCGCTGCAGCTGCATGTTCCACAGGGCCCTCTGCGCCACGGCAAAGATGTGCGGGGGCAGCCCGTCCTGCCTGCCCCGGAAGGCCTGGAGGGGGGGGGAGGGGGCGACAGGAGGCGGCTGAGCACGGCCGTCAGGCGCTCCCCCGGATCCACAGGCCGGGCGACACGGGAGCCCACGCCCGGGGCCGAGCGCCCCCCACCAGGCCGGCCGCGCCACGTGCTTCCGCCAAGGGCGGCTTCCTCAGGGCAACACGTGGCCGGGCCTTGGCCCAGGACTCCCCCGGGCAAAGTGTGTGGATTAACATCCACGATCCGGATTGTTAATTTCTAGAGGCTGCCTGTCCGGCTAAAAAGTAAAGTAAGCGCACCGAGGCGGAGCAGGGCAGCGCAGAGCCGTGCGGACACGGGCGGGGGAGCACGGGGCGCACCCAGGGAGCCCCGCCAGGCCGGGGCGGCCCCTGGACAGCCCACCTGGGGCCAAGGGCCGCGGCCTCACCTTCCTGGAGCAGCCGGCCACAGGGACGTGGGGCCCGAGGGCGACCAGGTCGGGGCCGGCGTACGTGTACAGGAGCTGCGACTGGTACCGCTGCCGGAGGGTGTGGAGGGCGCTGGCCTCGTTCAGGCTGGGCAGGGAGGCCAGGTCTTCCGCACGGTCGAACTGGGGGGGATTCACCTGTGGGGCGGAGGGGGTGAGGGGCTGCCCTGCGATGCTCCCCCCGCCCGCCTGCCGTGGGGCAGGGGGCCTTTGCCTCCCCGCCGCGTGTGCGAGTCAGGGATGGGAGGGGGCTCTGTGGCGGGGCCTCCTGCAGCCCCACGGCTGCCCCGGGCTCAGGGAGCCCCCCGGGTAACCCGGGCGGAGGGCCAGATACACGCGGGGGCTGAGGGGAAGGGCGCCGCCGCCACTCACCCTCTGGACGCTGTGCTCCTCCACCTCCAGGACGGCCCCGTCTGCCTCCACGCGGACCCGGACGGTGCCCGGCGGCAGCTCCGGCGTCCCCACATCCGGCTTCAGCTGCGTGGCTGCCGGCAGCAGGAGGCCAGAATGATCTCAAGGCCGAGCAGCCTCCCCGGAGCAGGGGAGGCGCGAGCGGCTGCAGGATCCGACCGCGGAGACCAGGGCAGGCCAGTCCGGGGGCTGCTGCCTCCCACCCCTGGCCGGGTTCGCTCCCAGGGTGCCTTCTCCATCCCAGCTGGGAGCCCGGGGGGCCCCCTCCGTGGCCCCTGGGACAGCCCTGTTCCGCGGGCCAGGCCTGGGCCAGGCCTTCAGCCGCGGTGTGGCTTCCCCTTCCCCTCCTCCAGCAGGGGGTGCGCCCACCCGGGATGCGGCCCCGGGATGCGGCCTTGGGCCGGACGCGGTTCCACACGAGTGCTTTGACGGGGTGGGATGCCCCCTTTGCGGGTTACATGTGCACAGCCGCCTGCAGCGCATGTGCAGCCCCGGGGCCGTGCGCCGTCCCTGCCCTCCGAGCCCCCCAGCATCAAGCCCCCGGGGCAGGAGCCCGACTGACCGAGGGCGAAGCCTTCCTTCTGGACAAGCCACACCTTCTCTGCCTCGTACCAGACGTCCTCAGCAACCTGTGGAGGGAGGGGGGGTGAGGCAGCGCAGGAGGCACCGGCCGGAAGGATGCGCCCCCAGGGGGGCAAGCTGCCCGTCTGGAGCAGGGCCCCCTCCGGACGCGCCGGGGGCCTTCTGAGCAGCGCCTGCTTGCCGCATCCTCCTCAGGGACCCCCCCCCCAAGCCGCTGCGGGAGCAGGCAGGGATGGGCTGGGCGGCTCCGAAGCCACTCCTGGACGGGAGCCTTGGGGGCCTTCCAGCCCCTTCCCTCCCCCCTTGCTGGCCACACATGCGCAAACAGGACCCCAAGGCAGTGCTGCAGCAGCGGGAGGGAGGGTGGGGGCGAAGGGGGCCTGGGTGGCCCTGTGCCAAACTTGGGGATATGAGCAGAGGAACCCCGGGCTCCATCAGAGAAGCCAAGGGAGAAATCAGAGAATCGTGGAAGCAGCCCTTCCCGGGCTAGACTCTGTGCACACGCAGAGCGCTCCGCCCTGGCCCACGCCCCAGGGACAGTGTCCGGCCGCCCCGTGCAAGCAGGGGGCCCAGAGCCCCACCAGCAGTCCCAGAGCGCCGACTCCAGGCCACGCTCACCTTGCCCGAGCCGGTGCCGTCCCCGGGCTCCTCCCTGCCTTCTCCCGCCGACACCTCCTTGGCTTCCTCCACGTTCTTTTTCGGTTCTGCTTCCGACGACTCCTGGCCACTTCTCCCCCCGGCTGGCTCCGGTCCCTCGCTGGCTCCTTCCCGGCCCTTCCCAGCCGCTCCTGAAGTCTCCCGGCTTCCTCCCAACCTGCTCCCGCTCTCTGCCACCTTCTTCTTGGCTTCCACCAACGGCTTCCGAGCGCCACCTCCCGGCTTCTCCTGTTTTTCTCCCGCCTCCTTCCCCTGCGCTGTCCCTCCGGCCTTGCTGCCCGGCCCGCCCGGGGACTCCTCCTCAGTCCTCGCTTTCCCATCCGCTTTGCCCGGGCTTCCGAGGCGCTTGTTCGGGAGAGAGGGGCCCCTCTTCCGCGCTTCCGGGCCCGGCGCCGGCTCCGCGGGGCTCCTGCCTTTGCTCTTCTCCGGAGAAGCAGCTTGAGGGGGAGACCCGGCTGCGGCGTTCCCTGCCCGCTCGGCAGCGATGGGCGTGGAGCCGGGCCCGGGCCTGGGCGCGGGCACCGGCCGCTTGGTGATGCCCCTCCGGATCGCTCTCTTGATCGGCAGAAGCCTGCCCTCGGCCACGCTCTCCTCGCCGTGCTTCTCCCCGTTCAGCCCCCGCTGCAGCAGCGGGCCCTCGCCGGCCATGCCTCCCTGCCCGTCCAGGAGGTCGGCGTCCTTGATCACGAGCTGCTCCGCGGGCCCGTCCGCCGGCCTCCCTGGGGGCTGCAAGCCGAGAGGTGTTGGACACGGAGGGAGGTGCCGCACAGCAGGCCGTCCCTGCAGCGGGTGGCGGGCCCCCCGCAGGGAGCAGCGCGGGCGCGTGGCCGGCCCTCTCACCCCAGCGTGGCCTCCACACCCCACGCGGGGCAAGCCAGGGCTGCCTCAAGGGGCCCCTTGCCACCGAAGCCGGCCGAGCGGCTTCTGGCAAGCCCCCCCAGGTGGGGTGGGCTGTCCTCGGGGCTCCTCTCGCAGGGGTAGCACATGGGACGGAGAGCCTGCCGGGGCCTCTTCCCGCCTGGCCTGTGAGACGGCAAGCGAGGGAAAGGCGGCCCCAGCCTTCTCTCACCACTTGCAACCCACTCCAGGAATCCTTCCAGGACGAAAACGCCACTGCGTGCAGGCGGGGGGTTGCTCCACTCCCTCCATGTTTGAATGCACGCCTAAAAGAGCAAGAGGCTAGGGGGCTCCCAAGCCACAGCCCCCCATAGCAATATCCGTACGTCTTTGAACAATCCCCCTGCATCTTCAGTCCTGCCTGGCAGGGAGTCGACCGCGGTGGCCCCTTCCAAGCGGGGCCTTGCCGGACAAGCTCCCCGGTGGCTCACATGACTCTGCCAAAGGCCCTGCTCTTAGCAGAGCTTCCCGGGCCAAATCCCCGCTCTCTGTGCGGCATGTTTAACGCAGCACAAATCCGTGCATTTTCGGCAAGCCATCGGTGGCAGAGTTGGTCCTAGCCAGCCGTCGGGGGTCCTTCTCTGGACAGGGCAGAGTTACACATGCTGAGGGTCTGAACGGATTCTTTTGGAAACCGGCGCAAGGCGATTGAGTCAGGGCGGCTTTTTCGGACACACACAACTGTCCCTCCTCCCACAATTCGGAGCTGCCGCAGCAGCAGCAATGGGCAATTCTGTATTCGTTTCAAACCGAGTTTCTTTGCTTGCGTGACTTCAAGTGTTCCCACTAGTACACATTTCCAAACTTAATCAATTCCTTCAATTTAATCACACTGATGCTATTTGTTGAGCCTGGCAAGTAGGAGCGAGTGGCATCTGTGGCAATTGAGGCACGGCAGACGCACTGTGAGGCGCATGGCGCAGTCCCAGGCCTGGGGGGCGGCTCGTGTGGGAGACAAGGTGCGCGAGGACGTTGAACTCCTAGGCCAGAGTCATCTGGCGACGCCGAGAGCGCTCGCGGGCGACCGCAGGGAGACGGCCACACTCCGGGGGGGATGCTCCCCAGGTGCCCGAGCCCGCAACGCCCGGCATTCAGACCACCGGCCGCAGCCGAGGCGCACGGGGGGCTGCCCCATGCGGGGGCACCCAGTGGGAGAAGGCTGCTGGACGTCTCGGGGCCTAAGGCCGTGCTACGCAGGGGCGCCGGGACGGCACCCGGAGGGGAGACCCTCGCCCAGCCCGTGCCCTCCAGCGAGGCTCTGCGGTGCAGTGGTCGGAGCACCTGGCCAGCGGGGTTCTAGTCCCCACCTGGCCATGAAGCTCCGGGGGGCCTCTGGGCCGGTCACTGCCTCCCAGCCCGGCCTTCCTCACAGGGTTGTTGTGAGGACCAGACAGAGAGGAGGGTCACATGAGCCACGCTGGGTTCCCTGCATACTCTGCTCTGATGGACTCTAATTTAGGTTTTATTGTTTTAGAGTATGTGCACCTGCCTGTGTAATCACTTCCAATAACCGCGGGGGGAGCGGGGCTCTGTTCATATAATTGTGTAGGTCAGACTTCCTCAAGCTGATGGCCTCCACAGATTCTGGACTACAACCCCCAGCAACCCCAGCCAGCATGGAGGGCACCTGGCTGGGGAAGGCCGACCCAGGTCTCCGCTGTGAGAAGTCCTCATCCGAACCACACGCACCCAGCAGACAACCTGAAGCTGGGAAATGCCTCAGCCTGGTCGGCCGGCCAACTCTGCCTTGATCCCCACAGGTATTTGCGAGGGAATGAAAGCCCCCAAAGGTTAGACAAGTTTGCTCGAAAGAGCATGACCTGTCCAATTTTGAATCGGGCCCACTGGAGTCGGTTTTTTGCTTCGCTTTTTGGAAGTCTCAGCCACAATATATTCCTGCTCATAAGCTTGTCAAGACGGCATCTCTGAGCATACACAGAGTGCCATCCCTCAGCAGAACCCAGGCCTGCAGGCAGCTTGAGGCCTGGCCCTCTTCCAACAACATTATTAATACTTATAATACTAACAGAACATTCAAACCTTTCCATCCCTGCCTTACTTACATCGTCTTTGGAACTTAATCCGCTCTTCGCTTTCAGCTTTGCTTCCTTGGACTCCTTTTCCGTTTCCCGCACGAGCTGCTTGATGAATCCCCCGGGAATGACTGAGAAAAGGGGAGGCGGAGAGGTAGGAGGCGGGCTGCAGTCTTCTTCCCTGATCTGCACAAGCAAAGGTCGCGTTATCGGAGGCGGTCAGGAGAAGCCGTTCCGCTGACCCCGGACCCCGGAGGCGCCAGGGAGACCCCTCTTCTCAGCTGGATTTTCCAAAGGGGAGCCCCGAAGAGGACAGAGAAGATGCTTATGGGATGGAAAACTCACGGGAAGGACGACGTGTGTGCGTGCAAACTCTGCAATGCAGTTTTCAAGAAGCGGTGAAGAGCAAGCACACACTCAGCCGCCCCACTCAAACAGGTCTGGCAGGAATTTGGAACACTGCGAGAACCTGCCAAGCTGTTTGACCAGGAGCAAATGTGGGTGAGCAAGGATCTCACGGTCAGTGATTCCCGATCGCCGCTCTGAACAAAAGGTTAGGGTGCAGCCAGAAGCCAATGGGGAATTACTGGAGCCAGCAGCCCCACAACCGAAGCCAAAAGCAAAGCCTCGCGGAGAAAGGGCACGGCTTGCTTCCTGCTTTTTTCCAGTTAACTGCGCCAGCGCAACGCCGGGGCTGGGGGCGCCCGGCCACAAGCCCTGCAGCCCGGGAGCCCCGCTGGGCCCGGCCGGCAGCAACGGCCCGTGTGCCACGGGCGCATGCAGGAGACGCCACTTCCCTTCTGCTCCCACAGAGCCAGACGTGATGAGATGGCCATGCTGAGGCGGTGAGGTGGCTCGGAGGTGATGGTGCTTCGCTGGGCGACACAAGGAATGGTGTGGGCGGAGGTGGGAGAGGCCTGCCTGCAGCACGACCAGAGACACACACGGTGCGGGAGGGAGAGGGAGAGGCAGATGGTGGACAGAGGGACGGACGGACAGACGGACGGACAGAGAATGAGAGCAAGAGTCGTATCAGAGGCTCCATCCCAAACGCAACGGCTTCGTTCCTCGAGAGGTGCAGTGAGGCCGGAGGGCTCTCGGCAAGCGCTGCGGCGCGTCTTCTGCATCCGCGGACCGAGAGGTGGTGTGGCTCCGTCCGGCTGCGCGTCGCAGGCAGAGGCCCAGAGCCCTCCCGGCAAGGCCTTCTCCCCTCCGGGAGCCCTGGGCATGACAGGAGCCCGGGGGGGCGATGCCAGTGGCTGCGAGCCGGGCCCCCCCACTTCCCCGCACTGCCCTTCCAGGCGCTCCCACGAGAAGCCGCCTTAGAAAAGAAGATGGCCCGAGGCGGACTGCCGGCAGAGAGCGGCCACGGCGCCGCAGGGACCGGAGCCTGCTCTCCTGCGGACCAGACCTTCTCGCGCACGACAGCCACGCGGCCAGCAGAGTCGTCCCCTCCGGCTCGGGTCCTGAGCGAGCATACCCCCGAGATCCCCGGAGCGGGCTGCTGAGCCTGAACGTCGCGTCCCAGGGGGTCGGGGGCCTCTTGCGCTCCAGGGAGGCCCCGGTCCTGAGAAGGTGCCAGACGGACCTGCTGCCAGGCTCGCTGGGGCTTCTGCTGCCTCCGGAAGCAACCGGGCCCCCTGCGACCCCGCGGCCCTGCAAGCCACCCCAGACCAGGGCACCGCCGCCCCCGGGCAAGCACAGGGGCTCACACGCCCGCCGGCTGGACGGCCCGCCTCCCCCAGAGCCCACGGGATCCGGTGGCCACGAAAGCTGGCCCAGGAGGGCGCGCGGGGCCCGGGCCGAGCCGCCCCGGCTGGCTGGGTGACACCCGCTGCCTCTCCTTGGAGCCACGTGGCCCCTCCGCCACCCAAGCGCCCCTGGGCTCCACTCACTGCGCCTGCCTGCCCCTGCAGCTGAAGGGGGGGCGCAGCGGCAAGGTCCCGGGCCCGCCACGAAGGCAGGCTCCCCGGGCCCGCAGGGGCGGGGGGCCCACAGGGACCCCTCGGCCGGCCCGGGGCTGCTGCAGCGGGAGGTTCGAGCCGGATTGAAGTCCCGCTCGGCCAGCGTCCTAGAGGCAGCCCGGAGCACGCAGGCGCTGGGCCCGGCACCCCGCGGCCCACTGGGCGGTGAAGGTCGGGCCAGCCGCTCCCAGGCAGCGCGGAGGGAGGCACCGCTCGGATATTTTCCATGAAGCCCTCAGGGCGAAGGCCAGCCTTATCGGGGGTGGGGGGTGCTCGGAGCCGAGCTGGGAGATAAGGGGGAGGCCCTGCGCTGGCCTGCTGGGGAAACGGCCCCAGGCCCTTCAGGCAGGACGGCTGGCGGCCCCTGCGGCCAGAGCCACCTGGCACAGCTGGGGGCTGCACACAGGCGGGGAGGTGGGCCTGCGCAGAGGGACCCTCTGGCCGTTCCAGGAACGGCCAGATATAGCAGCTGAGTCAGCGCGGGCACCTTCTCCGGGATGCAACCTGGGCCGGCTTTGTCCCGGCTGAGCCGCAGCCCTGCCAGCAGCGCAGAGGGCGGCTGCCGCGCGTCCCCTTGGCCAAGTGCCCGCCAGAACCCTCTTCCACGCCACGTGGCCGAACCCGGCTCCTCCTCCCGGGGGCAAGGCGGGAGCCCAGGGGCCAAACATCCGCCTGCTCTGCGGAAAAGTTCCCCGCGCTGATCCCGGGCATCTTCCGGCAGGGCTGGGAAGGCCCCTGCTTCGGGCCTGGGGGGGTCCACACTGGGGGGCACTGGGCAAGACCCACCTGTCATGCCAGTGAGTCAGAAGCCAGCAGGGAAACATTCCGCATGGAAAAGGCAGCTCTTCACGGAATGTCACCTGGCAGCGTGCCTGCCACGCTCCACCGCCAGGAGAACCAGGGCTGAGCCAAATGGACACTTACGGGCAGATGAGGCACCCGCACGCAACCCAGCCTGCGCCGCTTCGCCCGAGGCCCTCGCAGCCAGGAGGGCCCTCCTGCCGGCCACCGGCTCCCTGCCAGGGCCGCGTCCCTCCGGCACCGACGCACAGAGGCTGCCGTTCCCATCACTGCCCCTGACAGAATCGCTTTTCCTCCGGGAAGGGGAAGGGGAAGGTTCCCTTCTTGAGGTCTGACCCTTTGCACATCCTGGAGGCACCGGGACCCTTCTTCAGCAGAAAGGGGGAACCTCCACCTTCCCCACAAAGACATCCAAAGAACCGGAAACGTACGCCCAACATCGCGCCGCGGCACCTCAGTTATCCACAGGATACGCTTTCGCAGGCTCTGCGGCCGCATGAATTCACAGCATTTCCCTCTGCTGGAAACCGGCTGTGCTCCACGTGCCGCGCGAGCCCAGGATCCCGTGCAAACAGGACCCTGAGGACGCCCCCACGGACCGCTCTCCGGCACGTGCTCCCCAAGCCGAAAGCCCGGCCGCCCCGAGTCCAGCCATGCTTTGCCGAGATGCGGGCACTGCACTGGGGCCTGCAAGACGGGCCAACCGCTTTGCTCGCCCGCTTTCCGAAGGCTGACTGGGAAAGGCCGGCCGTGCCCTCTCAGTGCGCGGGGCCAACCGATCTCGAGCGCACAGGTAGTCAGAGGCATAAACAGACACGTGGCGTGCAAGAGGCCAGACTGCGCACCCCTTCCAGCTGTTCCGGTGACTCAGAGGTGAGGAGGGAGCAGAACATTTGGCAGAGGGGGTGCGCTGCTGCCTTTTCTCCCCAAGGAAGAAAAGAAGGAGATTTGGGGGACAGGAAGTGGGAAAAGAAAGGACATGGTTGTGAATTCTAACCTTATTTCTATTAAACTCTCTGGGCCGTTTACGACAGCAGAAAGAATTAAATGTGGCATTACATGCTCTTCCAAACCGAAGGGGTTAGTACGGAAGGGCGGGACGCTCAGTCCCTGCCTCCATTGCAGGCCGGGGCAGGAGGAGCGCCTGCCCAGACTGCGAAGCGCCGCCCCAGCCGGGTCGAGCTGCCAGGCCTGGCCCGGGGGGCCCGGTCCCCGTTCCGCTGCACGTCTCCACACGCGCCCAGGCCCATCAGTTGGCTGCACTGAGACCCCCCGTGCGATTTCTGCGCCAAAGACCAGGTCTGCATTTGCTACCTACACGCAAGGAGAAATGCGATTCCTCCCCCCTCAGCCCCCCCCCATTTGGTTTCTTCTTTATATGGGACGATCATTCCTCCTCCACAAGACCTTCAACATTTCAGGAAACCTTGCCGACCCGAGATCGCGCGGTCTCTGACCGGGCACTTCCAGATCCCCGCAGAGGCCGTTGGGTGAAGGCAGCCCTGCTTGGCGACCGGCCTTGGCCCGGCTTTGGCCGCTGGGAGCAAGAAAGGGCGCGCAGCCCCCGGCGCGCAAACCAGCCGGAACGCGGACAGACGAGGGCTCCCGGCCACAAAGCCGTGCCCCAGGCAACGTTTGGGGGCGCAGAGATCCCCAAACCGCTGGCCTGGACCGAAGGGCCAGCCGCTCGCCCCCCGGAGGCTGCCTTTGGGCCTCTCTAAAAATAGCCCCTTGTGCCCAGCAACCAACGCACCCGCGGGAGCACCTTCGGAAGCCCGGGACGGCCCCCTCCCCAGCCCCCCGCCCCCGGCCCGGCGATTCCTGCCCCCCCCACACACACGCCGGGGCGGTGTACCTTCTCTACGAGCAGCACTGCCAGCAACAGGACGGGGCCCCCTGCACAACGCCCCCAGCTCCGGCAGCAGCTCCAGGTCCCTGCCCAGCGCGGAGAGCAAAGGCAGCGGGAGGGACGTGCCGGGAGGCCCCGCTGCCCCCGCCCCACGCGGCCGGCAGCTGAGCCGGGGGCGCGTCACGGCCAAAAATAGGCGCAGCCATCAGCCCGCAGCCAGCGAGGAGCTGGACGGGGGGGGGGGGCAGGGTGGCCCAGCTGCCCCTTCCCATCAGGCCGCCCGGGGGCCGGCAGCCGCACGCACGGCACAGCCCCCCCCTCCGGCCGGAGTCTCCGCACTGCACGGCCCCACGGCCAGCAGAGGCGAGGGAGGCGCTGTGGCCAAGCCGGCGGGGAGAACGGCCCCTGAGTCCCTGGGACTCGGAGGGGGAAACCTCCGCTGGAGAGCCGGCTGGGGGCAGCGCCGGAGGCCCCCACGGTGGCTGGAGCCGGCCAGGCGCCCAGTGCCCGGGGCCACTCTCAGGCCCCCTGCTCCCCCTGCCCCCCCAAGCCCTTCTGGCGAGGCCAAGGGCCAGGCGAGATCCCAAGAGGGCCCAGTAGTTCTTGGGGGGGGGCGCCCCGTGTGGCAGTCCCAGAGGGGGAGGCAGAGCCAGCACAGCTGCTTGGCTGCCCTGCACCTCTGCACAACTTGCGACCTGCGCTGGCAGGAGTGCACCCCCCACCACCCAGGTGGGCCGCCCCACCAGCCTCCCCAAAGGCAGCCACCTGGCCGCGTGGGAGTCAGGCAGACAGCCGTCCCGCCCCACGGCCTCAGTGACGACCCTTTCCCGAGGGAGGGATCGCCTTCCGCAGGAATCGGCGCACTGCCTTTGGCCCCGCACGGGAGCCTCGGGCTGGCCACAGGCCCGCCATGCGCCCTCCTGCTGGGGCGCTCAAAATGCGGTCCTAGTGCGCTGGACCGGCAGCCGCAGGCGCAGGCGGGTTGCCCTTGTGTGCCGCCAGCTCTCGGCTCCTGCCCACACCCGGGCTCCCATCGCTCACCGCAGCGCTCGCCCGGCCCCTCGTTCGGACGGGACGGATCGCTCGGCCCTCTGTCAGACGGGGACGGCTCCTGGGGCACGGACCTGCCCCCCCAGCGGGCTGGACCTCAGCGAGCAGGTCGGGGCCCTGCAGCCAGCCAACCTGGCAGGCCCCTCCACGTGAGCCTGAGAGAGAGACGGCACGAGCCGCGTCGGGGATTAAGTCATTCAAGGAAATTCGGGGGGGGGGGGGTTGGGGCTGGCTGCTCCTTCTGGGGCTGAAGGGTCTCCCCTGGAAATGGGGCTGCCTGTCTCCTGGGCTGTGGGGTGATTTTGGGAGGCCCCGACCCCCCCCACCCCCGTGAGCACAGGGCAAGCTACTCTTCCTCATGGGAGTTGCCACACCCATTTTCCTCAAGCATCCCCCGAGCGTCACCATCAGCTCAGCGTCGCCGTTCAGCCCTCAACGTCCTTGCCGCAGGTAAGCCCCAGCGACCCCCACCTCACGCCCCACAGGCCACGCTGCTTGAAGGGGCCCGGCCAGGGCGAGCGACATGGCACCCGGAAATAAGTGCTGGCCAAAACGAGTCCGCCCTCTTTTCCGGAAGCGGCTGCCCTGGGCGCTCGGAGGGGACTCCCGGCTGCCCACGGCACATGACTCTCCCTGAGCGCACGTCTCCCTTGCTGATCCGAGTCTCCGAAGACTCTCTGGGATAATATTTCTGTGTCACCTTCACGGCGATGGACCCGCTGAGACACCGAGGCACCGCTCACTCGCTCGCTCGCTCGCTCGCTTCGGAGGGAGGTGACCGCTGCCTTCACGGGGCGAGTCGCCAGAGGCTGTTTGGCACAGGGTGGGGGGGCAATGCAGTGGCCCGGCCTGGGCACCGCTCTGGGCTCCGGCCACTTCAGCGCCGAGCCGGCTGCTCAAAGCAGACACCCCTGCTGCACCGGCTGGCATCCGGTGCCTTCCAGGAAGGCAGGCTCAGCAGCCCGGGGCGGCCCGGAGACCCTGGAAGAGACGGCGGCTGGGGGCGCGGGCCGGGCTGGCCACGCTCTCCTCTTGCCACCACTGCCCTGCCCCCCTCCCAAATTCTGTGCCCAACCTGAAATGGCCAGTGCGGAAGATGCGCAGCAGGTGCAAAGGAGGCGCTTCCGTCCCATCCTTCTGCTCTCGCAGACGTGGCTCTGTGTCGCACCCCACTCCGCCTTCGTTCTGGGTGGAAGAGAATTTCGACAGCGGATTTCAGGCGCGGGAGGACCGCACTTGCAGCGCTTTCGTGCCGCGCCGCGCCCCCCCCCACCCGCTGCCCAAGCCGTCCTACCAGTGCGCGCACAAGCACAGATGAAGCGCGCACTCCGGGTGGAACACAGACTTGAAGCAACTGCAGGCAAGGCCACCTCAGCGCAGGACTTTCCTGCGGGGGGTGGCAGTTCTGCATGTCACCAAAACGCCACACGAGCACCCCGGCGCGCATTCCCACGTCAGACCGTGGCGCGGTCCCGCCATTTGTCACATCCACCTGTTCCTCAGGAATGCAGAGGAAGGGTAGACACACAATTGAATCAAAACCTGCAGGAGACCTCAATCCAAATCCAAATCTAAATATCTAAATCTAATCCACCCATCCATCCATTGCCTATACTGCCAAATAACCAAAGCTCATGTTATGTTCTGCAGCAATTAATACAAAAATCCAGGAGTTAGGAAGCAGAACAATGAAGAATTGGCAATGAGTAATTTCCACACCCCAGCGGAAAGTAGGAAATTGAGCATCTAGGCAAAGAAATGCAAATGAAAAGCATTCCAGCTCATAGCTGCATTCACATGGGAAAGATGAAAGGATTTTCAGCTAGACAGAAAAGCAGCGCAACCTTCTCCGATGGCCAAAACTTGCAACCCATTTCTCCTTTTGATCCTCGTGACAGGCCTGAGGCCCACTGCCCTTTTCCTTGGAACGTCGAATCACAGAGCGGGAGAGTTGGAAGGGGCCGGGGGGCCATCAGGTCCAACCCCGGCTCAGTGCAGGACTCCAAGCTAAACCGGCACACCATGTCCTGCGAGAAGGGGGCCTGCCCTTCCTCTCAGTGATGACCTTTCCGGCACGTGTGGGGTGCTCCCACCCCCCTTCAGCCTTCCCTTCCCTTCCCTTCCCAGGCTAAACATGCCCAGCTCTTTCCCTCTCTCCCAGTCCCCGGATCATCCCCGCTACCCTCCTCTGAGCCCTTTCCAGCTCGTCTGCATGGCACGGGACTCCCGAGCAGAAGCCCCAGCAGTGCCGAGCAGAGGGAAACCAGCCCTTCGTCGGACTTGGAAGTGATCCTTCTGTTAATGCAGCCCAACGTGGCACTCGCCCTGTTTGCAGCCGCATCGCATTGTTGACTCTCGGTCAGCTTGCGATCTGCAAGAACTCCAGGCATTCCCCGCCTTTAACGATGCGCTTGGTCTCTCTCTCGTAGGCGTAGGCCTTGGCCTTTGCCCCGCTGGATTCCATTCCGTGGTTCTCAGCCCAGCACTGCAACCGGCCAAGACCACCTCGACGCTCGTCTCGGTCTTCCAGGGTATTGGCCGTCCCACCCAGGTTTGCACAACCTGCAAATCGGGTGAGCATCCGCTGCTCTTCCCCATCCAGAGCATTAACGAACACACTGCAGAGCACGGGGCCCAGGACCGAACCCTCAGGTACGCCGCTGGCTGCCCCTCCGGTTGGGGAAGGCGCCGCTGATGGGCCTCTTGGGAGTCTAGAGCCAACTGCGGATCCGCCTGCTCATGGCTGTAGCCGCCTCGCCCCGCTCAGCTCGTTTGCCAGTCGGTCTATCATTGCTGCCCCAGTCAATTCCCTCTTCCGATGCAGCTCGGAGGGAGAGGCCCAGGATGTCACCACCCAGCAAGCCACAAAACTCTTCCTTGGAGAACACGAGGGAGTAACCGCGTAACCCTTCTGTTAGCTTGCCAGTACGTCCATGTCACCAGCCACAAAGAGAGAGAAACGGGAACGTCTCCATCCTCCTTCTTTTAAATGCCTCCAGGAGATGGCAGCAGCCGGTCGCTTCCAGCTGGAAGGAGAGGAACCTCAGCTGCCGTTCCTGCTCTTTGGGGTGGACCCCCTGCAGGACAGGTGGGCGCTCCAACCGCCAGGTGGCAGTCCCTTCTGGCGGGATGCTCCTCGCACAGGCTCAGAACACGTGTGCGAAGGAAAACGGCCGAGGGAGGCGTGTTTGCCTGCAGGTCCGGACAGATGCAGGCTGCCCTGGGCAAGGTCTGTGGTCTGCAGGGCCTGGGCTCGGCTTCTCCAACCCGGTGCCTTCGGCGCTGGACGGGCGCAACAGGCGTGGCTGCTCAGCCCTCCTGGGAAGCCCTCCGGAAGCGCCGGCCACACGCGCAAAGGACAGCTGCATCAGCAGGGCGTGCGCTTCTTGGAAAACCTCCAGGGCTCAAGACGGCTTCATTCCGCAAGCCCATTCCCCACTGAAAAGGCTGAGAGGAGTTTTGAAAAACAATTCAGGACTCGTTCACTCTCAATTTCTTTTATTAGAGGTGGAATGGTAAACTTATTATTACTAGAATTAATTTATGAAAACCGTAATAAAGCCTTGTGAAAGGAGACTGTCATTACTTAAATAACGTACAGACGCAAGAGAAGACATTGTACATGGAAACATTTTGCAGACTTAAAATAAATAACATAAAAATGACTCTCTGTTAAAATAGAATTCTTTGGGGTGCAGGTGGGGTTTATACCTCTGTAGATAAAAGTAACCTGGTACATTAACAAAATAAAGCTGCAATTATTAGTTTAACACAAAATAGATATATAAAAATCATTTTAACAAATGCATTAACACACTCCAATATTTGGTAGTGCTAAACCACGCAATATTTACATCATGAAATATAACATCAGCAGGGCAACACAAAAAATGAAAACCCATATGAACTGCAGCAGCCATTTTGGATACACATCTATTCTCAATATATTTAGATATACTTTCCTCCATTTTTGTGCAATACTAAAAATTAAGTCATGAACATACCTCAAGATTTTCAAAAACGTATATTACTGTCAACTTGTTCCTCTCCTATTAACAACAACTAATCCCTTACTATCTACAACATGGTTCAAAATAACTTTTCTTTCCACACATTTTAAGAGCATGAATATCACCGTAACTCCAGGATGATAGTTAACCCAGACAACAAGGTTATGCTTAACGGGGGGAAACTTAAATACGGACTGCGTCCCCGACATTTCCACAATGCCGACCAAGAGAGCAGATGAGACAAGTTCCCGCCACTGGCCTAGCTGCTCCTGAACCAAGGCCCAAGTCCCACATCGAGCACGTATCCGTGTGGGATGTGGCCCGGGAGCCGATTCCGCGCCTTCGGCAAACTAGACACAACTCAGGCATGCGCCGTCCCCAGGTGGGGCGGCCCCAGCAGAGGTGCCAGGCCCCTGCCGAAGGTGCAAGGCGCAGAACACGCTTTTAAACCAGCGCGGCACACGGCCCGTTCAGAGCGTTCCTGCCAGCTGGCCTGAATCTACAGTCGGCCTGCACGGCCCACAGAAATTTCTACAGACAAAACGGAAACAGGAAGGCCAGATGAAGCGACTGTCTAAGCACATGCCAGCCACGTGGGCCAGAAGAAGGCTTGCGGGCGCCCAACTGGGGCACCGTCCGAGTCTCCCACCTTCCCCCTGCAGGAAAGGGAGCGTACCACGTCCCGTCAGAGGATCCACGGATAAAACGTGGAATGTTCGGCCGCAACTCACAGGACGTGAGCGCGAGACGAGGAGTGGCACACTGCTCGGGGCGGCTGCTGGAGGTAGGGGCCCGTGCCTGTCTGGGCGCGTGGAGAGACACTCAAGCAAGGAAGCAGGGAGCCCTTCGCCCGGCCGAGGACGCCACGCTTCCGCCACAGGCACCCCTCGCCAAGCCCCTCCCTCCCCGCCGCCTGGAAGGCAGCAGCTCAGAAAGGCTGGAGCAAAGCTGCAAGGGCGGCCGAGCGCTGGTCGCTCGGAGGCGCAGCGACCGGTTTCATTCCGCTCAGGGCCACAGAAGCTTCGTCTGCCAGAGACGGCTCGCGAGAGCCTCCTGGAGACGAACCTTCGCAGCAGAGAGAGCACAGCACTGCTCCCTTGCTCGCTCGTGGCCCATCCGGGACGACGCGGGAGAGGCCACCATCGCCGGCATCTGTACTGCAGCATCCTTCCAACAACCTGCACGCTCCAGAACAGTCTTTGTGCTTTAAAAACGTGGAAAACTAAGTGACTTCCTGTTCGCTCGCTCTTTGTTAACCCTTTGTGAACATTGGCAGGGGAGGCAATTTTGATCTCTCATTTTTGCCCACAATATTTGCACATCACGGGGGAACTTCAGCCCAGGAGAGGTGAGCCATCCTACAATCGAGTGCCTCCGACAATGGAACGTGGCCAAGATTTCTAAACTGGGCCTCTCTAATTACCAGCGGTTCTTTTCAAAAGTCATTCCCCCCGTCGTTCACCTGCAGCCTGGCTCAGAGACACGCGAGGGGCACCGAGGCCCCGCTGGACCCGGGGGGCTGTGGGCCGCAGCGTGTCCGTGCCCCTCGGCTGCGGTGGAACGTCGACAGAAGGACCTTCCCTGTACAGTGCAGAGCAGCTGAACGAAGACACCAACATGAGGTTGAAGCACACGCCTCCCGTGGACTTCGAGAGTATTCTAGAGCACAGCAAATTCGCAGTCAAGCATCAAGACACGCGTATTTACGGTTCACGCCTACCGGCAATTCACTAAAGTGGAAATCGGAAGCATGAGGAGACTACTACAGGGTATTTTAGCTGCCTCTGGGAAAACAGCAGCGATGCGCTAAAGCCAGGCTACCTGAAAGGAGCGTTTGCGCAGGATCTGCAAAACGGAGGTCACCACATGCAGCATATGGTCCATTCGCGGGTCAGCCCGGCAAGACTTCCAGCATCGCCTCTCCTCTGCCAAAGCGAGCCGAGAAAGGAGGCGCACTCTGCCGCTTCCCCCTGCAGACGCACGTGCTCCACTGGAAAAGAGCGTGGCCCGCATCACGAAGCGCCTGGAAGTCTGGGGCACATGCGCCTTGGAAGCAACGCGTCGTATTGCAGCATGAGGCCTGGCTGGGCGAGCATCAGGTGAGGGCAGCGGCAAGGAGCCCCCCCAAGGCCTCGGCTCCCCCCGGCCGAGTGCAGCCAGGGCGGCACCGGCAGGGAGCGCGGCCAGACGTGGGGCCAGGACGCTCCCACGCCGGAGCCGGGAGGCCAGCGGGGCCGAGCAGACGCACAGGGCCCTGAGCGGCACCCCGCAGCCTCCGTCAGACGCGCCCGCCAACACAGGGCGGAGGGTCTCGGGGTGTGCGGGTGCGGTCCCGGCACAAAGGGATCCGAGAGGGTCAGGGGACGACCAGGACCGCCCGGAGACGCCTCGGCAGCCCCCGAGCACAGCTGCCCTTCCGTGGGCACCACACCTCTGGAGTCAGTCCACGCCAGCCCGTCCAGGAGCGCCGATATCACAGTCCCCACGTGCGCACAGTCGATAAGGACGCGCCCCTGGATTGGAGCCTTCCCACGGACGCGCATCCTCAGGGACAGGCACACACAGCAGGAGGGGGACCCGCAACTTCGCCAGACCACCCAAAGCGGGGGACGGAGCACTGCTCTTGGCAGTGCCCTGCGGCGTCTCCAGGAGGTCCGGATGCCCCTCGGCTGCTCCTTCCCGTTGCTCTTTCTCAGGAGTCGCTCGGGATACGCGGCAGCGTGCAAGACAGAAGCACTGGGGGCAAGGATGCCGGCGGACGGGTTCTGCGGCCGCAGCCCAACTGAGCAAGGCTCCCAGCCGCCTGCCACGCGGCACCCCGGAGCGTTTCCCTGGAGCGTGGCCGTCGCCATGCACCGGCCTGGTGGAACCCGCTCTCTAACGAGGGAGGGACAGACTCCGCTCGGCAAGAGCGCCCTCCCGCAGTCCATGCACCATCCAGCGTGATGCGCCTCCGGCATGCGCATCAGGGAAGCAGAACCGTGGCAGGTGCGACGCGGAAGGGCAGCACCATGGCGGACTCTCCGAATTCGTCGCTCGTTTCTTCGCAGCAGCAGCAGCAGCAGCAGCAGCAGCATTTGGAGCCGCGGGGCATTTCCAGTCCAGCCCTCCTGGGCACTGGCCACGCAGCGGCCTGGTGGAGCTGTTGGGAGGACGCCAGGGGCAGGAGGCCACCCGTGGTGGCAGCCGCGGCACGGAAAGCCCCCAGGCCCAGAAGGCGGAGAGGCACCTTCCCGAGTCCAAGGGCACGTGCCCAGCACCTCGGCAGCCTCCGCTTCAGCCGGCGGGGCCAGAGCTGGTGCCCGAGGGGTCCCTGGCGAGAGGCAGCGCTGCCCCGGGCCACTTGGGGGAGCCACCGGTCGGTGGCAGCGCCGGGGGGCACGCGGACCCCCGCCATTGGTCCCGCTCTCGCCATCCCCCACACGCTCCGGCCGCCGCGCCGGCCTTCCCGGGCGCCTTGCAGCAGGCTCCCGGCACGCGGCCACCACACGGCGCCCCTCAGGGACCGCGAGGGGAGCGGCGCGGCCGGGCGACACCAGACCGCGCTCCTGCCCCGCTCGGCTCTCCGCCTGCTCCTAGAGGCCGTTGCTGTTCCGGTGGCTGAGTGGGGGCTTGGGGAGCTCCACCACCGTGGAGCGCGACTTGTTCAGGAACTTCGGGGCCCGCCGCAGCAGCCTCTGCGCCTCCGTGAACGCCTCCGTCAGCTCCTTTTTCCACTGGACGAACTCTGGGTCGCTCTGGAAAGGAAAACGCGTGGGCACACGGCCCAGTGGGTTCCTCGCAAGCCAGGCGGCAGGTGAACTTGGGAGACCCCCTGGACCGCGGCGGGGGGTGCGCCCCGGGGGCTCCTGCCATGGGGGCGGGGGCAAAGCTGCCAGAGGCCGAGGACACATTGGAGGCCCCGGCACGGCGGGCAGACGGGCACGGCCTCCCCCTGTGCGGGAGGGACGCAGAATTTCGGGGAACGCGCTCCCCGAAATGGGCTCAGCATCCGGCTCGCTGTTCGTAGCCTTCCTGGGCACCGTGGGGAGCGTGCGCGCACTTGGGGCCCCATGCTCGTGTGTCCTTGGGAAAACTTCCCGCGTGGCATGACCCGAGCTGAGCGCAGCCGTCCCTCCCTCCGCCCTCGGAAGGAGAAGGAGCTCGTGGCCGCCGGTCACCTCGCACTGCAGCACGAACTGCTTCCCGCCTTTTATCCGGAGCAGGATGCACTTCTTGTCTTTGAGCTGCGTTTCCTCCACAGACAGGATCTGCTCCATCGTCAGGAGGTTTTGCTGAGCGGACAAAAGGAAGCCTGGCTGGATTCAGTGTTCGTGGCACACGCTCCCGGCAAGCGAAACTGTCCAGGCCACTGGCTGGACGTCTCAGTTTTCTGCAAATTGCTCACTGAGGGAAAGGGAGCGGCTCGGAAGGAATCCGCCGGTTCTAGACGGGGCGGACGGCCCTGGAGTAAGGCAACGCTGCACTTCGGCGCAAGGAACGGCGGGCAGCGCACGGGACGCCTCCCCAAAACAAGGGGAAGGTCAGGTTTTGCACCACAGCCATTCACGGGGAGGGGGCGGGGAGCGCCACCTGTCTGCACCACGCTCCCGAGTCCTGCATGCCCGGCCCAAGTCCCTGCTCCTTCTGACTCCTTCTGGCCACCCGCCTGACTTTCCCTGCTGCAGAAGTGAGCGCGGGGCAGAGTGGAGCTGGGAAGGGAGGCTGCCCCCCCGCCCCCCCCGAGCTTCTTGATCAGTGGCAGCTCTCCTGCTTGCCGCCACTGCCAGCCCTGCGGCTGCTGGTCCAGGGGCACTTTTCCCAGAACCTTCCCAGCTCAATGACATCGTATGAGTTGAGCCTTCAACATCTTCTGCCGGCCGCTGCGAGGGCCCGATCCAGTGCCGGGAAAGCGGGTTGCACAAAGCGCAGCACCGGCCAGGACAGGCAAGCGGCAGGAAGGGCAGGTGGCTGCGCTCACTAGGACTACAGGGAGCCTGCGGGGACACGGGGTCGATTCCCGGAGGAGGGGAGACACACACTCTACGGCGGCTACAGGGGCTGCGTCTGGGGCGGATCCTGCGCAGCGGCAATTCCCAAAGGCCCAGCGACGGCAGCCTGCGCCTGGCGCTGGGGACATGCGGCTCCCCCTGCCACTGGAAGGGCGTGCGCGAGAGCCAGGGATGCGCCCTGGAGGAGTGGGCCTGGGCCGTTCTGTGGCCAGGGGCCAGGAGGCGCCCCGCTCAGTGCAGCCCCCCGGAAAGAGGCGCGGCTGGAGCGGGGGCCCTGGGGGAGCCGCCCCCCACGCTAAAGGCTGCTTCGCCCTGCTGGGCCGGAGCCTGGGAGTTGCCACCGGAGGGCCCTGTCGCCTTACCCGCTGGCGTTTTTGCGTGTGAGCGCGCCACGTGCCCTGGACGGAAAAGGAGGCTGTCACGGTCCGCCCGGCGCTCTCCCACCTCTCCTCCGCGGTGGCCACCGTGCCCGGCCGAGGAGGGCAGGAGGTAGCGGGGCGCCCGGCCTCTCGCCCTCGAGGGGCACGCGATGTGACTCACCCGCGACTCCCCTTCTCCCCGCCATTCCAGCCGGTTTGGAAAGAGGTAAAAATAGCGCCGCTGCCACTGAGTCAGGAAGGGGTTGCCCAGCTTCAGCAGGTACCCGTGCATAATGCAGTCCTTCCCGAGGGCGTAGTCTGCGGCAACACGAAAGCCACGTTAGGGGGGCGCCTCCGTGGCTCCCAGGCACACGGTACGGCGGGCGGAAGCCACGCCAAGGGGTCCCTGCCGCACGGTGCTGGCCACGTGATGCCACAAGGGCCGACGTGGCTTGAGAAGGTCCGGGACACAGCCGCGGAGGCTGATCCGTGGCTGCTGGTGACAACGGGCACGGGGCACCCCCTCCTGCTGCCCCGCGCTCAGTTCAGAGGCCACGTGCCCGGAGACTGGCTCCTCCCTGCCCTGCCCTGCCCTGCCCTGCCCACGGGATCCCCCTGGGGCCTCTCGGTGGGTCGCCACGGGAGGCAGGCGGCTGAACCGGCGGACCCCTGGCCTCCCTCGCCGTCTGACATGCCAGCTGGAGCGGAGGAGCCGCGCCGGCCAAACGCCTGCTTATAAATACCTATCTGCAGCGAGCAAAGAGGCCGCCACGCTGGAAGCGAAAAGGAGCCCGCTCTGGCACGCTGTACCTCGCCTGAGCAGGGCAGCGTCGCTCCAGCATCTATTTCGGGAGGGGCGACAGACCTGAGGTTACATTTAACGCCGCAAAAAATGGTGTTTCACATACACCGGACCCCACAGCACCTTTTGAGCAAGCGCTTAATTAATTATAATAATTAAAGTGTTCGGTTGCTGGAGCTGTCGCACAGGGGACGCGTCCAGTGCCCCTGTCCTTTAGCAGTGCCCGGTGGCTGCTTCTTTTCAAGAGGAGATAAAAATGTGGGTAAATTTTTGAGGGAAGTTCTTTAATGTTTAGAGAGAGGCAGGTTGTTCTTAATGGGCTGCCTGTCTCTAACTCGGCACGAGGGCAGCGCAAATGGCTTTTCCGCAGCCTTTTGGTGGCTAACAGGCCAGCTCTGCGACGCGGGAGGAACACCTGGCCACCTGCAGTAAACGGAGAAACACGTGGCCGCTTGGACTCCGCACGAAGACGCAGGACATCTCGCTACGGTGTGTGCGTCACGTAAGAACACGGAAATGTTTCATTTTATGGCTCTAGCGTTGAAATGAACGGTATCAAATAAGTTTTAAAAAAAGGAGCAATGGAGGACGGAATAAGCAAGAGAAACAAGGGGGGGCCAGGGAGGCTGCGGGAGCGAGAGAAGGCAAACCTGCACGGGGGGGGCGGGGGGGCAGGGGGGCAACGCCTGAGCAGGGACCAGCAGCTGCCTGCAGGTGGTCCTCACGCCTCCTTCATCGTCCTCAGCCGGACAGGTGTGCTGCACCCCCCGCCCTTTGGGACTGGAGCTCCTGCACGGGGAGGAGGCCCCCCTTCTCACCCCCCAAGTCTTTCCTCAGAGCTGCGGACTTGGCCCCTTGTCCTCCCGCGGCACCGGCACCGAGCCCGGGGGGCATTCCGGTGCCTCGCCGGACTGCCCACATCCCCGCCTCCCGCCGGCCCCCGGCCTGCATTTCTCGGCCTCCCCACCTCCACCTGCAGATTACAGGGGGTCCCCGAGGCTGGCGTGGGGGGTGGCCTCCTTGGACCCTGCCCAACACGGTGAGCGCTGCTGGGGCCAGAGGAGCACCTGCAGGCTCCCGGCAGCCCGGGGACACCCCCGTGTCTGGGCGCACCCCTTTCCAAGAAACCGGCAGCGGCGCAAGGGGCAAGGCGAGCAACCTTAGGCTGCCGACAGAAAGGGAGCACGGGAAGCTGGCGCGTTCCTCCCGAGGCCCCCTCCCGCCCACCTGCCCTGCTCTCGGGACCCCCGCGGGGGACCCGCACGCATTCGAGGCAAGATCCCTGCCCTGCGGCCACGTCTCACCCTCCTCGTGGCCGAGCTGCTTGTTCTTGGCTCGCTTCCTGGCTTCGGCCTTGTCTGTGTCGGCATTCACGGCATCGTAAACGGTTTCGGTGACCTCCTGTTGCCAGCGCTCCGAGATCACCAAGGGAAAGTTCTTGTACAGCTCCTGGTCGCTGTCCAGCAACTGGGGGAAAGCGGGGCGGGGGAGAGGAGGGGAGGGGAGGTCAGCAGGACGGAGGGAGGCCCCCTCTGGCCGTGGGCCCGGCTCCTCGGACGGGATCTGTGCCAGCCTTCTCTCTCTCTCAGCATCCAGCTGTCTGCCCGGGGAACTTAATGGCCTGGGGGGAGGCCTTGCCGGGTGCCGCTGGCGCTCAGGAGACACGCCGGCCAGCCCTGCCCAGGCCAGCCCTGCCTCGGGCTCAGCGAGCGGCAAGCCACGGGGCCAGCAGCCACGGGGCGCACGCCCGTCTTCAGGGCACTTAGGCACGTGGCTCGGCAACCGCGCCTCAGCGTGCGAGCGCGAAGCTGCAACGGCCCCCCGCACTCCCCCGCCCCCGCCCCTTCCTGCAACCCTGGGGGGCCCCAGCAGGCCAGGAGCTGCCACTGTGAAGGGGCCCCTCCTCACAAGTCCCGCTTCTGCCCCACGGTGAGCACCAAAAACTTCAGGGGGAACGTGCCCCCCGTCACCTCCAGTGCGAAACGCTGGGGGGGGGGGGCTCCACCTCGCACCTTGATGCCTTTTGTGTCTTCTTCATCGAAGGAGCCGATGTCAAAAGCATCTGCGGCGTTCACTTCTCCCCGCGGAGGAATCAGGGGTGGGGGGTACTGGCGGATCAAGGGAAAGAGAGTTGCACGCCTGCGTTCCTGGGGGCGGCACGCCTTATTTTCACTCGTTTAAGACCGGGCGGGCGGGGGACAACCACTTTCAGCCCCCACGGTCCGGGAGACAGCGAGCGCGGCTGTCCTTCAAAACGGCACCGGGAGAGGCTCCGGGGGGGCCGAGGGGTGGAGGCTTCCCAGTGACACGGCGGGCTGTTGGGCTGTTGTGCTGCTGTGCTTGTGGCGCCGCTCGTACTTCGACCACTGGGGGGCCTCGGGGGCCACCTACAGGCCACACGCTGCCCGGCCTGGTTCAGCCTGTTTCCCAGCAATCTATCAGGATGCCTTGCAGTGAACACGCGAACAGGCCAAGACACAGATTTTCAAAGAGAAGGACAACCGTGCAAAAATTCAGCACAAAATCTCCTGCGAGCTCTTTGTCCCGGGTGCCCGTGTCACTCTAACGGAGAGGCGATCGGGGTCCTCGTCCCGTCCGGCGCAGCCTGTACTGGGCGCGCAGGACACAGCAGACGCCGACACATCGCCGGGGCGCAAGTGAGGTGGCACACACGGCCGTGCGGGACCGAGGCCTCCCGTTTATTCCACGGGGCCCCACAGGAAGACTCGGGGCTCCGCAGAAACAGCAGCCCCTTCCCCCCGCGTGGGGTCCACCAGTCCCGGCGGCCGGATGAGCAGGCACGCCCTGGAGCAGCGCGGCCGGCACGCGGTCCCACCGGGGAGAAGGACGGCTCACCTTCTGCAGGTAGACGTGCTGCCAGTCAATCCCCTTGAAGAACAGGTGCTCTTTCACTTCTTGCGCTCTGGGGGACAGAAGCATGGAAACAGAGCGAGTCGGAAGGGGCCGCCCGGGCCATCTAGTCTGACCCCCGGCTCCAGCCGGCTCCGCTCACGACATGCCCACCATGTGCACGTCCAGCCTGTCCTTGAACACCTGCACCGATGGGGCCTCAGCCACCTCCCGGGGAAGCCCATTCCACACCCCCGGGGGCCCGACTGTCAGGAAGCGCTTCCTGGCATCCAATGGAGCCCTGCACAAGCACGGCACGATTTGCTGAAGCCGGAGAGCAAGGGAGACGAGAACAGCTCCTGGGCTCGGCCCCGGAAGAGGGGCGATGGCTGGAGGTGTCAAAGCATTGTGGGGCGGGGGGTGTGGACAGCCTGCGAGAAGATGCACTGGGAGGAGCGGCCAAATCTTGTGGCACGGCACACGCTCTGCGCAAAGGCAGGCCCACCTCCGATCCCGAACAAGCCTGAGAAACTCAACGGGATTCCCCTTTGGAACGGCAAACGGAGCACTTCGGGCGAGGCGCTCGCAGGCCGCTCCGTGGGCTTTACTCCCACAGAAGCTACAGCACCAGGCGGCTTTTGGGACAGTCTAGAGACGAAGGAAGTCTAACGATGTTCTCTCGCTCGCTCGCCCGCCCTAAGTCCTCACTCCTTCCCTCACGGCCGAAGGGACACGGTTCTGGATGCCGCGCGGCACGCGCTCCTCCGCCCAGACTTACCCGCGGCCCTGGCAGCCGAGCCTCTTGCCAACCTCTCGCTGAAGCAGGCCCTCCAGGAGGGACCTCAGTTCGGGCGAAAAGGAATCCGGCAACTCCACATTCTAGCAGGGAGACAAGAGGGCCGGAAGGTCCCTCGGTGAACCCCACTCCGCCCGAGTCCAGACCCTTTGGGGGATGTGACCCGCAGCACCCCAAAGAGGGCCCGCGAAACGCTCTCCCGGCGTGGAGAGGCTGCCTGGGCTCATCCGGGAACGGACGTGCTGCTCGGGCCTGCCACCCGGGCCCTCGCTGGGAAGGCCAGGCGGGCGCGACGTGGCACGCAGGCGCCCTTACCACAGTGAGCGTCATCCGGTCGATCTCGTGCTTGTCCTTGGTTTTGTGCTGCCTGAAAGGGCTGTGCCTGCAGGGGGGAGACAGAGCCACACTGGCAGCAGTCCGGGGGGCGAGGAGCTGGCCAGGCACCGGGCCGGTTCCCTCAGGCCACGGGGCCTTTCCGCCCAGGGCAGGGCAAGGTGAGGGCACGTCAGTCCACAGGGGACAGTCGCTTTCCAGAGATGTCGGACTCTTGGGCCAAGCCACGCCCCACCACCCCTCCTGGCTTCTAGAAATCCCCCGCGGAGGCAGCAGAAGGCAGGTGCCCCCGTTCCAGGCAGCCCCCTCTTCCAGACCCCGTGCACGCCGGCAGGACTCACCCCCGGAGGAGTTTGAAGAGCATGCAGCCCAAGGAGAACCAGTCGGCGCTGCTGTCGTAAGCCGTGCCCTTCTGCAGCACCTCGGGGGCCATGTAGCCGTGCGTGCCCCTGAGCAAAGGGGCCGAAGGAGCACATTAGGGCCCCGGACGCCAGAGCCCCGGGAGAGAGAGCCAGAGAGGCGGCCAGGGGCGCAGGGACGCGGGAGGCCGCCTGCCGCCCGGGGCTGGGCCGCACGAGGAAGCCCCCGGCCGGGCGCAGGGGGCTTCCCTGGACCCACGAGGCTGCCCCGCAGAGAGGGGCCGGGAGGCGGAAGCAGGGCACGGGGCGCTCGCGCGACACCTACACGCTGGCGTGGGGCTTCTTCTTGGAGAAGTCGCAGGCCAGCCCCAGGTCGGAGACTCTCACGTGCCCGTGATTGTCCAGGAGGATGTTGGCCGGCTGCGAACACCAAGCGGCACCGGTTACTGCGCGACTCAAACGCAGGCCGCCCGGCCAGCAGCGCGGTCGCCAGCTCTACGCGCGCGCAGACACCCACGCGCAAGCGCTCAGGCGCAGGAGACGGACCGGCTGAGCGCCAATCCCCCCTGGGCGGGGCGGAGGGCTCCACCTCCGTGATGCTGCCCCCACAGCTCAGCCTTCCCATTCGGAGCAGAAGTGGCGCGCCCAAAATGTCGAAAAGCTACACTAGGCACAGGCACAACCTCGGGATGAAAGACTCTGTGCACCCCGGAGGTTTGCAGGTTTCTGTTCCAGCGTTTTTTCAGTTCTGCTTCTACAGGATCAGCCCAGCGAGAACCGCCGGTAGAGCAGCGCGCTTCCTCCGCCGATTCCCCCGCTGCGCCTGGAATGCATCTGGGGCCGGTAACAGCGGCAAGACGGAGCCACCGACTACGCGAGCCTGGCTGCGAAAGCCACTTCCACCAAGCCGCACGACGACTCCATGGGAGACAAACGCCGCCCCACGCCTCTCACAACCCGCCCTGCAGCGTTCCCCCCTTGTGGCCGGGGGGCGCTCCCCCCCCCCGGTTACCTTCAGGTCCCTGTAGACAACAGAGCAGCTGTGCATGTGCTCCAGCCCCAGGATGATCTCGGTGGCGTAGAAGCTCATCTCTTCCTCCGAAAACACCCCGTGCTGCGAGAGGTGGTAGTGCAGGTCCCCCCCTGGGAGCAAAGAGGCACACGCAGACAGGGCGTCGGAGCAGCGCCTCGCCCGGGCCACGTCCCGTCCTCCCCGGTACTTCCACAGGCCCACCAGTGGCGGACCACAGGTTCAGACTGGGGAGCTCCCCGTCTGTAGCCGGGCGCTTTGAGTTTATTGCAAAAGTGTTCGTGAGCGTGCCGATAACGGACAAATGATCATCCGTTTTCGACTGCGAAACGTCCCAAGAAAACACCGCCTTCGCCCGGATGGCTGGCCGGGCCTCGGGCCTCGGGCCAGCCTCATTCTGGAGCGGTCCCTCGCGCAGGGGAAAGGGCCGAATTCCGCACGCTGAGGCAAACGGGCGCAGGCGGCAGAACTGCTCCGGCCCCGCTCCGTTCGGCCGGAGCTGGAGGAGCACGCGCCAGAACCCCTCGCATGGGCACCAGGGCTGCCCCCCGAACGCCCCGCCGGGGTCCGGCTCTGGCTTACCGTTCATCAGGTCCAGGATGAAGCAGAGCTTGTCCGGCGTGTGGAAGGCGTACGTCATGCAGACGATGAACGGGCAGTCCTTGGGTGGAGGAGACCAAAGCGCTCTCATGGAACCAGGCAGGCCCTTCCCGGCCCACCTCGCACTGCTCAGCACACGGCGGAGGCCGTAACGCAGGAAGGGCCGGAAAAGAGCCCCCCCCCAACAGCCCCGGACTCCGGCCTGCCACTCCAGGGCCGCCAGGAGCATCTGGCGCACGCAGCCCGGCGAGCCCCCGCCCTCGCTGTGCCCGATCCTTCGCCACTGGGCTGCTCCGCTCATCCTTTCATTTTCTAACATTTGGACTCAGATGTGTGCCCGCGTGGAAGAAAAAACGAGTCTTTCTGCTTCCTTCAAGCACCGTGGCCGTCAGAGCTGCCTTCGGCTTGGCGTAAAAGGCTGTTATGGCTTGATGAAGCGGCACTTCGCCATCGGTTCCCTGCTCGGCCCAGGCAGGAGCTCTCGGGGCGCAAAACGCACGATTGTCAGGCGAGAGGCTACCGGTCCCGGCCCACAAGCACAGAAAGGGGCTGGGGCTGCGACAAAGCAAGGGACTCGCCCTCCAGACACAGCCACACCGGCAGGCCGGCCAGGAGCCCGAGGGACAGAGCCCGGACCCTCCTCCGCCCGCTGCCGCTACACCTCACCGAGAATTTCCCTGCTCTACGGTGCTTCACCCGAACGATTACAAGGGCGAGAACAGTCCCTCTTTCCCCATTTTAAGAGACGGCATAAAATGGCGCCTCTTTGCCGATGCGAGCGAGGCGGCAGCTACTCACGCCAGTGCTGACGAGGGACAGCATGATCCGTTCGTTTAAGGCCAGCGTCTCCCCTTGCTTCAGTTTGATCCTCTTCTTGTCCAGACATTTCATCGCATACCTGGACATTACGAGAGGGAGAGGTGTGCTCTGACACACGTCCCCCCACTGTCCCCGCAGCAAGCTGCCACCCCTGCCGGGGGGCCTGAAGGACAAAAGGTGGGCTTGAGGCAGCCCGGAAGCCGCCCCAGGCCTCAGCCGCCCAGCCCAGCCGGCTCTCCCGCAAGTGGCGGGAGCTTCCCGGTCTCCGGCAGAAGCCTTTGCCCCCTTGGCCTTTCAACAGGAGGGGAGGCCGACTGGTTCGAGACGCCTCCACCAAATGCAGTTCTTCAGGCCGCTTCCAGAGGGGAAGCGACGCTGTTCTCTCTCAGACGCAGGTGGGTGACCCGTGGCCCCCGATTCCCCGCAACCCTGGCCAGCACGGCCAAAAGCGGGATTGTGTGAGCGGGGAGCACAACATCTGAAGAGGCCCAGCCTGACGGCCCCTGCTCTGGGCAGCGTGCAAAATAAACCTGAAATTAAAACGACGGCAGTGCGGCCACTGAGCCTCTGTTGAGTTTAACCGAAACGCAAGCTGAGTGTGTGGAGACACGCCAGGCCAGGCCTGCCCAGCCCTCCGTGCCCCGGGGGGCTCGCTCCCCTGACGAGAGTCTGGGGAAGGGGAAAACGCGGCAGGATGAGGGAGTGGGTGCAGTTCTAGAAGGAGGATGCCCTTCGAAGCGAAGCCGTGGGGAACCGGGACCACGGAATGCGCGTCACCACAACCGCCTTCCCCGTGCCGACCACGCTGCAGCTGGGGGGGGGGGCCTCCCCGTAAATACACTGAGCGCCTCACATCTTCCCCGTGTCGGCTTTCCGGCAGCCATAGACTTCTCCGAAGCCCCCTCGCCCGATGATCCGGTGCACACTGAAGTCATTCATGGTCAGCTGTGGAGGGAAGGGAGTGAGGTGGGGGCACCTGCTGACGGCCGACACGCCCACCCTCTTCCGAGAGCCTCCCCCAAATCACGCCCAGCCGACACGTTAGAAGGCCCGTCTGCCTCCTCCTGCTTTCCAGGAATTCGGCACGCGCCTTGGTCGAATCCATTTCAACACGGGGCTGACGCAGGAAGCGCTGCTAACAAACTGCACCCAGAGCAGGAGGGCAGGGCAGGGCAGAGGGGTAACGCAGTCTTGTGGTCCCGAACATATTCTAGCGGAGGAGGCGAAGTACCAGGCTTGCCTCTGGGCATGTGCCAAGTGCCTTCCCCTCTTCCCCATGGTCGACCGGTCACTGGGAGCACTTTCTCCGGCTGAACAAGCTCCTGCGTGCCCCAGCGGACCACTCCGGGCGAGCCCAGAATGGGGGCGGCATCCCCCGCCTCTGCCCTGCAGCCTCGAGCTGGCACACTTCGGCAGCGCATCTTGTCCGCCCCGTGCCAAACGCGCCGAGCCAGGATCCGTGCTGCAAACCCCACGGGGAGCCAGCCACCAGCCAGAAGCCGCCTCGTGCCCACCCCGCTCTGGAGACGCGCAGGCACAGAGCACTCCTCCGGGACTCACATGAATGTTGAGTTCGACATTTTTCCACTGGCAAAATCTGGTGAATTTATCACTGCAAAGAAGAACAGAGGGAGAGGGAGATCTATAGGGGCACGAAAGAAGCATGATTCATGCAAGGCTGAGCTGCACCCTTCGTTTAAAAAGTGCTGCTAATTAACAAAGCTTCAATGAGCAGGCATTAGCTGAAGACAGCTCTTCAGTGACACTTCTTTTGCAGTGCAGATTATGAAAGCATCAAGCAGCATCCAGTAACAATGCCTTCCTATTTCTCATTTCTGAAAGCCTCTTGCTCGCAATGTCTTGAAAAACAATCCAAGAATTAGAGGAAAATAATTAGGCAGTGTTATTCAAAGAACTCTGCAGAATAATTAAGGATTAAAGTCCTTTTACTGCAAAATAAGTAATTCCCAAAGTAGAGAAGAGTGGAAAGAAGCCTCCGCGTGAGGCACTCGCGCTCCCGTGCAGCATCTCGTGTCTCATCTCTTATGCGCGGCAATTTGGAAACGGAGGCACAGTGAAGGGTGTCAGAGCCCCACGCGCCTGGGAAGCGTCGCTCGCAAGACCTTCGATCTGAGCTGCGAACCCCAATCTCTCCCGGCTCACTGTCAGGAGGAGGCGCGCAGGGGGCTGCTGCGTGGAGCCTCCCCCAGGAGAATCAGTCCACCTCGAGAGGCGCTCTGCGCCGTTCGTCCACAGAATTATTGGTGCTGCTGCTGCTTTCCCCTTCGTTAAACACAACAGCCACTCAAATTCAGAGCAGTTTTAATCTGCTTGTTTTGGCTGTTAGTTGACTACGTTGTTAATTCTTTGTCGGCTGTCCCGGGCACAATATCGTTGGATCCCTGGGAGGGTGCGTCACAGGCCGCAGGTGCAGGTGTGGGTGGATGGCAGGGTGGGTGGGAGAGAAGCTGGGAGAGGGTCCATGGGGGCTTTGCATCTTCAGAACCCAAAGCCCTTTCACTCCCATGACAAAGGAAGGCAGCCCCACCAGCCCCACCAGCCGCCTTCTCCCCCTCTGGGCTTCTTTTAAGAGCGAAAAACAGCTCAACTTTTCTAAGTAAATAAAATCAGCTGAAAGGCTGCCAATCTTGTCGAGGTGCTGAGCTGCTTTGCAACGTATCCAGCTCAGCTCCTGCAAAGCTTATCTTAATTGCCAAGATCAAACCTCACGCAAGGAAAATCCTTCCAGGCTCAAAGGCAACATCAGGAGATTAGAGTCCGGAGCAGAAGGGAAGGGAGGTCTGGGAGTGGGCGCCTTGGAGGGCGCGAGCAGGATCCTCGGACTCCTGGCGGAGCAGCGCCTCGGGGTGCCAGGCACGACAGTCCCAGAACGCAGGCGTGCCCTTGCCCGCCCCAGCCAACCTCTCCAGCCCAGCACCACGGACCCCGGCAAGGTCCGGCCAGATGGCCACACCGCTCAAACTCGCCGCCAGGCACCATACCTTTCTAGGAACATCTGGAAGGTTTTTCCTCGGAGGCGGTCGCAAATTTCTTCTATGTAGGGCTAGAGGAGAAGCAAGAATTTATTCTGCATTATTCCAAGCAGGGCGTCTTGCTCTGCTCTACAGATCGGGGCAGGTTGCGTCCAAAAGCCGCCTCCTGCAGGCCAGTGGCTGGGGCAGTGTTCTCGACCGGTGCGTGTCCACTGGACGGAATGAAAACATGGCCGCCCGGCAGCAACGAGGGAGCGGAGACACCGCTCTGAGCCTGCAGACGGAGCAGCAGGAGGAGGAGGGAGTCCGGCTCGAAAAAACTCAAAGAGCCGCTACACCTGTTGGGCTGAATCCAGGAAGGGGCTTCCCGCAGCCCTCTCTCCCCCCCCCCCCCCATGGGCACAAACAGCTCCCGGCAAGGCGCGAATTCCACCCTGCCGCTCAGAGCACCCGGCCAGGCAGTCACAACGTGGCCCGTGCCCTTCCGGGCGTGGGGCCGAGGGACGGCCAGCACAGCGGGTGCCGGAGCCGGGGTCCCAGCCATCCCCCGGCAGCACCTCAGGGGGTTTCCCGTGCATCCTGCTGGCCAAGGTGCAGACAGGGAGCAGCCACCCCCCACTGCCACAGAAGTGGCACACCTGGGCAGGCCCGGCGGGAGGCGGAGGAGACCCTGTGTGCCCGTCCCCGGGGGGCTGCGTCCCCGCCTGGGGTCAGCTCCGGCCCCGTGCGCCGCACTCGTGTGGGACGGCTACCCGCCATGCCGCCCTGGCCTTCCGCGCCCCGTTGCCACGCTGCGATCCAGCGCAGGCGCTGCCACGGGCCCAGCCCGTCTCCAGCAGCAGCTCGCCGCCCCAGCCGGCTCGGGCACCCGCCTCGAGCACGGGAGGCAGCGCTCGGGGGAACAGAAGGAGAGTGACGCTGCACTCGCCTGGAAGAGGGTCGCTGGAACTTGCTTCTTGGACAGGTGGCTTTGCACGTGATCGACCGTTTGCTTTGAGAACGGCTGCAGGGAAAATCAGAGCAGGCGTCCTTCAATGGATTACGGGCACGCGGAGGATGGCCTGGCGCTACCGGGGCGGCCTCTCCTGGCCCTGTGGCGAGGCCCCAGGCCGGCCCGGAGCAGCCTGCCCCCCTTCCAGCCCAGCACCGCCTCCTCCGCCGAGAGGAGCAGGGGCCTTGTGATGCTCCACACGGGCGCCCCGGTTTAAATCAGGGGACCCACCAGCCTGAGCGTACCGGAGTGCTGAGCAGCTGGGACCCGTGGGCTTCCAGCTCTTCTCGCAAAACCCCCCTTAGCAGAGGGCTCTCCAAGGCCAGAGGGAAGGACCCGGGGCCAAGGAGAGCGCAAGCCAAGGGGAGGGCCCTGTCCAGCCCCCCAGGCCCTTGCAGAGCCGCTGCACCCACGCCCCCGGTCGGCCCCCCACTGAGGGGTCTCCCTCCACTCCCGCGTCCGCCCTTGAGGAGCCCGAGGCCGCACGCACGTGGGAGCACGAGAGCAGCTCCTTCATGATGTAGGTGTCGTAAATGTGCCGGCTCCGGCTGAGGCGGTCCTCCTCCGAGTCCAGCTTCTCATACCCTTTGATCTGCGAGAGACGGCACGGCGGACAATGGGCGGATCTTCCCTGAGCAGCCAGGCAAGCGCCCCGCCTCGTGGCACAGTCCCATATCCCCCCGCACACAAGCACAGCCGGACCCTGGAGGCTGGACCCCTGCCGGAGAGAGGCTCCAGCGCAGCGCTGCCCGCACCCGAGCAGCACTGCCGCAGCTGCCCCATCCGGCAGATCCCGGGCTATTTTGGGAAGAAGTGCCAGAGCGCTTTCCAGGCACTGAAGCGCAGGCCAAGCGCCCGCAAGCTGCAATCAAGCTTCTCGGCCTGACTGGCTCCACTCCTTCCACGGACTCCTCTAATCAGTTTCCATGGAAAAGAGGCTTCTGCCCTGACAGCAGCACCGGGGGGCGGGGGGGCCCTGCGCGGCTCGGACAGGCCACCTGCCTGCTGATGACGGATCCGGGCGCTCCGGCGCCATGGCAACCCCGGCCATGGCGAGAGGCCCAGCCCCGCACCCGAGCAGAGGAGCGCACAAGCGACTCCGGGACGTCCGCGACCGAGGCGGGAGGGCCGAAACTCCCAAGCGACGTACCCAAGGAGGCAGACCGGCGGCCCCCGCGAGGCCCGGGCCTTGCTCCGCCAAGGAGGCTCTGCCACTCGCCGAGCAGCTACGGGAGTCGCAACGGGTGCGGCTGCCACACAGCCCCTGCTCTGTGCTCCGGAGCATGCCAGGTGGGGGGCTTCCGGGGCACCACTGGAGGGCCACGCTCGGGACCCCTGCCCCGCCGGGCTGCAACCTCGGCTGGTGCACCTCAGGAGCCGCCCTGCGCTCAGCCCGTGCCCAGGAGAGGCGGCTGCTGCTGCAGACCCAGCCCCCTCGCGGAAGATGCTCCGCACGAGCACGCCAGGCCGCCCTTCCCCTAGAAACGCTGCCTCGCACGGGGGCTTTTTAAATGCCAGGATTAGAAGGCCCCCGTCACCTGGCAGCTTAAAAACATGCTTGACAGCTGCAGCGGGACCGCTCCCCAAACGCTCTCAGTCGTGACTCAAGTAGCAACAGATGAGCCTCCTGGAGTGTGCAGCGTTTCTGTGACTGACAATGCGTTGATCTTCTATTCCCACAGAAGATGGGAGGAATCAAATGCAGCAGAACCCGAGACTTCATTCTGAGTATGCGTGCAGGCCCTCGGCCGAGTGAGCGCCGAGGGCCGTCGCTGGATCTGCCCTTCGTGGCTTGTTTCTCTAAGCGAAACAAACCCAGCGCTCTGCCCGTCTTTCCTAGCTTGGCAGTGCAGCCCCTGAACCTCCCAGAACCGGGTTGGCCTCGGGAGGCAGTCGGGCACGCAGAACAGACCCGACTGGCAAAGGGACCACCCGCCCCCACAATCCGCTCTTTCGCACAACTCCAACACCTTCTCAGCAGAGACCCGTCAAAGAGAAGCCCCTTGTCCACGCCGAAGCAAGCCCCGGCGTGCCCCCCTGGAGTGGAGCAGGGGAACAAACAGCCTCTTACCTCTTCATAAAACTTCAGCTGTGGGACCCCTTCCTCAACATCGGTCTGGCAAAAGTCTTTGAACAGCAAAAATCCTAGCAAACAAACGAGCATTTTAATGTGCAATAATATAACGTGATTAATCCCAAACCAGCATGCCCAAGCCAAAAGACCCGTTTGCAAGTTCACCTCATTTCCGCAACGAACCCTCCAGATACTGACAGAAACGGTGCCCGCGCTTGGTTCCCATTCGCTCCCGCCTTGCCGAAGCCTTCCCAGAGGCCTGCGGCTCCGAGGCTGCTGAATTCCGAGCTGCAAATCTGCAAAGCCCCACGGACCTGTCCGTGCTTTTAAGCAGCGGCACAATGCATCCGATTTCCGGTCTCGCTGGCACCCAGCGCCTTTGAAGGGCAACATTTCAGACGCTCTTCTGGACAGCAATGCTGCACGACAGAGCAGGCCCCGTCACAGCACCAGTAGCTTTCATGTAGTGTGTGGCACGATAAAAACCACTCCACGGTAAATTTATCGCATCGAGAAGTGGCACGCAAATGGGCCGGGGACTGGGAAGCCGGAGCAGAAGAGATCCACTCCTCTTTGAGCTTGGGACCCTGAAAGCACCAGTGCAAGCAGGCACTCGGAGAGCTGCCTGGGGCCATTTCCGCGGCAGAAACGCCTGGCTGGCGGGGCCCATCCTCCGGCTGAGACGTCCGTGCCTCGGGAGCCAAGCTCTGCTGGGCACGTCTCAGACTCCGACTTGCGCGTGGCCAAGGCGGGCACCATCCAGCCAGAGGCGCCAGGTTTGCTTGTGGCGCACAGCAACATTATGTGAGGTCGGCAAGGTGTCTCACAATGCATTAAAGAACTCGAGACATGGCTGTTCTTATTTCTGTTCCTCAAATAATGCGATTACAAGATCAATGGAGTCACAAAGGGAAGAAACCCGGGAGATCGGTTAGCGACTCGGAAAGCGCCGCTAAATGGCGAGCAGCCAAGAAGAGGAAGAGAAAAACACCCTGGCGGAGGAACGGCTGGCACGTGCGCAGGACGTCACGCCAGTGAATACATTAACTGCCTTAACTGGAGTTAGAATATGGAAAATTGTGGCTGTAAAGGAGTAGGAAGAATGCATAATATGTAATAAACCTCAAAAACTTGTACATGTAGAGTTGATAGTGCTGTAAAGGAAATTGTCCATTGAAATACAAATACTGAGGAATTCAAAATTTGATGCCCCTAATTATAAATGCACACATAGATGCTTCCTAATATTCCAAAAGGAGTCTGTGAGTCTGTCTGTCTGTGCCTTAGCTCTGGCACTGTGAGCCCTACGTACCTGAAATTTAGCATCCACACCCAGCAGCCCCTGCAGGTATGCATCTTGCGCTTGCTTCGTTTTTTTAAATGCATAATTAATTTCAGCTACCTTAAATATGCACATGTTCAACATCTGCAATACCATCTTCAGTCTGTAGGTGGCAAACCTTCCTACTGGTTTTGCAGCAGATAAAACATTTGACACCAGAAGGGGGTCTTCCAAAAAAGTAAGTCGTATGGTTGTCGTCCCCCAGCCCCCCCTCAGGAATGGACTGGACTGACCCCTCCCTCAGGGATGTATAAGGATGCCCCCTGCTGCCTGCACCTGTGGCTGCACTGAGATGGCACAGGCTTGATTGCACCCACCCCGGCAATTGTCTAAATTTGCTGGAAAGCTTTCCTGCACTGAAAGGAGGTCTAGTCCAAACTTGCGCATGTGCAGTTAATAAATGGATCCAAATGCATCTGTTCATCATGCACTGATTACATTCTATGTGTGTGGATTTGTAGATTTTAAACTGGTTAAAATACAGATTTCAATGAAAAATACTGCACAGCAAACCAGTTGGCTAGTCAGGCTCCAGGAAAGCTGGTTCTGCCACGCTATGGGGTTGCGTCAACGCAGTGCAGCTGCCGTGCTGGAAAAATCCATCTGGAACACCGAAATGCAAGAGGAATCACGCCAGAGACGCACCCAGGGGGGAGATGCCTGAAGCTTTTGCTTCCTCTTCTTTTGATTTATGTATTCCTTCCTTCCTTCCTTCCTTCCTTCCTTCCTTCCTTCCTTCCTTCAGCTTATATTCTTGCATCAATGAGTCCCAAGGACGCTCTAAGTGGATAATCGTGCCCGCGCCAGTCTTGCCCACAACCAGTGCTTATCACTCAGCCGTCCGACGGACGGTCGGGGCCCGAAGCCAGGCGCACCCACAGACCCGTGAAGAGAGGGCCCCAGCCACACGGCTCGGGCGCTTCAGCGCAAGCGCATGCAACTCGCGTCAGCAGGGCCGTCTTCCACACAGACCGCATGCGCTGCCGACACGCAAAATCGCTTTCCACTTAATGCGGCTGACTCAGACAATCATTCCAAACGAAGGCGCTTGAGGCGCGAGGAGCCCGTCCTGCCACCCGTGGGCGCCGCTGGTTCCCCCGACACACACCTCGCGAGCAAGCGAGCAAGCCAGCGGGATGCTGCATGCCACGCGAGAGAGCCGCCGGAGGGCGGGAGGAGGCCCCCGTGGGGTGCCGAGGCCCACGCTTGGCCCCCTCGTGCCACCGGGAGCACAGACGTTCCCACGGGCAAGCACCCGGGGCGTTTTCCCACAGAGCCACGGAGAGATGTTTGGATTCCCCACTCTGCAGGCAGCAAAGCGGCTAATTTGTTTTAGCAGGAGACAATTCCCAGCAGGGAGGAATGCGGATCCAGAGCAAACAGATGCGTCAGGAGGTGTTGGCTGGCATGGCAGGACAGCACCTCCGGCTTAATCCCCTTGGGAAACCGCCAAGAGGCCTTACCCAGGAGGAGCGGCCAGATGGTCACTTCCGCCGCCCGCCCGCCCGCCCGCCCGCCCGTCGGGAGCCGCACGGCCGCCTGGCTCGCAACACCCCCGGGCGAGGTCCCTCCGCTCCCACCGACACCTGGGCGAGCGCGGTCCGTGCAAGACGAGCGCCGTAACACAAGACGGGGCAGAAGGGAGCCGGCAGTGCGTCTCCCGCAGCACAACAGCGCCTGCCGGGGAGCCTCTGCTCCCGGACGCGGCCCCGAGCCCGGGGCCCACCCCACTGGGGCAGGCCTCGGCGCAGGCCTCAGCGCAGGAGTTCAGCCCCCCGCGGCGCTGCAGCTGGACCGGGAGGCCCCGTGCCCAGCAGCCGTGCTCGTCCAGCCCTCCCGGTCTGGGTGCCAGGCCCTGCTCCAACCACCGCCGACCGCTGCCCCAGACGACCCAACCCCATCCCAACAGGAAACGGCCAGGGGGAGCAAAGCGTGGGCAGCCGGGCGGAGGGAGGGCGCGAGCCCTTCGGCTCAAAGCCTCAAACAGGAGTCCTGGCCTCAAGGCGGATAACCCTCTCTCTTCTGCACAAGATTCCCACTGGTGGATCTCAAGGATCTAGTCAGAGCTGGAACAGAGGCCTCACCCGCAAGATGGGCCTCTGCCGGGAATTCTAGGCCCCGCTCAGAGCCCGGCCTTCACGCCACTCCGACAAGGAGATGCGAACGCCAGAGGCCCAGTGCATTGTGGCGATGAAGTCTAGCGTCGTCCCTCTCCGTGGCCGCGGCCTGGGGCCCTCCCTGCTGCAGATGCCCGTCTCCAGGGGCATGAAGCAGCCTGCAAGGGGTCCCACTGCTGCATCAGCAAACGCTGCGGTCGCAGGCGGCCTGACCCCCCCCCCAAGAGTGGGGCGCCTCTCCCGTGTGAGTCACGCACAGGAGCAAGTGGCACCCTCGCACACTACCGGCATATGTGGCTAATTAAAACACACACACAGGCTGAAAACACAATGGACGGAATATTAGCCTTGTGGAGTACTCAGAAAGACCAAGCCAACATACCCTTAAGAGTTGCCTGGCATTTGCTGAGGGATTTATGAACAGCCCCGGCTTTATTTGAATAAGTGCTACAAATATTTGCCGGAGGAATACTGTGATTTTCCCTGTGGGTCTTGCCAAGGCAGGTGTGTACTGTTTCGCAGGAAAGAACGGTCAGGAGGCATCACGTGTGTTAACACAGGGACGATAAAGCGGCGTTTTATTGTTTGTTGGCTGAGATGCTTCCCCTGCACTAGGAAGCACGCTCTGCGACCCACCCAGAGCCGGTTTCTCCGGGGCAGCCCCAGGGCCCGATCCCCAGGAAAGGCAGAAGTCTTCCCTGCGCTCGCTTAGTCCTGCAGGGCAGGCCACCGTTCAGGGCTCTCCTCCGAGGCTGTGCGCAACATGCCAGACGCAAGCAATTTAGTCGACAATCCAAAAAGACCCCCGTCAAAAAGTTGTTTTGCTTTGCTTTGCTTTACTCCTAAACTGGGGCGGACAACCCGCTGCTCCGCCACAGACAGTCCGCGGGGGAAACCAGGCCGGGATGCGCAGCCTGCGCTGCTGCCCGTCACGGTTCCGCCCCCGAGGCCCCGGCACCTTCCTCTGCCCCCTATAGCCCCCAGGAGGACCTCGCAAACCTGGCGACAGCCCCCAACTCAGGGGGCTTTGCAGCAGGAGTGAACGAATGAGGGGAGGGGCGTTCACAGCGGCTGCCCATCGCAGGGGCTGCGGCATCGGTCCCGCGGGCCTCAGACCAGCTGCCGGGAGCCCAGGCGGGAGGGCGCCTGCCCCCCGTGGCTGCTGGCGGGCTGTCGTGGGCACCTGATGGCCACTGGCCAACCCGAAGTCAGGGCAAGGTGGGCCTGGGCACGAACCAGCACAGCCCTCCCGGGCTAGGAACCGTGTGGCCCTCCCAGCCTCCCCCACCGCTGGCTCTGCCGGCGGGGCTGACGGGAGCCGAGGTCCAAGCATCCCCCACCACTGCCGTGCCGCGTTACCCACAAGCCCCCGCACGCCACCAGCAGCGGAGGCCCGGAAGAGGCACTGCCTCTCGCTAACAAACCTGCCCGCTTATTTTAGCCTCCTGAGAAACGACAGACAGTCGACCGAGAGACAAAAGGCCCGGTTGCCAGCGGAAGCCTCAGCCAGGGAAACGGATCCTTTGCTTCCAGTCGGGCTCCTTTTGCAGCGGCTGCGTTTCTAGGCCCCGCACGCTCCCTCCTCGCCAGCGCCTCGCTCCGGCAATGCAGCATCCTGCCCACAACGAGTGGGGCTGGGCTTGGGGCGCAGGGTCAGCCCGGTGCAGCCTGCAGGCGCGCAAAAGCGGCGACTGCTCCCCCGAGAAGCGGGGCCCGCCGGCTCCCTCCGGCCGGTGAGCGCCGCTGCCTCCGGTGACACACTGACCCGCCTGCAGCGAAGGGCCAGACGGAGCGAGCTGGGGGGGGGGGTTTCCTGGCTCAGCTCCGGAGAGCGGGGGGGGGAGGGCGATGGAGGGGCGTCCGTGCGCGTGCGGGTGGACACAACGCAGCAATCGACGGCGGAAAACATTCAGTGCCAACCTCCTCCATCTGGGTCAGTCTTTCCAGAGCAGTTTTCTTTTGGTTCGAGGTGAAACTCTTTCTTCTTTCTCCGCCTGTTTAAGTTGAATGGCTTGTTCTTGTACTGGTTTTCATTAGGATTTCTCGCTTGCTCTTCTTCATCATCATCATCATCATCATCATCTTCATCATCACTGTTGTTGTTAATAATATCCCTGTTTCCCTGCAAGGAAGCTAGGACGGCTTTCGCATCCTCCTCCTCCCAGGTTGGATCCCTGGCAGCGTTTCTGAGTGAGGGTGGGAAAGACCCTGCCTGAAACCTTCAGGAGCGGTGGCCGCCCCAGGAGAGAACAGGAAGCTGGCCGGACCGGCTCCTACTCCTTGTTTAAATGAGCCCTTTACTCAAATCCAGGGACCAGAATAGAACGTTATTTTCCTGGGAAGAGCTCTGGCTGGCAGAGCCAGGATCCTGCAACGCCAACTGCTCCTGCGAGAAGCGCGGACAAACCTCTACAGCTTCGCTGCTGCACCAGTGCCGAGTTTGGTGAGCCTGGGAAATTTGCCCCCGGAAATAAAACGCGCAAGGCCCCTTCCATAAGAGCGGCGCTTGAGGCAAAGAACATGGTGGAAGCCCAGCAAGACGCTGCTCCGCAGCCGGAGATGGAGCGGGGCCAGCGCAGGAGCGCTCTGCCAAGCTGAACAGACGCTTGTAGGAGGGCGGCTCTGAATCGGCAGGTGGAAATTCTTCCAAGCAGGGGAGGCTCAGCCAACGGAAAGGTCAGCAGAAGCTCCTCTCCGCACTTCTTCCTGGAGGTGCCCCTCCAGCTGCATGATTTCACTGCCTCTCCACAAAATGCCCTTCGAATTAGCGGGAGTTGAAAACGGCCCCTGGACAGAGGAGGGACCCAGGGCTCCAGCCGGACGCTTCCTCCTCGGCAGGCCAGCACCACCGGGAGCCCTCCAGGGGACTGAGACTTTCACTCCCAGGAGTGCCGGGCATGCTGGGGGGCTTGGTCCGAGCCCCCTGGAAGGGGAAAGCTGACCTAAGGCGACCCATTCTGGCTCTGAGAGCCAAATCAGTGACCACGCGTGAAACTTGCAGACAGACAGTGCAGGCCACGTGCCGGCGCTTCACAAGGGCAGAAACAGGGCCCACGAAGCGAACAGGCGTTGGACCAAGCGCCCAGCTCCCGGTCTCTCCTGTGGCCGAGCCAAGGCCTGCGGGAAGCCCCGAGCGGGACCCGAGGGCAGGGCCGGGTCGCAGTCCAGCAGCAGGCTGCGAAGGCCGAGCAGCACCCCGATCCCTCCGAGCCCCCCGGCATCCCGTCGGCGGCATGGCAAACACACTGCCCGGTCAAGCCCCCCCGCTACCCCTTCTCCCACCTGCAGACTGTCTGCCTGCCGGGCAGGCCTCCCTTCCTGCTGCCGCCTGCCGACCTTAATATGGAGAGCCGGGCAGAATTACGATCCGCTCCCCCCCGAACGCACGAGCGCCCACGGCAACGGCACCGCACGGGCCCAAGACGCCTCTGGCGCGATTTTGGGAGCGCTGGCCGGCGCAGAGGCAGACCAGCCCATCTCACAGGCGCTGGCACAGCCGCGGCCTCCACCGACGCCACACAGTTACGCTGGCATCCCTGCCAAGGAGGACCCTGCCCTGGGGTGGGGGGAGTGTCCGCCAACTGTCCTCCGGCCTGCGCAAGGCGAGGCTGACCTTGCCAAGCAAGACAGCCGTGCTCTTGCTTGTCCGCAAACAGCTGGCGGTCTGAGCTCTGCTTCCGCGGGGCTTTTCCACCGTTTGTAAAGGGTTGTGGTATTTCAGGACGAAGCCCGAGTGTTAACGACATCGAGTGGCCCTGCACGGCCTCAAAGGAACACTTCTGACGTCAGAAAGGCGGCATAAAAATAAACATAAATATTATTGTGCACATAAAAGCCGTCCCATTTCTTGGGCTAGGAAGCAAGACTCTGGGATCTGCACGATGCTCATCAGCTATGCGTATATCTTCCATAACTAATTCCTCCCGTCCCCGACCTGGCAGGAACGTAGGAGCAGAAACCCTTCTGGCTGGCACGGCCCCACGTCCGGAGGCTGGGGAGGCCTGTGGATCCTGCTGCTTCTAGCCAAAGGGGCAAAGAGAGCTGCCAACCGCGCTCTCTGACCAGCATCCCTCCCTTAGAAAGCCTTGGCTAGAAAGATCAATAATTTCATTCATATTTGTTATCGTGCAACCGGCACGGCCATTCATCCAAAACATATTTTTAATGCAAATAAAAAATATGTACTGCTGCCTAATTGCAAATTGCTTAGAAACTGAGGCCTGAGGCTGAGGCCCTGTGCAGTTAAGGATCACGTACTGCCTGTACAGGAAGAGGCAAAACGAAACAGACAAGCAAAGCAAGCCAGGCGAGAGCATCTTCTCCCGACGAGAAGCCCCGTGCCGTCCAGCTCATCTGGACACAAACAGGATGCGGAGAGGAGCAGGAGGAACTACAGCTGCACTTCCCCTTCCGTCGCCAGGCTCTGGAGGAAGCAGCCTGCTCTGGGACGAAGGAGACACTGGCTTAATCGCCGATGAAAACAGCGCTCCGGATAGAGGCGCTGCCCGAGGGCTCGCCCACTCCCAGGAGGCAGGACGAGAGCAAGGCCTTGGCCGGCACTCCAGGGGCAGAGCATGAGGAGGGTGCAGGGTCCCCACACAGCGCAATCCCCTAGGAAAGGGCCCCATGCAGCCGGTCCCGGCAGGCCGCTGCCACGCTCAAAAGCGGCCTGGAGCAGCCGTGCGTGCGAGCCGGCAAAGTGCTTGCTTGACTCGGCTCAGAGGGGAACCAGAAAATTGCTTGCCGCTCCCACTCCTCATCTGGGCTACACATTTTCTATCCGTCGCGTGTCTGTTTGCTGCCATTCCCCTGGTCACAAATAAGGAAATAAGCAGAGGCCTGTTCTCCTTCTGGAACGGTGCTTAAGCGAGGAGGCAGAAGAGCGGCAGATCTTGCGAGAAGCGGCCAAATCCCCCGTTTTTGGACACCGTCCTGAGTGGCCTCGACAGTCGAAAGCGGCAGGCCCGTGCCGCGAGCCGAGAGGCAGCGCAGGGCGACCCCGCTGATGCTCCGACCCCGGCATCTGCATGCGAGCGCGGAGCGGGGCCACGTGCGGGTCGGGAGCGCAGGGCCAGCAGCACACAGACGACCCGCAGCCGCTTCTCCTTTCCACCCGCACCAGGCGAGGCCGTGGAAGTGCTCCAGACAGGCGGATGGGCAGACCAGGAGGGCCACGCATACGGCACCAATTCTGGCCCCCTTCCCTTTATTCATTTATTCATTTATTTCCCGATTTATATCCTGCCTTTTTCCTACGAAGGGCTCAAGGCAGCGTACATCTCCTCCTCCATCTTATCCCAACAACAACAACCCTGTGAGGTGGGTTGGGCTGAGAGACTGTGACTGGCCCAAAGTCACCCAGCTGATGCCACGGCTGAGCGGGGACTCGAACCCGCGTTGTCTGAGTCCCAGTCCCAGGCTCTTCACCACCACACCACACTGGCCCTCACGGGCTCCCTCTCCGCTTCCAAGCCCAATTCAAAATGCTGGCTTGAACCCAGAAAGCCCTACACGGATGGGGCCCCAGTGCTCAGAAGGCCTCTCCCGACAGCAACCTGCCCAGCACTGCGATCGAGAGCGAGGGCTTGCTGGCTCTGGGAGAGGCGCGGCGGGGGCAAGGAGGGGGCCCCTCCGCAGGTGGAACCAGCTCCCCAGGGAGGCCTGCCTGGCCCCCGCTCACTGCCAGCCCGGGAAGGCCTTCCAGGACGAGGCACCGCGTCAGCCCCGAGTGAGGCCCTGGCGAGTCTTATCCGCCGCCGAACAGCTGTCCTTGCATTAATGCATGTGAACCACTGCAAGCGCTTTAAATCTGGTTTGAAAATCTGGGCGTGTAGTTTTTACGGCTGCTTTTATTAGCTGTACATTACATTACATTGCACTTGGTGTGCTGCTGTAAACTCCCAGAGAGCTTCAGCTATTTGAGCACTACAGTAAAATAAATAAACGCCAAGTAGACTCAGCATTTGGCCAACAATACTCAGGTTACAAGGAGCTGCGGGAAATTGCTCCCCTCTTCGGATCTGCTTCAGGTTTCAGCAACTTAAATAACTTCTCACTCCCAAGGGGAAGTGAACTGTCTCTGATGATGATGATGATGAGGATACTCTGCTTCTACCCTGCTCTTTTCCTCTAGCACAGAACCTGAGCCAGCCCACGTGGCCCCGCTCCTTTCCACTTTCCCCTCACAGCAAAACTATGAGCTGGACAGGCCGGGACTCGGTGAGGGGCCCAAGGTCACCCACCGAGTTTCAGCACCAAGTGCGGACGAAACCCGGATCTCCAGAGCCGCCGTCAACCGTCTACGCTGCCCCTTGTCCTAGGAAACGATCTTTCTTGCTCTGCCCGTTGAGCACGTTTGCCCCACACTTCCTCTGGGAAGACACACACCTGGGCCCCAAGAATCCTTGAGTTGGCAGCCACCAAACAGATCGCCAGCGTAACGCGGGGAGAAGCCCACACGCAAGGACTCACCGATCTTCTGGCCGAAAATCTTATCAAACGTTAACTCTCCTCTCTCCTCCAAATACTTCTGCATCACACTGCGGATACTGAAAGAAAATTAAATGCAAGTAAATTATTGCCTTGTTGAGGTAGCTAGAAGGAAAGAACGATGCAGTGAGCGGAGCCCATCATCCCCGGCTCCAGGAGACTCTGGCTCAGGCTAAGAAGCTGCACAACCCTTAAATCAACCTGGGGGTTTCTGGGATTGTGTTTCCTAAAAGAAATGACAACTTCCCACCTGCATAAACAAACCGCCTATAAAACATCCCTCTATATTCCACCACATTCTTTTAACACGTGGTCACTTCTAGAACCTTCAATGAAGTTATGCAGAATGGAAGCAAAAAGCAGCCAAACAGGAAAAACAAAAACGGACCGAAGCCTGAAGAGTGAGAACTTTCCCCTCATTTCCTCGCTGTGAACTGAAATTGTGCCCCACGGAAGATGCCACACGCAAGGACGTTGCGCTGCTTGTGTCTTCCGGCAAAGCTGCGGGTGAGCAACACGGAGGGGCGGGGGGGGTGTAGGGTCAGCCTCCTGCCCCTGTTGACACCAGCCCCTAAGAGACGCGCCTGCTTGGTCTGCAAAGCAACAGAAGGGGGGTGAGACAATCCCAGGACCGCCCCCCCCAGCAAAGAGGCAGCTCCTCCGAATCGATGCTGAAAAACGGAGGAATTGACTGGCAGGGGCAAGCGGCGCGATGTGCTTGTACCCCTGTGGGGGGCACCGATCGTGACACGCTCAGGTAGAGGAGGAGCTGTCGCCTGCATCACCACCGAGCGCCTTCCTAGCGGTGCCACAGTGACCGAGCCCACGGAGCCGCACGCGCAGGCCACTGCCCCGCTGGCGCAGACGGGGGCACAACTGGCGTGCAGCATGGACCGGTCCAGCCTCGGCCGGGAGGAGCATCCCCTGGGGAGGCCCCGCACACAGGCAGGCGCTTCCCTCGCATCCACGTCGCCAGGCGGGGGCCTTGTGGCACTGGAGACGCCGCCAAGCATTTAAAATCCATTATTAAGTTTATCTGGCACCAATGCAGGGAATGATCTCGGGCGTTCCGCCCGGAGTCGGAAGCTGTTGAAACGAGGGGAAGCTACCATGAAGAGTGTTCCCCCTCCAGGCGGTCTCTGAGGAAAGCGGGGGGGGGGGCAGAGGGCTGAGACTGCTCCTGCCCCATCCGGGCGGGCGGGCGAGCTCGCCATGGTCCCTGCAGCCCAGAGCTTGTCCGGCCTCTTAGTCTGTTTTCGTATTTTGTATTTTGGAAAATTTCCTACCAAGCTGGATTGTATTTTGCTCCCTGGTCTAGGAACGGTCATGAACCACCCAGAGAACATAGAGAGGGCAAAGGAAAGCCCTGACCGGATCAGCTTCCACGTCCCTCTGTCCCTCGCTGTACGTGCCTCTCCCAAGCCGCCCCTTTGTCTACCAGCTGCGGGCCTCTCCTTCCTAATGTGTAAGAAATTAGGGCAATTAATACAGTGCTCTCTGTCATTAGACCAGCAAAGCACGGAGGCAGATAAGCGCCTGGGCACTTAAGCCTCGCGCTGCAGCTCGCCCCAGGAGATCGGGAAGTAGGCCAAGGCTGTGCGCAGTCCGTCCCTCATCCCTCCCTCGCCCCACACTGGCTGCGCCCTCCAGGAGGGGCCCCTGCGTGTGCACAGGCCGCATCGCAGTCACCCCTGTTTTCCCTGCAACGGGCACCGCAAACATCCTCCCAGATTTTGCAGTGGCCTCTTCAAGCTCATCCGAAATCCCGTTTTTGTTCCAACCTGTTTCATGTTGTGGTGCTTTGCTCCGGGAGCCTGTAGAGGGATCGGGTGAACGCACATAAACTCTTCCAAAGTTTAAAAAGTGGCCTGGTCATGGTGGCTGTGGGGGGGAGAGGAAGAGGAGGGCAGAGGCAGGGCCGGCACGAAAAGCCGCCGCCTGCATTAGAGGCCTGCAACTAGAGACCTCCTGGCCAAATCCTGCCTCTACGGGACACTGCTCAGCCCCCCCGAAATGCCGAACTGGGGCACACAAAGGGTGCGCAGCAGAGGGATGTGTGGCCGGCAGGAACTGGCCAGGGCATCTAACAGGGAAGCGGGCTGGGACACTCAGTCGCCCCTCCAGGGAAGGCAAAGCTAAGGCGAGGCGCGGAAAGCTGATCGGGGCTCTTTGCGCATCAGGCGGCAGCTCTCCAGGAGCGCCCCCTCCGCCTGCCTCTCTTCCCCAGAGACGGCAAGCTCTGAGCTGGGGCCCCAGCAAGCAGAACGGGCGCTCTGCCACCAAACGGCAGCCCTGTTTTCGAGCACGCGAACACGGCGGAACTAAAAATCCACCGAGGACGCCAATGTACTGCCTCCCCCTCCCGACCAGCCCAGCAGCTCCAATCCTGCCATGAACTGGGATAATCAAAGGTGCTGAGAGCACTTCAGGCAATCCCATAAGCTGGATGTGCACTTAACGGCTGCGGTGTTTTTCCCCTTCTCTGCAACCGGCAATAACTGAGCGGCTGTTTCGCTGACCATCTGCATATCTGATTTGCTGAACCACAAGAAAGAGGGAAGCGAAGAGCCCCGTCAGGCACCACTGACTAATGGGCACTCGCTCAGGCACGGACTCCGTCCAGCATAAATCTTCTTTTCTTCCCTAGGTGGGAGTCAGTGTCAGACTTTAGTTTCTGCCCCCCCCCCCCCGCACATTTGTTTTCCTTTCTGGGATTCAGTGCGCACAAGCTGGATGCTTCGTTAAATCTACAGGGTGTGCTTAAGAGTGCCAACAGCAGTATCTCAGTTCCTCTGAACTCAACTCCAGCTCTCTCTCTGCGCGTCTTTTCACCCCAGGCTTAAGGGGTTTGTTTAAATGAAAATGCATTTGATTTTCCTGAAGTAAACAATAAAACCAGCAGAAACGGTGTTTCGAGGAGATTACAAAATGAACAGGGACATTCATCAAGCATATTCTTTGGCAAGGCAGCCAAAACAGGAGCTTGCGCTGGAGTGAAGGAGCAGACGCGCCCGGTGCCGGGCGGATAAGGGAGCGGGCGGCGCAGGGCCGTGGCGAGGGCGCATCAGTCCGGGACGCCTCTGACCACGTGGCTGCAGGGCTTCAACACCGGGCGTGCAGGGCAGCCTTGGTGCCGGCGCTCCGTGCTGCCGAATTGCTGAGCACGCAGAGGGCCCCGCATTTTGCAGCCAGCCGTGGCTTGGCGTTGGCTGGAGACTTCCAGCTACGTACGGACTATCTGCATGCCTCTGCAGCTGTACCCAGCTGCTTAAGACACTCTTTCCGCGTGATCTGGGGGCATTACAGTCACGAAGCCAAGCGGCATCTCTTCCGGAGCCCAAGATGGCAGAATCCCTGGCAGCAGCCAGCGAGCGTGTTCCACTCTGGAGGGCACCAGGTGGGTAAGACTGCTCTAGAAGACCTGGCAGACACTTGAAATCTCAAAAACAGGGCAGGGTCTACCACTGCCCCTTAACAGCATCCCTTGATCAGGCGAGCAGGCAGCGGGAGCTGAAATGGGCCGATGCACACGCACCCGATCAGCACTTGGGGCTTCCGGTTCCCATCCCAGCTTTCGGATCTCAAAGCTTACCAGCCCCCACCTGACAGCACCGCCTCCCTTAAAAGTGCCATAACCTCAAAGGGCCCACATTATCTCTGGTAGGACAAGCTTCCCCATCCGGGCCCTAATGAGCTCGCAGTTCAGTCGCAACAGCGGGGGCTCTCACATTTCCATGGCGCAATCGAAGCGCACACAGCTTCGGCGAGGACTGGACTTATCTTGGGGAAATGAGACCGAGAGCAGGTACCGCGGCTTTGCTGGCGGCAAGCTCACGGTGAGGCAGCCAAAGAGTCTGTGCCATATTTCTTTGTGAGAGATAATGTCAACGGGACACAACGTTGTCGCCCGCAGACACCTGCCACCGATAATGGCCGCCCAATTTACAGCCCTTTGGTTTTTGCATTGAAAGCAAGAACAACACGGAACAGCAAAGCCCAGAAAGGGCTCCGCGGAGGAGGTCGCTTCCGAGGACCAAAGCGCCGGAGTGCCGCAAGAGGCAGCGCCAGCCCTGCCCCTGGCGGGGCCCGGGCACCCCGATCCCCACTCGGCCAGAGTTCTGCATCCACTGGGCCCGCAAACGCCGCTTGCCCTCGTCCTTGCTGGATATAAAGCATCTTATGCACCTCAGAACAGCTGAGATATAAACCTGGAAAGCTGGCAGGTCGAGTCGCTTTCATGAAGCTCTCCAAGAGGCTGCAGCGCTCAGCTTAAAGATCTATTTTATCGCCACTTCAGCTGAGCTATCGGTTCGCTGATCCGGCCTGTCTACTCTGACCTTCGCCAGCCTGGGGCCCTTTTGAGGCGGTGCCTGCAATTCCCAGCATTCCCAGCCTTGCTGGCTGGGAATGCTGGGAGCAGTGGCTCTTCATCTCGCACCATCCTGCCACCTGCTAGCATTTCGTTAACCGAGAGACCGATCGCGAGACGTTCTACAATGCAAAGCTGGCATCTAACCCTCAGCCGCAGCTCTGCCGTGCCACACTCTCCCCGCGCGGAAGCCGGTGGAACTGCCCCACCAAGACCAGCTCACTGGCCCGGGAGCCCGGCAGGCAGCCCAGGCTCCAGCAGGTCACTCGCAGCCCAGGGGCCTTGAGGTCACGGCCTGAGCCGGGGCCTGGGCAAGCCGGGCAAACCCTGTGGAGGGACCGGGCTGCGGAGCGAGCAGAGGGCTTCTCCGGAGGGGACGCTCGCTCGGAGTGCAGAGCAAGTGCCCCGCAGGATGTGCCCCTTCTGACGGCACCGGCTCAGCCTGAGAGCGGGAGGGAGGGGAGGCTGCCGGCCGCCTCGGGCAGCGTCACCTGCGCCGCACACCTGCTGCTCCTCGTGCCTCGGGCGCCTGCCCGTGTCCTGCCGGCACTGCACTGCTCGCGCGCGCACACGCACTTCTGTCATTGAGACACCTGCGAGACCCTGAGATGAGAAGTCAGCGGAAGCGGCGCGGCGAGGCGAGGCGAGGCAGGGGCAGCGGTTCTGCGCGGAGGAGAGGGAGGCGGAGGAAGAGAGACCGGCTGCCAAAGACACAGCCCACGAGCTGCTCTAAGTTCGTCTGCACACATCTGTGGCAGGACGCTCTGGTGGAGGAAGGCTCCTCCAGAGGACATGCAAAGGACAACCTGGAGGGCACCAGGGGACTGCAGAGTCGCAGTTGCGCGGGCACCGCCGTTCTTTCACATCTCGGCTCCTGCAGCCATTTCCCAGAGCAAAGGCTACCATCTCCCTGACCTCCCAGCAGAAGTGCCTGCTCGCCTCTCTCATCTTGCCTAACTAGGAACCCAACAGACGTGCCTGCTTTGGGTGTGAGTTACCCTTACCCTACTCTGGCTCTGCCCTACAACCCCCACCCCAGCCCAGCCAGCAGAGGGCAGCCCAGCACAGCCGGGGGGGGGGGACCGGAGGGGCAGGCAACCCACAGCAAAATTGAAACAGCTCGGTCTCAGCAACGGGAAGGCTGCGACAACCTTCCTCCAAGATGGCGACCTCCCGTGCTGACGCCCGAGGCCCACACGCCTTGGGGAGGAGGTCAGGCTGGCTGCCCTGCTGCACCCCAGGAATATTCCTATCGCACAAGGAGCCAGCTGGCACATGAGCGCAAACCTGAGCTGTGCTCCCCACTCCCTTCCCTGCCACGGCAGACTGCCAGACCCTGTCGCTAAGCATCACACCTGAAGGACCACCCGTTCCCGTGCAGCCGCACCTCTTAAAGGGGCTTGCTACTCCTGCAGCCAGCAGTCGAAAACGCGGATGCCACGGAGGTTTTCAAGAACGTGCGCACATACACTTGGGAAACAGCTCTGGAACTGAAGGATGGGAAAGGAGAGCTTTTTCTCCCACAAACACTGTGCTCCTGAACCAAACCAAACCAAACCAAACCAACCTGGCAGCTCAGCTCTCGATCCCAGCCACGCTAGAGTTGCCTTCTTTGCTGCGTGGCACTGCAGGAGTGGCGGGCAGAGAGGCTCCCTCCCCGTCCGGGTCTCCGTCGAGGACTGCATCAGTGCAGTCCTCCCTCCGGGAGCAGGCGGGCGCTGCCTTTCCTCACAACAACCTGGGTCGCGAGCATCGTCATCCGGCTCGCGCACGGACCTGGGCTCAGGCCAGCCTGGCAGCAGAGAAACACCTGCTTCTGCGCCCAGAGTGCCCAGAAGCCCCTTTCCCGGAGAGCTCAACGTTACGACCACCATTCACGGAGATTTCGGGGACTGAAAGCCCAGGACAGGAGAGGATGGGAGGATGCGCCGTGCATGACCAGACAGACCCCCAACATTCACGTGCGAAAGCATGTGGGGGCTCCAGCAACACTCGCTCCACAATGCAAGGTTGCCCACGCCCAGCCAGAGCCCGGCCCCGATCCCTGGGCCGGCTGCTGGTCCCTGCGCACACGTTTACGCAGAGGCAGCAGTGCTCAGCCTCTGGACTGGCAGAGTCCCACACGACAGGAAGGTGGCTGGTGCAGCGGGTCCTTGCCCTGTGCCGCGCGGGGGCCACGAGGATCATGCGCGCACGCAACCCCTTTTCTGCCGTGGAGCTTGTGCCTCACAGTGTAACTGGCTGCGATTCCCCCTGCCAGAAATGTGGCTGCTTGAAACGGACACAAGGGAATCGGGAAGACGCCTCCCACGGCCTCTCCTTGGCATGCCTGCTCCGAGTCGATGGCGCAGAGCACGCGTGCAGAACACATCTCAGGCGGGGGAACTTTTCAGCAGCCGCCTCCCAGGGCGTGGGAGGGGGCTGAAGGCAAAGCGGGGAGGGCCAGAATCCCCCCCATACGGCACCTCGTGGTTTGACGGCCGGGGGCGCAGCCTTGGGAGAGGCTGGCTACCCCCTGGAAACTGCGGGCCAGCGGGAGGGGACGTGGCCCTCCGGAAGGCTCGGAAGGGCAGGACGGGGCCCCAGGATGCACTCGGCCCTCAGCTGTGGGCTCCCCACTCCCAGAGCCACCTGCAGGAATCAGCCACGCTCTTCCTGCGGGGGGAGGCTGAGGCACTAGCTAAAGCCTGATTTATGGGGCTGATGAGCTTGGGGAGGTGTGAGCTGTGCGGAAAAATACCCGTTAAGGAGTAGCGCAGATGCTGCGCGGTACGGGGAGGGAACCAGCCTCACGCCTCTCCCCACTGACCTCATCTGCCACTTCTGGCCCCCGGCCAGTCCTTGTGCCTGTCTCCTTGGGATGCAGTTGGCTGGAATCTTGAATGGCTGAGATTAAACGCAAAACAAAGTCCCACTTAGAAAAGGAGGTACAAGTCATGGGCGATGCCAATTCTATGGGAACAGATAGCATCTCGGCTGCCTTTTCGTCATTTCTCTGGCGAGGCATCAAATTAGAGGGCAGCAGGTGAGCGAGGCAGTTTGGTTCCGTATCTTCAAGACATCTAACGGGGGCAGGGGGGGATCAGTGGTCCAGATACCAGGCTGCAGGTGCCACGTGAGGACATGGAGAACTCTGGGAAGGTAAATCTCTAGTTGTTTTCGACGTCAGGTGAGGCTGGGCCGGGCCCCTCCGGAGCAGAAACCAGCAGGCACAGAGGAAGCGCCTCACATACTTTTCCACGCTTACACCGATTTTCTTGGAACAGGAAGGGCGCGTGGGATTATTCTATGCTGCCCTTTAATTGCAACTCTCCTTGGAGTAGGACTTCAGTTTTTAATCTTGGCCATTCAAGATTTTAGCCAACTGCATCCCAAGGAGACAGGCACAAGGACTGGCTGGTGGCCAAAGCCGGGGGGGGGGGGGGCGGAGATCTCAATCTGCAGGAAAAGAATGCAGGGACATTTGAAGTGTGCAGGGTGAGTGCTCCAAATTGTTTACGCCGACTGGCAAGGTGGGAGGGAAAGCTGCTACGGGGCAGCAGTTTGCAAAGCTCTACAAACGCACAGCATACAGGCCTCGTCACCATTTCTCAGACAATTACATTCAATCAAAAGGAAGAAAGAGGGGGGAGTACCTTGGTTCCAATCCCGGCAAATGCTTTATGGGGGGGGGGCTTCTTGATGGCTCAAGTACACAACTGTGGATGTCACCTAAGGTGACAACACACCCCCCTCCCTGCATGTGCCTACAATTATTATGATCAGTTAACCAACACGCTTAATTAAAAAAAATGAAGAAAGGCAGATATTTCAAGAGTCCAGTGAAGTCAAGGGCTTCGCTGCACACATCTGTGCCAGGGGTGGGGGGGGGGATACCCTGGGATGCATTACAGGGACAGAATAAGGTCATCCCCCCCCCCAACCTGCAATGAAAGTAAAATGAGGATTGGATCAGGGGAACGCAAAATCCAGAAGGGCTCTTTGAGGGTGTGCCCCATATGTGGGCATTTCAAGTGGACCAATTTGTAGGGAGGGGCAAATAAATGCACTTGAGTTGCCAGGGGGGTGAGAGCCTCTGATGCTTGTTGTGGGTCCCATCTGGGGGGGAGGCTGCTACCCGAGACGATGCTATGAAGCAGAAATGGGCTCTTTCCTTCCCTTCCCCCCTCCCCCCCCCATAAGCGGCTGCAAAAATACCCGGCCCTTGAGGGGGCGGGCAGGGACATTTCAAGGCCTGCCGAGAATGGGGAGAGCGGCGCGGCCGAATTTACGCCCCGCCATCCCTTGGCCGGGGGGGGGGGTCGGGTCCCCATCCCCTACAACACTGACCTCAGGGGTACGACCCCCCCGGGCCGGCACCTGTCCCGTCCCGTCCCGGGGGGGGCGCGGGGGCTCACCTGGGCTCGGGCAGGGCGATCTTCTTGCTGGCGCGGGCGGCGGGCGAGCTCTTGCTCTTCTCCATGGCCATGAGGTAGCTCACGTCGGCCAGGACGGCCTCCAGGTCCGCCATCCTGGCCGCCCAGGGCCGCGGCGGGCGCCTCGCTCCCCGCGGGCCGCCCCTCGCCCGGCTGGCCCGGCCCGGCCCTGCGCGGCGGGCGGCGAG